TACAGAAGATCTTCGTTGCCACGCTGTTGCATTCAATAATGAACCCTCACATGGGCTGCGCATCTTCCCCCAGTCTGCCCAGTCTGCATAGGGACACGTCAGCATAACGAATTGGGAAACACCTAGATCCGCGCCCTCTGACGAATGTCATAGATCTGCCAGACCCTAAGCCCAAAGCCCCGAAACGCTATCCCCAGAGACTCCAATATCCCTTAATTAAGGAATATACCTTAAATTATAGTAGGATCATTAAAATGGATTTAAGGTATATTCCCTAATTAAGGAGTATTGGAGTCTCTGGGTCTCCCGGATGCGAAACAGAAGCCCCCCCCCCCCTCCCCGCTTCAGGGATGCAGGATCTTTCAATCGGCTTCCTGAACCCTAAATCCTCAACCCTAAACCCGCTTCCTGAAACTGGGCTTTTAAGTAACAAGGGATAGAAGAGTATAAACTTTTAATTCATCATGGTTCCTTTAAGAAAAAAGTGTCCAAGTATGGTACTCCAAAGCCCAGGAAATACCACAAAGCCCGGGGGGGCTTAAACCATGCAGGTCCCAGGAGAATGCCTTGCCGATGCACACATCGTCTTGCATGGGCACTGAGAATCCTGAAGCCCCAGGCCCACGAAACCTCCCATGGGTATGTTATATATTGCATGGTATATATTCTATATCATATAGTACCTTTTTGTATGATGCTTTTTGTATCTTATAATATATCGTATACCGTATATTTTATGAAATATTACAAGAGCCCTAGACCTTCTTGCGGACTTAGGCACTGGGAAAGGGCTGCTCTGCCAGGACACCAGCAATTTGGCTAGTGCCACCAGTCTCTTCCTTGCAGGTGGTGTTGGGGTCTCGCGCTAAACCCTAAACCCCTCGGGTTTAGGGTGCAGTCTCTTCCCCGATGATGGCCTTGGGGCTTCGAGGCTGTTCAAACCCCAAACCACCGACCACAAATCCTTAACCCTACTCGTCGGGTATCATGGGGAACTAAAAGTTAACCTTTTTGATTATATAACGGTTATATAGGGATTACACTATCCCAAAAAAGGAAAGGTTACCTACTCTACTGCTAGGAATCCTTAACCTATACCCAAACCTCAAAGCCAGAGACCCAACACCCTAAACCAAGCACCCAAATCCAGAGCCCTGAACAAAGTGTAGGGCCGCAGGACCCTGTCTCTACAAGCCGGTGTGGGGGACCCTCTGGTTTGCAGGATTGGGGTACAGTTTAGGGTTGAAGATTTGGCTCTTAAAGATTTAAGTTCCTCCGCACTTTCGGAAGTCTCCTTCGGTCTTCTCGGATAAGAGGAACTGAAACCAGCTCCAGTTTAGGGTTTCAGGGGTTTTGGGGCTGCCTTGCAGCTCCACGGTCTACAGTCTTAAGTTAAAACCCTACATTAGCCCACAGGGCCCTAAGCCCAAACCTTAAAGCATGACAGCGAAACGCAAGAGCTCAACACCATCGATTCCCAAACTCAGAACCCAGAATGCCAAGAATCCTAATACCTTAAACCCTAAACCACAAGCGCAGACTTCTTGGAGGGTCTGGGGACTTAGTAAGTAGGTAATAAGTATACTTATAATTATAAGTACCCCAAAAGGGATCCTAATGCGGGTGGTTGTGGTACTTGTGAGTGTATTTAATTATCTACTTACTAATTAACCCTGACCCTCCAAGTAGCACCTGCTCATTGATACGGTTGATGATATAAATCCTGCATGACCCATACCAAGGGGTCCCTTGCCTTCGCACGGAGTCTTGGTCTTCTGCTCCCGTAGAGCCCAAAACTTATAAGAATGCTTTATTAGGGTTTAGGGTTTAGGGAATCTCTTGGAGTTGCATTAGAACGCGAATAACGAGAAAGAACGGCAAGGCAACGGGTAAACCCCATGACGCTGCAAGAAAGGGCTGTAGCGGAAAGCCGACTACTCGTCCGCTCCAGCAGTCTTAGTTCCGAAACCTTTAAGGCGGAGGGCTTAGGGCTTACTTGGAGGGTCATGGGACTTAGCAAGTGGGGTTATAAGTACGTTAATCAAGGTTATAAGTAGACATAAGTATAGTTACCTTATTTATAACCCCAGTTACTAAGTCCCATGACCCTTTCAGTAGTCGAACAGCCACCTCTCCGGCAGTCGCGTCGCCCAGCAGACCGCCCGTGGCCTCACGATAGAGAATTAGAGGCTACGAGTCCTTTTCCCCAGACAAGACACCCTGGAGCAGGAGGCAGACTCAGGTAGTAAGGGGAACTGCCCACAAGGACCTTTTGTGGCGTGTCTTTTGATGTGAAAAGGTTTTCTGCAAAGGCGCAGGCATTCCTGCATGCATGCTCAACGTCATGGCTGCACCAGATAGAAACCATGGCAACCACGTCCCCCATGGCTGATTTAGGGCATTTGCTCGAATCACGATGTCAAGGCGTCCAAGTTCCCCTTCAGGGCCTGAAGATGCCTCAAGTAACGTTTTAGGAGCACCCCTGGGGCCAAAGTATATCAACTATATGTGCGTGCACTTCAACTGGCTATGCCGGCTCCAGGGTAACGGGACTGCGGAGGTTTTGGAGGAAGCTCAACCATGTAGTCGTTTTGAAAACATCCTCTGCGGGTGCGGGGTTAGGGTATAGGGATCCAAGAAAAGTCGTGTGTGTGTGTGTGTGTGTGTGTGTCTGTGTGTGTGTGTGTGTGTGTGTGTGCGTGTGCGGGTCACAGATACCAATTGCAGAGACCCACGAAGTTCATGCGGTATTGATGCCGGGTATCCCAGCCGTCAATGATTTTGAAAGCCCTCGCGGCAATCCTGAATGTCTACGACTAGCTCATGGGTGGGATAGGATTAAAAATTGAAACTTGTATTCCTTATTGGGTTTAAGTACCCATAAAAATGTAAAATGTTACCCGACTATGACAAAGACGAACTGTAGAAGAAAAGGTCGCCGCATTGGTTTTGGATCCCTAAGACAGAAAACTTAATCAAGGCGAGGCAAGGAACCAAAAAAGCATCACAGGGGGAAAGGAGAGACCCTTAACGGGGACCCCTACCCTATAATGGGCTATATAATGGGTATATAATAGCTATATTAGGGGTATATACTCAGGGGTCCTTCTTAAGGGTCCCTCGTTTTCCCCTTGGGAAAAAGCAAGAACACAAGAGCTGACCTGAAAATCCCAAGACAAGTCGCTTGCTCGGGCCTGGGGCTACATCGCTCTTCTCGTATACCCAAAACCAAAAAGGGAGTTTCCGAAAATTAGGGGTACCCTATTTTGGGGTCCTTATAATAAGGATCCTACTTTGTAGGGTACTATATTAGGGTCCCCTATTTTCGGCAACCCCCACATCGCTCAGAAAGTTGGAATATGGTTTCAGGGCAGGATGCCCCAAGCCAAGAAGAGCTCAGACCTTGTTATAGAAGGATGCCAGAGGAATTCCAACACGCGTAGTAGAGCTTTTCTATGCGCTTCGCAAGTACAACGCTACTTGGAGGGTCGGGGCACTTAGTAACTAGTTATTTTGGAGACTTATAAGTACCATAACCCCCAAGTCCCTCGACCCTCCAAGTAAACCTGATTGAGACACCCTGGGTCTTCCGTAGGGTCTGTGTCTGAGCCCTAACATACGGTTGATGATATAAGGTGATGCACATGCAGTACCTTAAGGACCCGAAACTATAGGAAGTAGGGTGTATTCCTTATTATGGGTACTGCGGGATTTATATCATCAGCCGTACTGCGGAAGAAACTTCAGCTTCGTTCTCCCTGCCTGGTGAGCCGTCCTCGAAAGCCTCAGCGACCCAAGCTTGAGGGTTCATCAAGCTAGTGCTGTTGCCAGAATGCATACACTGGTATTGCTGAAGGTTTACCTAATCTCATTACTTTGTTACTAACACTGCAATTACTTTTACTAGCAGCAGCAATAACTTACTCCCCCAAAAACACAGAAATAAAAGGTTAAACCTCCCGATTAAAACTGAACAACAGGAATCCAAAAAGTTTGAAGGTTGGGTATCGCGGATCTAAGTATTACTTTTACTAGCATTAACAATAATAGTAAAGCAACTTAACCTCTGGAAGTGTCTCTGGCGCCTGAACATGCTTGGAGGGTCGGGGGACTTAGTAAGTAGGTAACAAGTAGACTTATAAGTACCCGAAAAGGGATATGGTACTTATAAGTCTCTAAAATGTCTAGTTTCTAAGTCCCCCGACCCTCCGAGTGGGGAGTTTGGCATTCACGTGGATAGAAAGTTTGGGACTTAATTGATGTTCCAATGTGCTATCGGGCAGAAGATTGTCCTTAGTTGCTGTTCAAACCGTGATTCGGGCATACGACTTTCCAGACACTTGACGTTCAAACTTGCTTTCGAGCAGACGTTTTCTACAGAGGTTAACGTTGAAACTTACCTTCGGGCATACGATTCTCCATGCAGTTGACGTCCAAAGCTGGTTTCAGGACAAAGGGTTTGCCATACAGTTGGTGCTCAAAGTTGCCGTTGGGCAAACGATTTTCTATGCAGTCCATGTTCCCACTTGCCTTCGGGCATAATCCCTTCCCCCGAATATAAATAGGGTCCCCGTCCCTCGCCCTAAAATCAACATATTTTTCACGGCCGAGGTTTTTACATTAAGGGGGTTTCGCGGCATCCGGGTATGAGTCCGATAAAAAGTAGGTGATACAACAGCCGGCTTCTACGGCTGTAAAGCAGACAGCCCTAAGCCTGAACCTTAATAACGGCCTAAACCCCTGAACTCTAAAGTCCTGGTCCTTTCGGTCAAAGTGTAGGAACCTGATTAAGAAACCTTGGGCCTTCATTAGAGTTCCTGATATGAATCCTAATAATTTTGGGGTTATAGGCCCTGGCTTCCTTCATCAGATTCCTACATTAGTACTACTGTAGTCTTGGCTCCATTAAACTAATCAACTCTAGGCCCCCCTAATGTTTTTAAGTAACTGGAGGCGTTAATATTCGGGGGAAGGTATTAGGATACTCCATACAGTTGATGCTAGGGGTTGAGTAGGACCGTTTGCTGGGTGCCCTCCTCGCGGCATGCAGTATCAAGCCGAACGTCGGAGTTCCAGCAGCCGACGCGCCTGGCATCCCGCTCCACGGTGTGGTGCAGCGCCTGCCTTGTCCACGTGTTGTACGCCTGAACCACCGTCTTCCTTCGAAGAAGCATGAACTTGCAAGAAGACGACAGACGAGTGCTCAAGCATGCTGAGGCATCTGGGCCTTTTCACACTTGGAGGATCATGGGACTTAGTAAGTAGGGTTATAAGTCCCCTAATTGGGGTTATAAGTAATTATAAGTATAGTTACCCTAATTATAACCCTAGTTACTAAGTCCCATGACCCTTTAAGCAGGGATAGTATAAACGCTAAAAGCTGGAGTTCACGGGCTTTTGAAGGCTTCGGGTTGATTGGAGCCTTGGGCTTAGGCCGGGTAGCTCGGTGGTACCTGGGTAGTTGTCAAAATTAGGGTCCCTTTTTGGGTCCCCTAAATAAGAGGTGCCGTATTATATTAGGGACCCAAAAAGGAACCATAATTTTGACAACCACCCACCTGATTAGAAACCTTGGCCTTGTAACCCCAATAAGATAGGGGCCTTGATAATTTCTATAGGGTTTTGGGGCCCATGGTACTAATTATGATTGTAATAAGGAACCACCAAAATGGTATTGGTAATTATTTAGGCCTTTGTGTTATGCTAGAGTTCACATATAGAACCCGAATGAAGACTCAGGGTTTCTTAAACAGGTTCCTGTCGTAGGTAGATCCTTTTTTAATTCTATGGTCTACGGGCCCTGTAAGAGTGTGATGGTGTTGCAAGGGTGTTGACGAGGTTGTCTGCTACAGGGCAACAAGGAGGGCCTATATTGGCCGAAAGTATAGTCGGACGCCTTTTTCGGGAACTTCTGCTTGCTAGATCTCTCAAGGCGGCATTAAGTTGAGGGCACCAGCTCGACTAGGTTTCTGAGTGGCCCCTCAATAACCAGGGCACCCTATTTACTACTATTGGGTTCAAATTAAGGAGCTCAAAACCTAGAAGGTGCTTTTAAAGCCTTTGAAAAATATTGGTAGTCTTAAGCCAAATAAGAGAAAATATAAAATGTCTCAAAGCCCTATGAAAAAGTGCAAAAGTGTACTACTCCGGAAGCTAGTTGAAACGCTTGGCGATAGGCTGAGACGGCTGAGCCCGAGGCCAATTCAGGGCCTGCGTACCGTAGGAGGGCCCTGGCTTATACAGTTTAGGTTCTATAGGGCTTAGGGTCTATAGGGTCTATAGGGTCTATCGGGTCTATCGGGTTTAGGGTTTGGGGATTAGGGTTTAGGGTCTATAGGGTTTAGGGTTTAGGGTTTGGGGATTAGGGCTTAGGGATTAGGGTCTATAGGGTTAGGGTCTAGGGTTTGGGGATTACGAGTTGGGGTTTAGGGCTTCGGGTTCAGGGACACAGCGAAAACAGAGAACTCGCATTGGGTTTAGGCCTCGGATTCGAGAACTGAGCCCTGAGCCGTACATCCCAAAGTAAAAGCCAGAAAGTTGGAATATGATTATCCTAAACCCTTTATGGTAAGTTATAGGGTATCCCACCCTGAAACCATATTCCAACTTTCTGGAGTTCCCTTTAAAGGGTTTAGAAATAGGTCTGAGGTTTCAGGACTCAACGTGTGATGCAGCCGCCTAAAATTCAGAGTCGGGATTTTCTGGAGTATGGCATTGTATTGGTATAGCTTTAATGGGCGACAAAGGAACATGATTCTGAGATATTCCGATTTTTATACTGGTCCTTCTGCCTCAATTACCAGGGAAACTAAAGTTGCAAACTTTCTGTGAGTATGAACATCTAAAAGCCAAGAACCTGTCGAAGATCGGCATGGGGGTTTGGGTTTAGGGGTTTAGGGTTTAGGGTAAGGGTTTAGGATTTAGATTTTAATGAGAAGCCCTTGAGGAATCCGATTGCTTTTTATTCCAACACCTACATTAATCATTCCCCTATGCGGTACATTACCAGCTTCCCTAAACCCTTGGCTTACTTCCCCAATAACACACAGAAATAAACGGTTAAACTTTCCGATCCCTACTAAACTCATCGAGCCCCAAAAAGGTTAAAGGTTGGGTATTGGGGATCTAGGGTTTAGGGTTTAGGGTATTGGGGATCTAAGTTGATTCCCTCAAAAGCCCAAACCCTAAACCATCCCGAAGCGCTGTTGAGCCTACACTCCTGACCCCGAGCCCTGAAACTATCCTAAACTCCGAAACCCGAAAACCCTAAGCGTGCCTGAAGCCCAAGCATACCGTTATGAAGTTCTTCACAGCTGTGTACCCACATTGAGCCCACGCTCAACGTCTGAAGTCTATGCGCGAGCTGAGAACTTAATTACTGCGCACAATGTCCAGGGGACTCTTGGCCTTAAGACTGTCCGGCTTGCACGTGACGGCAAGCGCCGCCTTGTCCAGAAGTTTAGGAAAGCTGCTGCTCCGCTGGGCTTGCCACATCTTCGCGACATTTCGAATGCGAGGCGTTCGCGTCAATGCCTGTGAAGATATCGATGTGCCGGTTTGTCGTTCAAGCCGCCGTTGTTCTGGCTCTCGGAAAGGAGAGTCTTGCTCGTGTTCACTGGCCAAAAACCAAAATCGCAAAATGTCTGATGCATGCGTGCGCGAAACACAGACATATGTCAGACAGTCCCTGAAGCTGAATCTGGCTGTGCAGCGGCTGCTTCTCTCCCCGCTCTCTCATCCCGTTCCTGTCGTTAATTCGTCGACAGCAGTCCATGTCCCTCCACAATCATGCAAAGCGGCAGGAGGGGTAACTGACAGACTTCTCCCAAACATACTTGGAGGATCATGGGACCTAGTAAGTAGGGTTAGAAGTACCCTAATTGGGGTTATAAGTAAATATAAGTATAGTTAACCTGATTACAACCCTAGTTACTAAGTCCCATGACCCTTTAAGTAGTTCGGATGCTACTTGGGTGCAGAGGATGCGCTGGAGTATGACAAGTGGTTCGCTTTGTTGGCTCTTTCCACGGTTTGTCTGCCTGTTGATTGGCTTTGCCGCTCGGCCTTAGTGCTTTGACTTGTCCCTTGAGTTGGGGGTTTCCGAAAATAGGGGACCCTTATATGGTACCCTAAATAATAGGATCCCCCTTATAAGGACCCCAAAATAAGGTACCCATATTTTCTGAAACCCCCAGTTTTTGGTTTGTTGAATAAGAATGGGATGGAACGGTGTAACGATGAAAGGACCAGAAGGGGTTGTAACTACTATTCCGGCTTCAGCCTTCGTCTTTCACGGCTTGCGAAACCCCAAACCCCAAAGCAAAACCCAAAACTGCAAAGCCCAAAGCCCTGCACCAAAAACGCAAACTTCTGAGGTGCTATGCGCATCAGGTTGGGGTTTCTTCCTGGGGTTTGTTCTAGCAGTTAATCTCAAGGTCTAGGTAGCCTGATTTGCGGCAGTCCGGCTACAAGTGGGATACATTACTCATACGATTTTGGGGGTTCCTTAATATAGATTGTAGAATATCCCCCCTCCCAAACCCGATTCTCATTATTAAGGTCCCTATGTTCGGTACATGGAGCCTTAGGGCTTGCAACTTCCCGGAAGCCTCGATCACTTCGGAGAGGTCGCCTGGACCGACCGCCCTGCAACTGTAAGGCTGTTGCTTTGGTTTGGCTTCTAATGTAGGGTCCTTAATCATCGAACAGGGTTTGGGGCCCCTTTGCAGTATAATTCTAATAAGGAACCCCCAAAACAGTATTTAGGTCCCCAGAATAGGCTGTGAGGGTTTGGGTTTGGGGTTTGGGCATGGACGTGCAAGGTTTAGGTTGTGGTACTCGTTTCACCGTTTTTCTTGAGCTTCCGGGGTGTACCTGTCCTGTGCTCATCATAGGGTTTCTAGGGTTTGGAGTTCGGCGGGGTTTCGGGGAGTAGGTCATGTTTCGATGTGCGAACATAATGCAGCTGGCTTACTACGTTGCAGTGTCATAGGTGTTACTTGGAGGGTCCGGGGACATAGTAAGTAGGTAATAAGTGGACTTATAAGTACGCTAACGGGATGCTAATTGGTGCTATGATACATATAGGGATGAGGCAGTGTCAGGGCTGTGATAGAAGGTCAAGGGCAAGGGAGTCTTTCTCCTAAGACCGCACTGTATGGGCGGTTCTCTAACTTCGGGTACCTTTTAATGTGCCGGTGCCATACGAGTTTGGGGACCAACAAATTCAAAACGGACACCAATTCAGAGAACTACCCGTAGGGTTTTGGGTCAGTACAGCAGTCTTTAAGGGGGGAGGTTGTACAAGGGGTAGCGTATTGGGGATTCTTACCCTAAACCCTGGAGAGCGGTCGACTGTGGGGCCTGGGTTTGGTTTCAGTGCTTTTTATCGGGCTTCAACGTTAATGGCTCCAAAGCAGGAGCTTGTGTTTTGTGTCGCGTAAAGCACATACCACAAAGCAAGCATCACAAGTGTTTTTCGGAACAGCTTATTCGAGCTGTGCAAAATCGCTCTCCAACAGGCTCCACACCAGTGTGTAGGTCGAGCCTCTTAATCTGGGTTCTTGTGTAGCAGATCTTACAAGCAGAAAACGCTGTAAATATCGATGAATTCAAGACTCTCTAAAGAACGTCTTAAGGTAGGCTACATAAGCTCGACAGTTTCTCTATGCAGCTCTGATATTCGGGCCTTTAAGACTCTGGACTGTCTACCCAAAGCAAGCTTAGCCAACACCGCTGTTGGTAACAGTGTTTGAAACACCAATGTAGAGATTCAGCCTAATTAGCTGTCGAATTGCATTGGCATAGGGTTAACGAAATGTGGATGCACATAAGGGCCCTTGTTTTTGCGCGGTGAAGCAAAGTAAAGATGTGAGCGGGTTCAGCCTATGTACCTGTATAAAAGACTACCAAAGACAAACTGTAATCGATGAAGATCTGGCTGCTGTCCTAGACTGGAATCCTACTATTTGTGTTGATGCTTATCCGATTCTGGCTTCTTCCGATACCCTTGTTCATAAGGTACCCCGTACCCCTTCGAAATAGCCAGTATTTGGATCAAAATCATTTGGATTAGTGAAAAATGCTGCACTGGATACCGGGTCGGTTCCAAGCCATAACGAATCGTCCTCCTATAGTTCCTCAAACCGGTTTGGTCCAGGCCGTAGCACGCTCTCCATCCCTACACATAGCCTTACAAGAGATTTTGTATAGTTGACAAACTAAACACAAACATCTTGTGGTTTCACTCGATGAGCCTGGACGTATCAGCCGCACGCTGCTGCCGTGCGTTTATCTCTGTATACACAAAAGAGAAACACACGGGCCCGATTTCTGTTGCGCTTAAACGACCCACATGTTTACAAACAACTCGCAAGTTTAGAAGCACGGCCCGGTATTTATAAACAACCCGTGAAAGTGTTCATAGAAGGACAAGCAGAAATCACCGCAAATACCAGTGTTTACTGATTTCAATTTATCCAACCAGGTCTTGGGGTATCTCACATTAACTCCACACTTTCCTCCATTAAGAAAAAGTTTTGTGACCAGCACTTAAGACTTGAGGGTTGGCGTCAATTGGGAATGGCTGCGCGCGTCTCGGGCGGATGGTGGATTGGTCGGCGGTTGTACCTTGTGGTGAACGTGCTGGTGGTGAGGGGGGGGGAGGGGGGGGGTGGCAGGTGTTGGATGTTGCCCGCACCATACCAAGACCTCTGGCGCCCCCGCCCCCCACCCTACCTCGAGCGAAGCGTTTGTTTATAAGCAGCGCCTGTGTTTATAAACAGCCGTCGTGTTTATAAACACAGTAAAGGAAAACTAAAACAAATTTAACAAACCAACAAACCAACACACCACGACAAGAATCCATGACAAGAATCCTTGACAAGGGGATACAGACATCAATCAATTCAACAAAATATGCGTGAACAGAAGGTTGCGAGCAGCAAGTAAGCATCACGAGCCCGATCCAAAGGCCTACGTAACTTCAAAAACTCCTTATACACAAACGCAGGCCCCAGGATCGACCCTTCTGAAACCCTAAACCCTATATAAACCCTATACTAAAGCCCTAAACCCTAAACCACCAAACCCTAAACCCCTAAACCCCTAAACCCCTAAACCCCTAAACCCCTAAACCACCAAACCCTAAACCCCTAAACCCCTAAACCCCTAAACCCCTAAGCCCCTAAACCCCTAAACCCCTAAACCCCTAAACCCCCCCTAAACCCCTAAACCCCTAAACCCCTAAACCACCAAACCCTAACCCCTAAACCCTAACCCCTAACCACCAAAAACCCCTAAACCCCTAAACCCCTAACCCCTAAACCCCTAAACCCCCCCTAACCCCTAAACCCCTAAACCCCTAAACCACCAAACCCAACCCCTAAACCCCTAAAACCCTAACCCCTAAAACCCAAACCCTAAACCCCTAAACCCCTAAACCCCTAAACCCCTAAACCCCTAAACCCCTAAACCCCTAAACCACCAAACCCTAAACCCCTAAACCCGTAAACCACCAAACCCTAAACCCCTAAACCCCTAAACCCCTAAGCCCCTAAACCCCTAAACCACTAAACCACCAAACCCTAAACCCCTAAACCCCTAAACCCCTAAACCACCAAACCCTAAACCCCTAAACCCCTAAACCCCTAAACCACCAAACCCTAAACCCCTAAACCCCCAAACCACCAAACCCTAAACCCCTAAACCCCTAAACCACCAAACCCTAAACCCCTAAACCCCTAAACCCCTAAACCCCTAAACCACCAAACCCTAAACCCCTAAACCCCTAAACCACCAAACCCTAAACCCCTAAACCCCTAAACCACCAAACCCTAAACCCCTTAACCCCTTAACCCCTTAACCCCTAAACCCCTTAAACCCTAAACCCTAAGGAGCCCCAGGGCCGCTAGGGGAGCGCTAGCGAGGCACAGAGGTCTCATCGCCTTTTTTGGGGGACCACGGGTCTCTCCATTCTTGGAGGGTCGGGGGACTTAGTAACTACCTTAACCTACCAAACCCTACTGTTTTGTAGGGTCCCTACAAACTCCATATTAGGGTTCATAATAAGAACCTACAAAAAAAAGTAGGGTTTGGTAGGTTAAGGTAGGTATTTTAGAGACTTAAAAAGTACCATAACCTCAATTAGGATCCCTTGTAGGGTACTTACAACTCTACTTATAACCCTACTTTCTAAGTCCCCCGACCCTCCGAGTGGCAACCAGGGCATATAGGAAGTCTGGGTGGTCCATTCTTCACCCAAGGGTAACCTAGGAATAAACAGGGTGCATTCCAAGCTGATCTCTTCCTTAGATTTCACGAACAATCCGAGCCATGAATTGCAAACACAGACACACAGACGTAAGGCAGGCAGCCAGTGTCGTCGTTCACACCTCACTGCTTTGATCACCATACAGCAAGAACAATTCCAGGTCCGGGTCGTTTCTGTCAGCGCTTGTGCCCTTAGACTCGCGCCGTCTGCGCTGCACAAAAGCATCTGCAGACACCTTGCAGCCTTTGTAGTGATCAAGGACTTCTTCGAAACTCACGTACCGCCCTTCGTCCTTGTCCACCTCCTCACGCGTGCGCTTGAAGCGCGTGCATGCTTCCAATTCGCCCTCGGCATTGCCAAGTTGTTTACCCCAAACACTACACCCCTAAACCCCTAAATCCGAAACCCTTAACCCCTAAAGCCTAAACCCTTAAACCCCTAAACCCACACCCATACGGCCAAGGATATCAACATGACTCATAAGGAGGCGACCCACAGTTCGAGGATCCATCTCTACAGATTGGGTATTGGGATCCAAGGGGTGGGACAGTTTAGGGATACTAGTATCCCAAAGAGGGTAAAGTTGCGGTTTGCGGAATCACTACTCTTCGGCGCAGACCGTGTTAACAAGGGAGTTGAACGTCCCAAACGCAATCATCAAACAAGTGCAGTCTAAGGAGAAACAGATAAGTCACAAGCGTATCACGTTTGGGAGGCTATTTGGGGGCACTTGGCCCGTCTGGCTCGTTCAGCAACTGAAACTGAAGGGCTTCCCTAGAAGCCTTAAACCCCGAAGCCCTAAACCCACAACCCAAAACATAAAGCCTAAGCACTGGAAGCCTTACGAGAAGCCCTGCTGAATCCAAGCGCGGCCTGCGGCTGGGGAAACATCGGACCTGCGAGGAGAGGTACGGGGGCATTACGAAGTAAAACCCAGACCCCCGGGAGAATCCAGAAAGTAGATCCATAAAGGGGTTCATACAAAGTATCCTTCAGCAGTCTAGGGCTAGTGTTTCGGGGTCCAGGCTTCGTCGGCGAGGTGTGTAGAGGTCAAGGATTTGAGGGTTGGGTTTGAAATGGTTTGAGGATCTACAGGGGTTTGGGTGTAAACCCTAAGCCCTAAACGGACTCTACCATTCAAAATCGGCCGGGTACGGGGTTGAGGAGCTACTTGGATGGTCGGGGGACTTAGTAAAGTAGGTTTTCCGAAGACTCAGGAAGCCCCAAGGCCGTGAATCCAACACCTACCTTATCGCTACCCTGAGCCTCTGGGCCCTGCACCCCAAGTCGAAACTCAACATGTCGCAACCAAGTCCAAACTCACAGGATCAAACCTAACCCCTAAAGCCGCGACCCCACATGTCCAAGTCCGGAAGCCTAACACCCAAAACCCGCATCTTCATGAACCGTAAACCCTACCCACCCCATACACTCTCCGACACCTGAAACCCCACGGAGGAACGACACAACGCACACACAAACCCACGCACGCTCAGAGCACAACAAGAAGCGAGCCCCAAAACGCCACACGAAACACCGGACCTGAAACACCAAACCCTAAACCGAAAACACAAAGCATTAAATCCTAAACCTGCAGAGCCAAACACAAGATCGCCCTAATTCCGCAAACCCTACGCCCTAAACCCTATAATCTCTACCCCCTATAGTCTCTACCCTCCTAAACCCTAATCCCTGACCCTATAAGGCCCTATCATCTCTAAACCCCCAAAACTGACCTCCAAGAGTCCAGGCGCCTGCGGAGTGAGACGCCGAGCCCCAGAAGTCCGCAGGGTGGTACGGGCCAGCCGGATGCATCGGTGGGCCTCTTTGGAGGAGCGGGTGATCTGGGAAGTCGTTATCTTTATAGGGTTCCATAAGGGTTCAGGGTTTGGGCTTTAAGGTTTCTATACGGGCTCTGTAAGGGGTTTAGGGTCAAGGGGGACTTAGTAAGTAGGCAGCAGGTAGACTTGCAAGTACCCCCAAGAGGGACTCAAATTGGGGGCATCATACCAAAAACTCTGTAGAGCAAATACTTATCAAGTCCCCCGTCACTCCAAGTACTCTAGTGGCCTTTATACACATCAGTAAAAGGTTCCTGTACGGGTCGCTGCAACGGCTCTATAAGGATAAGGATACTCCAAAGGGTATTGCTCTTGTTTTGACTTTATACAGAAGAGACCTGAATAGCTGGACTGCGATGTGGGTTGGCTTCTGTCGAGGTTTACACTTTGCACCCTGTTTTGCACGTTGTATGGGGTTTTAGATGTGCTCTCCTGTTGAGGTGGCCCTTGAAACCCAAGGCTAAACCCTTCATCATCAGAGCTCTCATGGAAATTGTTTCGGCCCCTATACTATAGAACCCGACATAGATCCCTTATAGACATCGTTAAGGAATCCTTAAGGGAACCCTATTACCCACACGCGCCCCAAACCCAGAGCACTAAGGTCCTGCTTCTGCTGAAACTCCTACTTACGCGGAGGCTCGTGGGCATGTATGATCCCGGTTCGGCCGGCCCCCCCCCCTCCCCCCCCCCAATGGTTCCTCCTCCTTTCTGTGGTGTGGTGTGGTTGTGGGTTGCTTCCCCCTCCCTGTGGTGTGGTGTGGTGTGGTGTGGTTCGGGAGTGGGTCTGCTTAGGCTGGTTACCCCACTCCCCCCTGTGGTGTGGCGTGGTTTGGGTTTCCTGCGTGGGTCTGCTTGGCGTGTGAGCCCTCGTGTGAAAAAAACTTGCCCCACTCCCCCCTGTGGTGTGGTGTGGTTTGGGTTTCCTGCGCGGGTCTGCTTGGCGTGTGAGCCCTCGTGTGGAAAAAGCTTGCACAGTTCGGCTTGGGGAGCGGGGGGGGGGGGATACCATTGGGGGGGGGGGGGTCGGTGAACCGAGAACCGGGATCATGTATGCAGTCTCCTCTCCTTTTGCCAAAGACCAAAAAGCTCAATCTAGCCATACCAAAGGAACCGAGCAAGCTCAAAACTCTTGCCGTGGCCTCGTAGGTGCAAGCTCCGTAATAAAAAGCTCGTGCGGAAACCCGTTGCGTCTACACTTGCTTGTTTAATTGTTCGTCTGGTCGTTTGGCGCGGAATATGGGGCTTTCGGGTGAAGGGCTGTTCGATTGAAGGCATTAAGTCATTCAAACATCATATCAAGCGGTAGTGAAACCGTAGATTGAAAAAGCACCGTAGCTAGAACTTGAGTTACTCGCAAGCCCACTAAGGAACGAGGAACATTTTGCCGTAACAATTCACAAGGTTTTGGGGGTACGTAAAGTCATGCAGATTCATGGCACCAGCTGGTATATCCAGCTCTGAACATTCAAGTTAGCTAGCACTACGCTATAGCAAGCCTAAATGCTCTGCGGCGCGGAAGTGACCAGACCACCGGGACCCGAGCTTGGATAGTGGCGCTGAGATCAAGAGGCTCCCGCAACATCCGCACCATAATTCCAGCTCGAACGCCGTCACAATACAAGTCACGCTGGTCAGGTGTCAGATTGTCCCGCAATTTCAAAGCCCTCAACCAATATGATCCAGCTGTCTGTGCCACCCCCGCGTCGAGCTGCGCGAGCCTGGAATTCCTGGCCCGCTGCTGCGGCATCTTCGGCTGTGGCATCTTCGGCTGTGCTTGGAATCCTAAGCCATGGCCCCCTTTCCTGCTAGAACCAAACCCAAAGACACCCAACTTCATTCCACATACTTCCTCCCACAATAAACCAGAGAAATAAAAGGTTGAACTTTCCGATTCCTACTAAACTATAAGAGCCCGAACAATTTAAAGGTTGTTGGGGTATTGGGGAGACTTTTTTAAGCTTAAAGTTCTTAAGAAGTTCTTCTGTTGGCTTCGAGAAAAACTCACTGAAACGCCAGTCCGGCCTGATAGCTGCATCATGGGATGCGGCTCTGGATACCTCGAATCTGTCCGGAAAAGGTTCCAGAGTCCAGGCGAGCGTAAACGGCACAATATATGGGTGGTTGTCAAAATTATGGTCCCTTTTTGGGTACCCTAAATTCGCCTCGGCCCCGGCCGAAGCGGTCAGAGGTTCCCATTCGGATTCCCGTGTCACGGAGCTCCAAGGTACGGTGGTGAATTCTCGCCCCCCCCCCCCCCCCCCCCCCCCCCCCCCCCCCCCCCCCCCCCCCCCCCCCCCCCCCCCCCCCCCCCCCCCCCCCCCCCCCCCCCCCCCCCCCCCCCCCCCCCCCTTCCCTCCCGCCCCTCCTCCGCTCGCTGACAGGTGCGAGCTTTCTGGAGTTTTCGACGACACGGGACTGCAATGTAGCATCTTTATGTGTTGGGGCTCGCCTTTAAGGCTGCAGTACCAAGCGAGTTTCAAACCTGAATTCCTAACCCTATACCCTAACCGAACATTACTTTTACTATAAGTGCGATTCCAACTGTTACTTTTTTCCTACAAGAGCTTGCTGCAGATAGTAGCCACTCGCCGCATGCGCGTACAGCCGGGCCGAGGCGGACGACGCGCAGCGTTTCAAATATTAGGTGCCGTAATCATAATAGGGACCCAAAAAGGGACCATAATTTTGACAACCACCCATATGTAGAATGTAGATGATGTAACGTAACGTGACGTAGACCCTTTGATTGATAAATGCCCTCCCCTAGTACATATGGATATACTAAGGATGGAATTTGGGGTCAGCGGTCAGCGTTAGTCGATTCAAATGCAACTCAACCCCGAACCTTTGGAGGAGTAAATTTTTCTGGATCCCGAAATTCGAACCTTAAGCTGAATAGGGCTCTCTGTTCTCAGTGCAACATACCTCAACAAAGAATGCTTGAAAGCGCTAGCCGCTGGACCCGCAAGTCAAGGGGTCATAACAGAGTGTTTTGTACGGTTTGGCGCCACCAAAGCTATTGTGAACGGGTTGGCCGTTTCCAGTGGTAACTCAGTATTTTGAGTTTTTGCCCACTGGCTACTTCTATAAGTTGAGGCATCGGTCTATAGTATTAAACCCCAAAAGTTGGAAACCGGATTAAGGACAACTAGTGCTGGGATTCCTTGTACATTACTCTGAAGGATTGAGGCTATTGGGTTTACAACTTTGGGGCTTCTGTTGTATTGCTAAATTAAAGGATGTTGGAGACTCAGTGATTGGTTCGGGTCTCTTTCCGTGGATACCGCCTTGAGCTTGGGGTTATCCTTGCAGAGTCGGGGAACTCAGTAAAGTAGGTATTGACATGGGTGTAGGGTGCAGTGTAGGGTTTGGGGTTTAGGGTGTAACAAGTAGGGTTATAAGTACCCGAACAGGGACCCTTATTACTGGGGTTCTGAAACTTACAAGACTTGTAAGTATGTTACATAACTACTTACTCAGTCCCCCCCACCCCCTAAGTAGGACTCACACCAGCACTTCATCAGAAAGATCTGAGCCCAACATTGTCCAACCACCAAAGTTTCGAGGGTTTAGAAGTTTAGGGGTTTAGGGTTCAAGAAGCCTTGCACTAAACCCCTGCAAAGCCCCTCCTTAGGCCTGACAGACAACCCAGCCTGATCCTGTATCATATGGGTGTTTGTCAAAATTATGGTCTGTTTGTGGGTCCTTATCATAATAATACGGCGCCGATTATTTAGGGTACCCCAAAAAGGGACCATAATTTTGACAACTACCCATATCACAGTGACATACAAGCCATGGGCAGCAATAGTCTGCTGACACGAACCAGTTTGGAACACGAACGCCTCACCTTAAGAACCCTCTGCCCGGTAAATGTGAAGGATCCTGAAGAGGGATCCCTTATAAGCGGCCTTATCTTGCCTCAGTTCTTTGGAACCCTTCACGCGGCCCACCTGAAGACCCCCAATTTAAAAACGCTGTGAAACCAGAACACCAGCCCCCACGAATTGCGACGAAGCGGAATCCGCCATAAATCCTAAACCCTGAACCCTGAGCCCTTTAAGCCCTAAACCCTAAAGCCTTAAACCCTAACACCCTGAACACAACAACCCTCAAACCCTAATACCCTCAAGCCCTAAACCCTAAAACCCTCAAACCCTAAAGCCCTACACCCTAAAGCCCTGAACCCCAAAACCTAGAGCCATCAACCGCCAAAACCCAGTGCCATTTCTGAGAACTGCGCCGGAAGCTTTGCATAGGGGGCCCGTAAGCTGGCGAAGCTTTCGGGCTTAGGGCGTGAGGGCTGAAGAACGCCAAGCTAATGTCATAGGGACCCTTACGGGGATTAGGGGGGAGGAGGGTAGGGGGTCTTGAATCTGAAATAAGGGCTCAATAAGGCCTATTTAAGCAAGTATAGTCCCCTACCCCCGTTCCCGCCTACTTAAAGGGTCATGGGACTTAGTAACTAGAGTCGCACGAGTCCTAGGTCGTAGACCGCCGGAACGGCTGCTAGGGTTTCGGGTTTAATTCAGAGTTATTGGTTTAGGGATTACATAGGGTCCGGGCTTTAGGGCATGTCGGTAGAGGGGCCTTCACAAATCGAATTTCGGGTTCCTTTCAAGGGCTCTTAAACGGGGTCTACAAGGGTTCCATAACAAGGGTGACTACAAGGATATTGCACGGGCTCGATGTTATAGGGGCCGTAGAAAGCAGAATCGGTTTTGGGCTGCATTAGACCATAGTTGTCAATAAGATGCGCACAGGAACAATAGGACGAAAGAGTTCGAGCCCTAGATTTCCAGACCTCCATGTGTCTAGGTCTCTAAATTAGGGTCCTGTTTAGGGTCTTTTTTTCATGGGGCTGCACACTATTTTGGGACCTCAAGAGGGACCATAATTCATGAGAGGAGAACTACCTACAGAGCAGAAAGCATCAGTCTGGCAGCACAGGAGGTGATGCGCCGCAGCTCGGGAACCTGCACAAGCCTCGAAACTCCCAAGCCTCGCCCCCAAACTTCCGAAGCCGCAAAACCTGCAGCTGAATCAACCAAAAGACAAGCAGGAGCACTGAAGCTTCAACCGCAAGACAGCAAGCAAACCGACACACGGGTTTCGGCTTAGGGTTTGGTGCTGACGGCATGTAATGTAGGGGCTCTACGAATCAGACATGGATGCTTTTACAGTAGACGCCCAAAAGTTGGAAACCCCATAGCCTCCATCCTTAAGAGTAAAGTATAGGGAATCCCAGCACTATTTGGCCTTAATCCGGTTTCCAACTTTCTGGGGTTTACTGTAGAACGGTTGATCATATAAATCCTGCATTACCTTAAGGGCCCTAAACTATGGGAATTATAGAATATTCCTTATTAATTATGGGTCATGCAGGGTTTATATCATCAACCGAAGCACTATGTATACGGAAAAAATCTTACGACTCTGCCCCCTGAGGCTCCAAGTACCTTATGATCATACGAGGCACTCCCCAAAATGCTAACCTACATTACTGCTATCCTAAATCCAAGTACCTGTTGATAGGGTCCTTGGGACCCTGAAGGTACCGTACAAGTACAGGAGCCTCAAGAACGCGACCCTGGGGATGCGCAGGCCCTCAACGAAAGAGGCCTGCCCGTGGGTCATGGCTTGGGCCGCCGACAGGGCCAAAGGACCCTGAGCAGGAGTTCAGCTTTAGTGTGTACCTGCTCAGTGAAAGACCGTTCCCTGTTATGATTTCCATGTATATGAAAAGATCCTGCACAAGTTATGTTACTTGGGTTTAGGGTAGGGTTTACTGTTCTTTAGGGTAGCCTACGGTTTAAGCGTCAGGGTTAAGGACAGGAGGTCTCACTGGTTTCATACCAAAGAGAGTAATAACTGTTGCGGCCAAAAGCACTTCCCCAAGACTTCCTTGAAGTCTGCTGGCGTGGGGACGTCGCTGTGGCGTTGATGCGAACATCTGGTCGATGTCCCCGTGACTATGACCGGACATAAGGCAGCTGCGCTGCCCCCGCGCCAACCGATGGCATGCGACAAGCAAGCTGATTGGTCTCAGAAGTGTGTTAGTCCTCATCTCGCGAGAGGTGCTATCCGCTTGAAGGCAGAGCTCACAGCTTGACGAACAAACACGCGGTTGGAAATGCGGCGGTGGAGCATGTGTAAGTGGATCTCCGCCGAGAAGGACGAATCCTTCGCCTGCAGCTGTGAAGCCCCACTTGGAGGGTCGGGGCATGCGCAACCGAACTGTGTATGGGTGGTGTCAATATTAGGGTCCCTTTCTGGATCCTTATAATACGGCACCTAATATTTGGGGTACCCAAAAAAAGGGGCCCTAATTTTGACAACCACCCGTATGTTCTACCCCCCCCCCCCCCGCAAACCAAAGTAGCTAGTTTGGGTGATAAGCCCAGCCATCCCTATACCTAAACCCAGACCCAAGGGCATCCTTCAATCTACACTATACTGAACTTAGAACCCTCGCAAAAAAAGCAATTTTAGCTGTTTCTTAGGGATTATAATAACCAAAGATTAAAAAATATTTCTAAGTACCCCTAAGTACAGGCAGAGCCGAGTGACGAACCCACGAAATCTAGAACCCTGGTGCCATCGAAACCTACAGTAGTCTTGAGAACGCCAGGCTGGGCCACTATAGGGGCAACTTATTCCCCCAAAAGGCCACCGAAACAAAAGGTTGAACTTTGCGATTGCTACTAATGGATAAGAGCCCAACACAGTTGAAGGTTGGGTATTGGGGATCTAAGAAACCTGCCGTAATCTTGGGAAGACCAAGCTGGGCCACTTTAGGGGCAATGGTCTAGGGGTTGGAGTTGGTGGCTCGACAAAGCTCCCATTCCAAAAGGCACTTACCTGAAAAACCTAGCTGTGCAAGGACTTGCATAAGGAGATCATAGGCAAGGAACCCCCCAAATAGTCTAGGCAATTATTAAGGGTTCTGTAGTAACCCTAAAGCCTGCAACACCTATCTGTGCAAGAACTTGCATGAGGAGATCATAATTAAACAAGGACCACCAAAAGGATAGGCCATTGACGGTTCAGGTAATCCCTATGACCTTAAGAGCCTTAAAACCCTGTTGGAATGTAACCGAGACACTACCTTCTTGATGCCCCCAAGAGAAAAGCGAGGCCCATAATACATTTGCACCTCAGCAAGGATAAGTTACCTGCTTCCTCCCCCAATAAGCCATAGAAACAAAAGGTTACACTTTCCGATTCCTGCTAAACTTGAAGAAACCATAAACAGTTTCACGGGGTATTGTGGATCTTGGGCTGATAGCAACCCGCACAATCAACCTTTCCCTAAATCCTGGCACGCTCAACCCCTGAAGCCCTGAACCTTAAGCCCATCGGTCTCTGGACCTTAGTTCTACTAGAAAAGGCGCCTAGATAATTACCAGCACTCTGTTGGAGGTTCCTTGTTTAACTAATTACAAACCTAATAAACCTCCAAACCGTCTTCTAACTATTACGGAAACCCTCGAACTGGAGAGAATCCCCACCCCTAAACCCAAAACCACCGACAAAGGGCCCTTTCTCGGCCTGGTGATCCCCATGTTGGCGGCCCCGGCCAGGGAGCCTTTGCTGCTTTCTTCTTCTTCGCCCTTCTGATTGGAGATGGAATCGGGGGGTCCGGCTTGATATAGGGGTCTTAATAATTAGAATAGGGTTTGGGGGTCCTCGTAAGGAATCCCCTCTCCCCCCCAAATCGTACTTGTAATTATTTAGGCCCTATAATAGGTCATCATTTCGGTTGAAGCTTAGGTTTCCTGGACTCTCCATTTGCAATGCTTGCAGGGTGCCATACGCTGAAGAGTCCTCCGGGCTCACTGGGCTACTGAGCAACACAGCACACCACTTGCTTCAACAAAACCTAAACTACTGTTGATGATATAAATCCTGCGATACCTTAAAGGACCCTAAACTATGGGAATTATGGCATATCCCTTATTATGGGTAATGCAGGATTTATATCATCCACCGTACGGCCCTAAGGCCGACAAGCCTAAATCCTACACCCTAAACGGCCCGAAACCCTGAAAGTGATAAACCTAAACTCTTAATTAGGTACGGCCCCCATACAGTAAGAGTCTATAATAGGGCTACTATTAAGGTCCTACTATATCTATATTACGAATAATATTCAACTATTTCTGAGTGGGGGCCGTACCTAAACTCTTAACTCTTAGTCCTCCGAAGCTCCAACTCGCGACCGAGACCTGAAGGGTGGGGCAGTAGAGCCATAAGTTCCCTAAAGGGGGTCAGAATTGGGATCATGATACTTGTACATTTATTCTACAGAAGCGAATACCTATTCTGATGTTCATGGCTTGGGGATAGCGGGTTTTAGGAGATGGGACACGTTTAGGGTTCACCCTAAACCCGACACTAGACCTTAAACCCTTGACCCCAAACCCGCACCCTAAACCTCCAAGCCTTGACCGAGGCCCTACTTAAAGGGTCATGGGACTTAGCAACTAGGGTTATAATTAGGGTAACTATACTTATAATTACTTATAACCCCAATTATGGTACTTATAACCCTACTTACTAAGTCCCATGATCCTCCAAGTACACCGTCCACCCCAGATCTAAAACCCTCAACCGGGACGTTGTTTGGAGGATCGGGCGACGTAGCAAGTAGACTTAGAAGTACCCTAAAAGGGAGCCTAATTGAGGTTATGATACATATAACACAAGCCGATAAAACAGCTAAATACTTAATAAGTACCCTTATGGAACCCTGTAGAAAGTACTACTTACTAAGACCCCCCCCCCCCCCGGCCCTCCAAGTACCTGACCCTGACCCTGGCGCAAAACCCAGAGACTCCAAAACCCCTTAATTAAGGAATATACCTTAAATTATAAGATTATCCCTAATATGATTTGAGGTATATTCCTTAATTAAGGGGTTTTGGAGTCTCTGGGAACGTCATAGGAAACCTGTGTCCCCTGCCACATCCACATACATCGACTCGGTCCTGACATGATTTAGGGTTTAGGGGTTTAGCGTTTAGAGGTTTGGGGTTCAGGGTTTAGGGTTTAGGGTTTAGGGGTTTAGGAGTTTAGGGTTTAGAGGTTTGGGGTTCAGGGTTTAGGGGTTTAGGGTTTAGGGGTTTAGGGGTTTAGGTGTTTAGGGTTTAGAGGTTTGGGGTTCAGGGTTTAGGGGTTTGAGGTTTAGGGGTTTAGGGTTTAGGGGTTTAGGGTTTAGGGGTTTACGGGTTTAGGGCGGGGGGGGATCTAAGGTTTAGGGTTTAGGGTTTTGGGGTTTGGTTTCCTAGAGAGGCCCGAAAACTTGTACTCCGAAGACATAGTATATAGTGGCAACTGAATGTTTCTACTTCCTTCACCACGTGAAGCAGGGTTTCTTTGCTAGTGCCCCTCCCCCTCCTCTCAAAACTCCCTGAATAGCCCACAGAAGCCAAAGGTGAAACTTTCCGATCCCCACTAAACTGTCAGAGCGCCAAACAAGTTAAAGGTTGGGTATTGGGGATCTAACATTCGGGGTTTGGGGGAACTAGAAATTTTGTTCGTGAAGGTTAAGGGCGTAGAGTGTCGGGATCAGGGTTTTAGACTTACGGTTTTGGGGTTTACCTCAATGCCATCAAACTTAATAACCGCATAAGCCCAATAAGCCCGAAATCTTGAAGGCATCCAAATGTTAGGAGTTTAAGGGTTTGCAAGATTTGGAAGCGAGGAGCTGTTGGAAAAGTTTTTGGAGTCCGATGGCCGTCTAAGGTAGGGATTAGGGGTGTAGAGTGCAGGGGAGAACCCTTGGGGATATAAACCCTCTCAAAAGAGTCCGGTTTAAGAGAGCTCGAAGTGGGGTTAAGAACGGTCCCCTTTAAGTGGTCTCCCTCCTACTACCTGTTACTACCTAGGATTGACAGCTGATACAGGTGCTTTACTAATCAGAATGTGGTTCTTGGGGTTCCTTGTTGTACTTGTGGTATCATATACCTTAAAGGCCCTAAACCCTAAACCCTAACGCCTTACTAAGGATTTAGTGCCCTTGTACAGTTGTCTCCAGGCTGTCTTCGACGTTTGGCTTTGACACTTCGGTCGAGACACGCCATGCAGCTGGTATAGCTCCAAAGGCTAAGCGTCTTAGGTTTAGGGTTAAGGGCTTTAGGGCCGGGCATAAGGCTTCGCGTTTAGGGGTTAAGGGTTTAGGGCTTTTGAAGAACTCCTTCTTAAAAGCTCAGTCTACCTTAATTAGGTTTAGGGTTTAGTCTGTAGGTCGCTAGGGCGATTGAAGGTTTGTGCGGTCTCGTAATTGTGTGGCTTCGAAATGTTCCAGGTGTTTTCGGTACCCAAAGTTAGAGGTACCTAGGTCAGAGGTCCGCATTTCAAGAATCGTAGTTTAAGTGGGGTTGCTTTATCTGAGACTCCCACAAACTCTCATCCAGTGAATAGACCCAATCGCTCAGAATTTATTCGTTTTCGGACTTGGGATTCTGGAAATAGTACATACACATGCGCACATAAGTTTACATACATATACGCACATGTTTTCCTGTTTAGGGTTAGCGCCGCGGACCATGGTGTTGCTTAAGATTTCGGACTCAAGGTCTAAGGCCCACCCCTGAAACCCATCGTGAAAAGACGACCGTATGAAGTGGATCCCAGGATTAGTGCCTGACAGGCTTGTATATACTCTCACGAAGCTTGAAACTCTCCAGCCTCGGACGCGCCATCACCGGAGAGAGAACCTGGATTCTGACTCAAGCTTCATGGCTGTTCCATGCCTGTAGGGCTTAGAGATGGCTTGATGGTGTAGGGATCAAAAGGTGTATGGTCTTCGGCTCAACAATCTTGCCAAGCAGTCCCAACCCCGTTTAGCTTGTAATGATGAGTGAGTTTCCACACTCTCCGGACAAGGAACACAATTAAGTAGCTCATCAAAAAACCAGTCTGCATTCTGAGCGGTACTCCTTCATGAACGAGTCTTGGGTGCTGTACAGACCAGTTGAGCTACTTCCGCCCTCTAATCTGCAAAGAAGCATGCAAACCTCTGCCTCTTTGTATACTTCCCCGACGCTCAGGCAAGGGTGTGTAAACCTTCTTGGAGGGTCGGAGGACTTAGTAAGTACGTAACAAGTAGACTTATAAGTACCCTAAAAGGGATCCTGGTTATGGTACTCATAAGTCTCTAAAATTTCTAGTTACTTAGTCCCCCGACCCTCCAAGTACTTCCCCGACGCTCTCGCAAGGGTGTGTAAACCTTCGGCATACGAAGCAGTTTACGAGGGCACGTCGCACTTAGAGCTTGAAACATTCAAGTCTACATATGGGGGTTTCAGAAAATTGGGGGCACCTTGTTATGGGGTCCTTATAATAAGGATCCCACGATTTAGGGTACTATATGAGGGTCCCCTATTTTCGGAAGCCCCCATATGCATATCTAGCACACTAATTACAGGACCTATCGCCCAGAAAGGCGCCTATAAACTTTTAGTCAACCCTCAACAAGATCAACGCCAGAAACCTGAACCCCCCTGAGTGTATTGAAGCCGGAAACCATGGCCAGCCCTTCACACACATCTAGGCTGTTCAGTAACCCACTGGGAAAAAGTATATACTTTTTTAGGCTTCTTATTTTCTTATTTTATAATGGGAACCCAGAAACCTGAAGGTAAAAAACGTGTACCACTGAACAGCCTGGACATATTACGTCTTTAGCTTCCAAATGCGTTCGTAACGGGACTCCCGAAACCATATTTCTGAGACTGTTCTGCTCATCTGGCCTCTTGGTACCAACTTACCTAGGACACCCAGTAACCTAAGACAAAAAAGGCCTCTCTTTTTGGTATTGGGTAACTTTATAAGGAACCTAGGACTACAAAAAGGGAATAAGGGTACTACTGGGCATCCTAGTTACACACAAGCCTTCAAGCTGCTGGAAACCTCAACAAACGTAGACTTGTAACCCTGAAGCCTAAACCCCAAACGCTTATCTCCGAGCCCAAATGGGAGTTTATGAAAATAGGGGACCCCAATAGAATACCCTAAATAGTAGATAGTAGGCCTAGAGTAGGACCCTTATTCTAAGGACCCCCCAAACAAGGTACCCCCTAATCGTCGGAAACTCTGTGCCCTAATAGAGCCCTTTAAAGGAACCCTTATAGTACTCATTATGGTAACCCTTTGCAGGAACCCGAAGGTACCCCTAGTTTTCGGAAACTCCCAAATCCCAGAGCCTCCAAAACTTCTTGATTAAGGAATATACCTTAACATCATATTAGGGATCCTATCAAAATTTAAGGCATATTCCTTAAATCAGGGAGTCTCTGGGTGCCCAAATAGTATAGACTTTGGCCTTCTATAAAGTACTCCCCATATTCCTTAATTAAGGGGTTTTGGAGGCTCTGGGATCTCTTCGATGACCTGGTGCTCGGGCTTGCGCAGCTGAGTGAAGTGCGCCACTCAGGGGCGCCTGACTTTGGAACGCGCAGGTTGAGTGTTCGGGGTTTAGGGTTTGGGGTTTACTATACTGAACTTAGAACCCAAGCAAAAATTGTAATTTTAGCTGTTTCCTAGGGATTATAATAACCAAAGATTCAAAGTTATTTCTAAGTACCCCTAAGTTTGGGATTTAGGATTTGGGGCTTCAGAGTTGCAGGAAAGCTCTCAACCCCTCCCCTCCCTTGATGCGGATGACAAGCGGAATCCCTACTATTTGCTTAAGAACCCCAAAAAAATAAAAAATATATTCCATATAGGGATAATATAGGGATAGTAGATCCTGATGTTAAGGCCCGTGATGTTTGGAGGTTTCTCGTCAGGGCTTCCCTAAACAAAACTGCGCCGTCAACCCACCCACCCCTGAATCGACAAACACCGAAATGCTTTGCTGGAAACGAACTGGTCGCAGATCCTCACGAAGACAGTAGGCCGTTTTCAAAACTGATGTTATGTCATGTACATTCTTAGTATTGTTGATTATTCAGGTTTAAGGTTTGAGGGTTTAGGATTTATAGTTCAGGGTTTAGGGTTTAGGATTACTGTCAAGCTCAAAACTATGCGAGGGCCCTAACTGAGAAAAAGGTGTCCTTGCGAACGTAGGCAGCTGCAATACTTGGAAATCGAGAAAAAGTGCAGGGATTCTGTGGATCAGCATGGCGCATTGCTCGTTCAATCGCGCCAGGTCTGTCCGCTCTTGGTCCAGAACCCTCACAAAGTCCATCACTGTAGTCGCGCAGTCGGCTGTCATCCCCAGCAGCAGAAGGTCACGAGCGCCGACACTTCGCCCATGCACTGTCCTACTCATTTCTCATCGCCGCGACTTTGTGGCACAACTGCAAGACCGCAGGGAGGTTCTGACAAATGGTGCTCAACGGCTTCGCCAGGGAAGCGCAGCGGTGCTTCGTGGCGCACACGGACAGTGGCGCCAGCTCATCGGCACTACTGCGGGTTTTGTGCATTTCTGAATCCTAAACCGTGCACTGTCAGCCCTGAACGCTCGGGACGCCTACAGCCCCACGATCGATTTTACAATGTTTGGGCTCTTTGAATAGTTTTACAGGGCTTGGTCTTTATGGGGTTTTGGGTTTTGCATGAATAGACGGGATCCCCAAAGCCATATAAGGCCCCATCAAAAAAACACGTAAACAACCTTGTAACACCGCATGATTAAGCTCCTGAACAAACACCCCCGGTGCACAACCCTTAGAACAAATCTCCTCAAAACTAGACCTTCAACCCCTAAAAAAAGTCCCTTAGACGTGTTTTTCTTAGCACGAGCCTGACAGGATCTGAACAAACGAATCCACCTCTCTACAAAACAAGGTATCCTACCATAACATGGCATATGACAGCCCTAGTTCAAGGCTTTGCTGCTTAGATCCTGCAGGCGGCTTGGGATCGCAACAACGTGAACCCCGGAAAGTTGGAACATGGATTTAGGACTATTCCTTAGCTTAAGGCACGAGGAGAATGATGGTCTCTGGCTTCTACGTTAACTCAGCACAGGCAAGGCAAAGTGAGCCTCCACTCGCCGGGCCGACCTGGGCTAAGATTGGTGAAATGATTTTTGGGTCTAGGCTGTAGCACTGTAATTAGGGTTTATAGGGACCGGGACTTTATGAAATGGGTTTGAGGTTGGTGGTTTTGACGGGATGCATGGGACAGTCACCCCAAGCACTCTGGCTCGAGTTTCAGGAATTGGTGATGATAGCAGCGCTACTATTGGGAATTGTTCCCACGCTTTCGGGTGCTGACTCAAGGTGACCGAGGGTTTTGTCGATCTGCAACAGTTCGGTACAGTATCCGGACTAGGCTTTAGAAGCTTAAGGGTCCTAATGTTGGGGCTTGAGACACTGCTTGGAGAGTCGGGTGACTAGGTAAGTAGATATCTTAAGCTACTTCTAAGTCTACTTCTTGCCGACTTACGAAGTCCCCGACCCTCCAAGTAGACATCAAACTTTTCCAGGCAATTGGTGTCTCGAAGAAAGGTGGGAAATCCTCTTCTGCACGCAGCAAATTGCAGAAGGTGAGGTGGAGCATTGGAAGAGAGTATCCTTAAAAAGAAGTTCCAACCTAGCTGAGAACCTGTTACATGTTGCATATCAGCGCTGGTTCACTACATCGCACATCGCCTCTTGCGGCACCCAGAGAGCGCAATACTGATAATTTGGCGTATATTCCTTGACTGAGGGGCATTGGGCTCTCCGAAAACCTCCTTCGTCCGCAATCGTGAAGAGCAGGAAGACTTGTTGAACGGTGTCTCACGCCTTCTGCCTCCTTGCCCTCGCGGCTCCCATCTGCACATCTACTATCAACCCACTAGTCTAAGGTGGCAAGAGGCAACATAAAACAACTACTCGCCGACACCCCAAGGCCCTAAGAATCCACGAGGCAACCCTAAAATCTAAATTCATTCCAAGCCTACCGAGCTGAGAAGCCAAGAGGCCTCATAGACCCAAAACCCTGAACCCTATTTCCCGAAACTCCATAAACACTGATAAGTCGTTTATCCTCCTCAAGAAGGCACGCAACATGTTGTCCTAATACCTGAACCTTATGACTATGAACTCACCGAGCTCTGTGCCAAAGAGGTCTCAGACACCTTATAGCCCACTGTAAATCAGCCAACAGGCATTATAAACACGTACTCTGAAACCCTGAACCTGAACCTGTGAATCCCGTCTGGGTTTGGGGTTAAGGGCCCGAGAAGGTCAAGAGGCCTCATAAAAAGCCCTATAAGACCCCAACACCAGAACCCCCTTAACGAAGCCCAACAAACCATCCTGAACGGGCTTGAGGTTCAGCTGTCATATAGGAATTCAAAGTACAACGGTGGATGATATAAATCCTGCATGACCCATAAAAAGGGAATATACCATAATTCCCATAGTGGCGGGTCCTTAAGGTAATGCAGGATTTATATCATCAACCGTCCAGCCCCCAACCCCCAGGCGCCGAGAAAGCCGAACCGCTGAACCCCCCTTTTGAGCCGAGAAAGCCGGAACCTGTGGCAGTGGGTTGTAGGGGCCAAGGGGCTTCATAAAACAGCGCCTCTACCGCTTGAGAGGCCCGGAAGGCATCTTAACAGGATTTAAGGTTCTAGTTCAGTAACCATATGGGAATTCATAGCTTCAGGGTACCGTTACTTTGAAGGCTCATTTGGTCCTTGAGGTAAGAAGCGTTCATATACCATATACGAATTCATAGCCCCTAAAAGCCCTGAATGCCCTGTCAACTTACTCCCCAAATAACCCACAGAAATAAAAGATTGAACTTTCCGGGTTCTACTAAACTGTAAGACCCAAAAAGCTTAAAAGGTTGGGTATTGGGGATCTTAGGCCCTCTTCAGGAGCACATCCAAGGGCAAAAGGAGGGACCCTTAATGGGGACCCCTACCCTATAATGGACCATATAATGGGTATAGAACAGCTATATTATGGGTATATACCTAGGGGTCCTTATTAAGGCTTCCTCTTTTTATCCTTTCTTAACCCAGACCCCCCGGGACTGGAAAAGTAGATCCCCTAATTTGGGGCCCTATACTACTAAGGGTACTTTATAGGAACCCCCCATTAAGGATCTACTTCTTGGATCCTCCAAAGGGGGTCTGGGAAGGAGCCAAGAGGCATGCAGCCCGAGGAGAGGCGTGGCTCCGGGAGCTTCGCGCCAGCTTCAGCCTGGCCCAAAGCCCCTCTGGGTGGTTGTCAAAACTCTACTGAACTTAGAACCCTAGCAAAAATCATAATCTTAGCTGTTTCTTAGGGATTATAATAACCAAACATTTAAAATATTTCTACTTACCCCTAAGAAAATGATGGTCCCGTTTTGGGTTCTTAGGGATTATAATAACCAAACATTTAAAATATTTCTATTTACCCCTAAGAAAATGATGGTCCCGTTTTGGGTACCTTAAATATTGAGTGCCATACTATAATAAGGACCCAAAAAGGGACCCTACTACTGATAACCACCCCTCTGAAGGCTCGCGGTGACGACGTGGCGTAGGGTTCCTTTAAGGGGTAGTCATTAAGGGTTCCTTATTCATTGAAAGGTTTAATTCTATAGAGAGTTCCTAATTGGGGTCTTTTAAAGGGTAATTCATGCATTAAGGGTTCCCTTATAGGTTGATGTTCTATAAAGGTAGTCCCTCCATAATCCCATAGCGGGGTCCTTCTATTCCTTCCCCTCTTCCCTAAGCACAAACAGGTGCAGACTGAGTAAGCAGGTGAAAATTCTGGCTTCAAGTTCCTTTACGGGTTTGCTAGGGGTTTTTGGAAGGGTTTAGGGTATTGTGGATATCAAAGGACTTCGCAATTCTTTAGGGTTCCTTTAAAGCTTGTTTTCTGTGAAGAACAAAAACTGTACAGGGTACTAGAGAGAGCTACAAACTCCTCGACAACGGGGCTGTCATAGGGTTCTACAGAGTTTGGTAGTTTCCTGGGCTTGAAAGAGGGTACTCCCAACTTCCTGAAGGGTTCTAAATGGGTACTGTAGAAGTACCGATAGGCCATCAGGGCTCCGGGTATGTGGTTCTATGTAGAACCTACTTTCCTCCAAAGGTTCATGGGACTTCGCAGCACCCATTCGAGAGTGAGCTTCGAGCTTTTCTGGACATGAATGACGGAACCCTAAACCTAGGTATGGTGAGGTATTACGTATCCGGGGACTATAGTCGATAAAGCCGGACGACAGATGATCCTACTCGGGGTTGATCCAGGCATTACTTATCGGGTCGCTGATACTTCAAGTGGTGGGGCGCGTGCATTAAGCTTATGGCTTAAGATTTAGGTTTAGAGTTTCACGTTTTTGTTTTTATGTGTAATGGCCAGGAACGAGTCCCTAGTCTGCCTTTACAGAGGTGAAACGTATCCATGCAGGAAGACACCGAACTTGATCGCAAGGCCTGCTGCTCTCGTCACCAGCTTCTCGCTTTGAAGTCACCCCTCGGCAGGTTCAAGGTTCTTCTCCACAAAGTCAGTTTCAGACCATTCATTGCTTCCTTTTCTGCACCTTGTTGCCATGTCGTAGAAGAGCTCGTTCCAGAGTTCCACCCCTCCACTGTAGTAGACGTGCTGGTCGAACGGTTTAGGGCTTCGGGTCTTGTATAGACCCGCAGGACCCAAACTAAGCAAACACTGATTGCAATGTTGCATTGTCGCAGCAGATGCAGAACTTACACCATCTACATATTCAATTTCAACCAGCCGATTGACGCTGGCATCTTTCGTCAATCCCCGCAGGGTTGCAGCGATGTGACGCCGGCCGCGTGCTAAGGCCAGGGCACGGTTTGTGATTTCAACCTGGGACCAAGGAGAACAGGGGCATGTGCGCATTAAGAGCAGCGCGTCCCACAAGAGCGGTCCCCAGAACGCGATGCGTCCGGCTGCACGATTGCTCCACCGTAGGTCGTCGCGCTTGCGCTTGCAGCCAGCATGCTTAAAGGGTCATGGGACTTAGTAACTGGGGTTATAAATACGGGAACTATACTTATAACTACTTATAACCCCAATTAGGGCACTTATAACCCTGCTTACTAAGTCCCATGATCCTCCAAGCGAGGGCTGCCCAGTTGTCTCGTCATGCTGCGAACCTCATGCACAGCCTGCTTCTCGCTGGAATCCACCGACGCTGGACTGTCGCCTCCCACGCAGACACAGGCATCTTGGATTTATCGGGCGCTCTGTTGATGTCGTTCATCTCCTTAACCCTTAGAACCTTAATCTTGAATCTCGAAACCTAAATCCTAAACGGTGTGGGCGCTTGCATCCCCTTTCAAGGCACATTTCAAGGAAGCCTTAAAGCAATCCTTCTGGGTTGTGCTTTAAACCCCTTGAAAATTGTTTATGAATAGGTTCCCTTAATCCCAAAGCACAACCCAGCCTTAGAACCCTTGAGGGTGCAAGTGGGGCCCTCCGACTGCGAAGCGGCGCACCTCCCGGAGTCGCCCCCCAGCCATGAGATCCTCCACTTGGAGGGTTTAGGGTTTTCGGGTTTTAGGGTTTTTAGGGGTTTAGGGTTTTAGGGTTTTTAGGGGTTTAGGGCTTAGGGTTTTAGGGTTTAGGGGTTTAGGGTTTAGGGTTTTAGGGGTTTAGGGCTTAGGGGTTTCGGGTTTAGGGGTTTAGGGCTTAGGGTTTTAGGGTTCAGGGGTTTAGGGCTTAGGGGCTTAGGGCTTAGGGTTTTAGGGTTTAGATCCTCGACTTGGAGGCGTGGTTTTCGTTGCGTTGTCTTTCTCTCTTGATATCATCGGTACTACTAGCAATGTATCGGAATTTGTATCATTGCTACATGTCTACTATTCGTAATAGCTCCGGTATATGCCCTAGCACTTGGCATGTGTGTTTGTTTATTTGTTTATTTGTTTGTTTTTGCTGTTGCTGTTGCATTTGCTGTTGCTGGTGTTGTTGTTGATGCTGCAAGCCTCTCGGCTCAGGAAAGGTCAGGCTAGTACGGTTGCCTTTTTTCCTTTCTTGCCATGGCATTTGTCAGCGCCTGAGCAGTCCCGGTCCCAAGTCCGGGAGGGAGTATTAGATTTACAGCTCTCTAACATCTCCCAGAGGTGAGGGTTGTCGGTATTGCGAAGCCGACAGGAGCCGTACTCAACATGAGTGCTGCGGAACAGCCTAGTGGTTCGACCAAGCATCAGCCCGTTCCTAAAGGGAAGGGTAAACGCTCTTATCAAAGGGCAGCACGTAAAGCTCTGCTTGAAGGTAGTGCGGTCTACAAGGGAAGGACGATGTCGTCAACAGAGCTTGGAGTTGCGCCGGCACATGTAAAGCCCACCAATCCCGGCAGAAGGACTCGGCCTTCAAAATTTACAGAAGATAAGAATCTCAGCTATCTATCCTGGAACGCAGGATCTCTCACAACCGCAGTTTGGGAAGAGTTACTCTCCGTACTGCAAAGTGCCGCATTTCAGGATGTGAAGCTGGTAGCAATTCAGGAAACACACTGGAGGGGCTCATGGCAATTCAGCAAGTCTGGTTGGCACGTGATCAGCTCTGGTTCCACAGGGGAGAAGGGAGCCGGGGTCCTCATAATGGTGCACTCCACGCTGTGCAAGTCACAGGATCTTCGCTACAACGAGGTTGTTCCAGGACGAGTTCTCCAGGTCCGGGTGCCGAGCAACGGCATCTCACTGGACGTCTTCAGCTGCTATCAATACGTTTGGCGCTCTAAGGAGACAGTCGCTCAGAATAAGGAAACCCGGAAGCAGACCCTTCACGTCCTAAGTAAGTCCATCCGAGCTGTTCCCAATCGCAACACTCTCCTTGTGCTAGGAGATTTTAACTCCTCGCTCAAGACCGACAACAAACACGTCGGGCCATGCACGATCCAGGCTTGCAGACTCGGGCATCGCGGATCTAAGGATCTCCAGACCCTACTGTCGGAGCACCAGCTAGTCGCAACCAACACTTGGGGAGTGCATAGACCAGCCACCCCCGAACAAGGCAACTCTGTTTCACAGATTGACTTCTCGTTTGTCAGGATTGCACAGTCCCAAGGCCCCGCCAGGTTTTGCCGGCCACTAAGGACCTTCCCAGTTGCATCCTGGAGGGATGGTAGTAGGCATTTCCCCCTTCTTGGTAAACTGAGGCACAGCAGGAGATACTCCGCCCAAGCCTCAAAACCCTATGACCAGCAGGCAATGGAGGACTGCTACAGACACCGTTCACCGAAAATACAGGCATTTGCCAGGGAGGTAGACTCCCTCCTTCAGGATCATCCCCAAACCTGGCAGAGTCTCCATCAAGCAATGAACTCAGCCCTCGCGACTCACTTTCCCAAGAGAAAGGAAGCAGCACAAAGATCAGATCTCAGCATCTGGGAAGAGCGCTCTGTGTTGCGCTCACTCCCACTAGCAGTCAAGGTCTCAGCAGAGTTCTTGCCCGAGCTGCAGGTCCGTATGGTGTTCCGATGCTGGTGCTCGTTCTCCCAGCAAAGTGCACAGGCGAGGGTAGCAAAGCGTCACAAGCAGGAGCGGCGGCGGCAGGAAATAGATGAACAACTCCAGCAGGCAGAGCTTAAGTCCAAGCAGGACGGGAGTCATTCCCTTTACAAGGTAATCAAGCGCTTCAGATCGGGGAGGCCCCATGAAAGAGTTCAGCTTCGTGATTCTGAGGGTCGCTTCCTTACTGCCAAGGAAGAAAGAAGACAATTAGAGGAATATTCCCTAGACCTGTTTGGAGCAGGGGATGACTTCCCGCTTTCAGGGATACAAGGCAGCCTGCACATCACTGAGCAAGAAGTGCAAGAACAGCTTGGCACAATAAAGCTGGGCAAGGCGGTTCCTAAAGAGAGTCCTCCCGTAGTAGCCTGGCGCTCCCTAGGTCACCAAGCAATCCGGCTAATCTCGGACACCCTTAATAGGGAAGTCACTGCAGGAAGGCTCTCGGACAGTGTCACCTCGTCACAGATCTCCTGGCTCCCAAAGCCTCCCAAGAAGCCAGACAAACCAACCTCACTCCGTCCGATCGGGGTGATAGCACCTGAGGGTAAGGTCCTAGCCGGACTCGTGAGGAAGAGACTCAAGTATACCCTCCAGCTAGCAATGACCGGCGTCTCTCAGTTCGGCTTTGTCCCAGGCAGGGGCACAGAGGAGGCTATCTGCAAGGCCCTCACACATGTGGACCAGGCCAGGTTCAGACAGGCCCTCACCGCTAGGGCTGCAGGTAAGGGACAACAGGGGCTCAAGCTCAGAGGCAGTCTCACCATGAGCGTGGACATGAGCAAAGCTTTTGACACTGTAAACAGGCTGCGATTAAGAGAGGCCCTGGAAGCCGAACAAGCAGATCCTCTTCTGATAGAGGTGGTAGGCCATCTCCACATCAAAGACTTGTATAAGATGACAGCCAGCGATCAGAGCTTTGAGATAGCCACACGCAGGGGAATCAAGCAGGGATGTAAGCTAGCACCCTCTTTATTCGCCTTTGCATCAGGGCTTCTCTTTAGGAAGCTCTCTGGGAAAATCAGCCCAGCAGAACCAGTGAAGCTCCTCACAATGTACGCAGATGATAGCTTGATCCAGTCGCATTTCGACTCTGAGGCCGGCCTCATGGGAGCACTAGGGTACTGCGACCTGCTTCTGGATCAGCTGGTAGAGCTTGGGTTCAAGGTCAATCCGTCCAAGTCAGCAATTCTGCTACAGCTGCAAGGGGGCTCAGCCTCGACCATTAGGAAGAAACTCTTTCGCCAGGTCGAGGGAGAGAAGTATATTGAACTCCCTTCGGGCAGGCTGATATCGCTGCGCTATCAGGTCCCATACTTGGGGGTCATTCTTTCTTATCACGACTATGAAATGAAGACTCTCAAACATCGGCTGTCATCCAGTAAGCTTGCAATGTCAGAAGTAGCCCATGCAGTTCGGACCCACCGAGTCTTATCAGACAGACGTCGTCTGTCGATTTGGACAATAACTGCGTGGGCCTCTGCTCTGTATGCACTCCACGTGGTGGGGATGACACAGCAGGGATTGCAAAAGCTCCATTCACACATGATGTACCAACTCAGATTCGTCCTGCGGAGTTACTCCCAGGAAACGAAGGAATCAAAACAGGAGTTACTCCGGAGATTACGGATTCCTCACGTGAAGGAGCAGCTGCAAAAGAGAATGACCCAGTTTATAAAGAGACAGCAACACTCCGATCCCCAGCTTCTCCCACACTATAAGTTGCGTGCTGAGGCAGTTAGCCAGGCATTGGAAGGCCTCTCCACGGACTTTTCCTCGCACCATGTGGAGGATAGGCTTCTGACCTGCGGTGAATGTGGAGCATGTCTCTCTGGCACCGGAGCACTCCGTCGCCACCTGCAGAAGGCTAACCCAGATTCTCAGCAGTGCCTGAAAGGACCCAAATTTGATCCTATTTTGCATTCAATGCCAGGGTCAGCAACTTGCATCGCCTGTCGAGCAACATTCCGAACAGTGTTTTATCTGCGCAAACATGTCGAAGCATCTACCTGCCCTAGGGTAGAGCTTTTGCTTAGACAGCAGGAAGAGCTACCCTTAGAAGCACAGAACCGGATCTCACTTGTAGAAAGTCTACAGTCAGATGCCCAGGACAATCCAGAAGGCGCCGCTCGAAATCCGGCGTTCCATGATTACCTGATGGAACACTGCGCACTCTGTGGTCAGGTCCTCGTAGGCCAGAAAGGAGCCAAACAGCATTTAAACAAGCAGCATCTGAGGTGATGGCCAAGCTGGAGAAAACTCTCCAACCAAGACTCAATCAATTCAAGGTCTTCTTCCACAAAGGAGATAGCTGTCGATACTGCAAACTTCGTGTGGGTGCCCCGGGTAGACATGCTCAGCAGTGCGTTCCATTACTGCAGGTGCACGTACTGCAGGAGGTAGCGCGCCAGCAGCTCAGCAAGCAGCCCCGAGAATATACTCGAGCAAAGTCCACGGCATCGGCGAAGACAGTCACAAAGAAGCCTTCAGATTCAACGCCAGGAATTCCTCACCCCGTGTTTAGACTGGAAGGCTTTCTCCTGCTAGCCTATACTCGCAACCACTGCTATGCCAACTCAGGTCTGCAGTGTCTCCACTGGCTATCAGATCCTTCAGAGGCGACTTTCCAAGAGGCATCCCGGATCAGTCAGCTTGCGAGAATCACCCCTGAACACAGAGTCTTCTCGGAGCTCACCATGGGCTGGCTCTTTGACGGAGGCCAGCACGACTCTGCTGAGTTCCTGCAGCAAGTGTTTCGGAATCTCTCTGCATCAAGATTTGGACAGTGGGAAACTAGAGCCTCAGTACCGGAAGGCGTGATAGTGGACGAAGAAGGGGGCTCTCCCATTCATCCTGCCACGGCGATCAAGACCAACCTACAGGACATGCTAGTGGCATGGTCGTCTCAGGAGCGCTCATGTGCTCTCATAGAAGCTGCACAGCAGGTGTGCTTAGCCTTGCCGAGATTCGCAGGTGAAGCTAAGGATCACACTCGCATCACAATCCCACAGCAAGTCCAGATCCCTGTCTTCCTGGACCACACATCCCGAGTTTCGTTCTGTACCTACACAGTAGAGGCAGTGATCATTCACCTAGGAATGGAGTCCACTAGTGGCCATTACCGTGCAGCTGTACGCACAGCAGATGCCTGGTATGTTGGTGATGACTCCCACCCCCCTAGTCCCTGTACCCTCGAAGATCCCCTGCTTCAAGAAAATAGCTACGTCATCTTCCTAGCTCGCAGCGCCGTCTCTCACGAGCCCCAGGACGTAGCCAATCTCCCGAGTAATGTCTCTGCAAGAGCTCTTCCAGCGAGCATCGATGGATGAGAGCTCTGCCCCTAAACGGGGAGACGCAGGTCCGTCAGGTGGAGATTCTCCCCTGAAGCGACAGCGTGGTGGAGGTACTCCCCAGCAACGAGGCAGAGGACAACAGCGAGGGGGCAAAAGCAGGGGACGAGGAAGCGGAGGCCGAGGGAACGGAGCAGCCAGAAACCAAAATGGGAACAGTGGCAACACTCAGCAGGGACAAGACCGTCTCATGGCAGCCTCTTCCTGAGCCAGACGCCTTGCGGAGATGCTCCCTTAGGAGGAGACTCTCCCCAACAATCGGAGGAGTTTCTCCCCTTGCCATGTGTGTACAGCTGGTGGAGTTTCTCCCCAGCAGCTGAGTGCAAAATGATCCGCTGCCAATCAGCCAGTGATACATTGCAACCAAGCCGGTTAGCTTTCAAGCTACTGCCGAAATCATAACGCCGCATAAGACTCTGAAGACACATTCGCTTCCCACTTCACAGCTTGCAGCCCTGAGGGGCGGAGCGTGTGCAAGTGCAGCGCTGAGGCACGGCTTGCCGTGAAGAGTGACCGCGCAAGTAGTAAGCAGGGCACTAGGTCGATCCCTCGCAAAGCGTGGACGATAAGTTTCACCACAGACAGTCCTCCCCCGCTGCGTGTGAATGAAATGTTGATGCTGCGGTTGTTGTTATCGTTGCTGTTGCTTTTGTTGTGGCTGGTGTTGCTGCCATTATAACTCGGTCGTTAGTACGATTAGTGACGTGATTTGCTCTCCTCAACGGCCCTCTTTCCGTCTGAAATTGTAGTTGTTCGGGTTGAGGAGTTAGACCTGTGTAAACAGTTTGGAGAGGGTTTGCAAACCTCAGACGGTACGTATTTCAACGGGGTTTAAGTGTAACACATAGCCAAGAGGCGGGTTCTAAGCCCTGCACTTTGGGCAGAAATACAATACACCCCAACACTTAATTGCCCCGTTTGCTGCTTCAAGAAGTAGAAGCTTATCTTGGGGATTTTGAGTGCTTGTCAAAGCCTATAGAGGTTAAAGCTTACTTTCTCTACTGTTCTTACGGAAACCAACAGCTCGGCTAGTTGCTTCGCATGATCAGGACCGACTCGCTTCTCGCAATAACACAGGCCGAAAACCGCGCACCTGCTTTCGATAGACAAGTATATATTTGGAGTCCAATTTGGAGGGTCGGGGGTTGTCAGTGGTTTCTTTCAAGACTTGTAAGTATCAGAACCCCAACTAAGATCCCTGTCAGGGCACTTCAAACTCTACTCATTGCCTACTTACTATGTCCAAAGACCCTCCGAGGAGGGACTCGCAAGGTTTCAGCATCGGCAAGCCCACGAGTCCCCAATCCGCTAGAGACGGCTTTCGAGTGGTAAAGGTCCGGGGTTCGATAGAGTAGGGCGTGGAAACATATCATACTATATACATGTATGCAGGTATAGTGTCACTGGGTTTTTGTCTGACGGGGTGTGTGGACCTGCTTCTGCGCTCTCCGAGCAGCGCTGAGCCAATCAGCCGCAGGATGCAGCTTGACAAGAATACCTTAATCCCAAGTAACCTACCTTTTTAAGGGCTTATATAAAGAAATCATATTAGGGAACCCTAAACAGGCAGGTTCCTTAGGGTCCAGGTAGGTTGAACCTTTCCTACTTCGGGCCAAATCAGGTCTCCTAGACACGACGCGGGTAAACCCTAGCCCCCTGAATGGTCCGTGAGCCTGAAGCCCCTGACCCACACTGATGCTTGCTTCAGTCAAGCCCGCCTCACGAGAGATGGGCTTTTCAGAGACGACTTTCGTTTCTCCAGCCTAAGCGAATGGCGAGGGTTTAGTTTTGGGTTCAGGGCTTAGGGTTGCGGCCTAGTACTCATACTACCACTTCTACCACTACTACTACCACCACCACCACCACCACCACTACTACTACTACTACTACTACTACTACTACGAGTACTACGAGTACTACGACTACTACGACTACTGCCACTACCACTACCACTACTGCTCCTACTACTACTACTACTACTCCTACTACTACTACGACTACTACGACTACTACGACTACTACGACTACTGCCACTACCACTACCACTACTGCTCCTACTACTACTACTACTACTACTACTACTACTACTACTGTTGATGATATAAATCCTGCATTACCCTAAGGACCCTAAACTATGGGAATTATGGTATATTCCTTATTATGGGTAATGCAGGATTTATATCATCAACCGTACTACTACTACTACTACTACGCGGTAGCGGTAGCGGTAGTGGTGGCAGTAGTAGGAGTAGTAGTAGTAGTGGTAGTAGTAGTAGTAGTAGCAGAAGTACTAGTAGTAGCAGGAGTAGTAGTAGTAGTAGTAGTAGTAGTAGTAGTAGTAGTAGTAGTAGTAGTAGTAGTAGTAGTAGTAGTAGCAGTAGCAGTAGCAGTAGCAGTAGTAGCAGTAGTAGCAGTAGTAGCAGTAGTAGCAGTAGTAGCAGTAGTAGCAGTAGTAGCAGTAGTAGCAGTAGTAGCAGTAGTAGCAGTAGTAGTAGTAGCAGTCGTACCAGTAGTAGCAGTGGTAGCAGTAGTAGCAGTAGTCTACCTCTACCACTGCCACTGCCACTGCTACTACTACCACCTTAAAACCCTTGACCCAAACAGCACATCCAGCACCCCCGAACATTGGGGTCTTGGGTGATCTGCACCAAGGGAAGACGAAGGCCCCCCCACACACTCACAAGCTTCAACACTGAGTTCCTGAAAAAACAAACGACGAACACTCCTTATATCGAACCGCAACACAGTCATGTCAGGTCATATGTCAGGAACCCTCAAGGGAACCCTTGGAAGTACCGAAATCGTAAGTCCAAACCCTACTCACATAACTTCAATCCACAACCCTAAAACCCAAACCACTAAGCCCCTAACTAAGCCCTGAAACGTTAAACCCCACAACTCCCCTAAACCCTAAGCCCCTAATCCCCTAAATTCCTATCGTACCCTATAGATCCCGTTAAAGGATCCCCCAGGCCCCTAAAAGCCCCAAGCCCTATATACCATGATCATCTTAAGGAACCAGCAAAAACATCATCGGCAATTATTAAGGTCCCTAGGCCCCTAAACCCTATACTACCCGCTACACATTCCTCTAAAGGAACCCCTAAAAATACATTCCTTTAAAGGAACCCCTAAAAACCACTAAAAAATACATTCCTTTAAAGGAACCCCTAAAATAAAACCCCTAAAACCCGCAGCAGACTTTCCCTGGGCCCCGGAGCGCGGAGGAGCTCGTGCTCGAAGTGCTGGCGCGGGCTCACCTTGGTAGGGTTTAACCTACTTAGGCAAAGCAGGGCTTGGGTTTAGGGGTTTAGGGTGTTTGTGGGGGTTTATGGGGTTTAGGGTTTAGACAAGTTTATGTGCTTACAGTTTAGGGGAATATAGGTGGTTTAATCTACCCCTGGGAGGATCCAAAAAGTAGATGCCTTAATGGGGGCTCCCATAAAGTACCCTTAGTATTATAGGGCCACAAATTAAGGGATCTACTTGGGTGGTTGTCAAAATTAAGGTCCTTTTTTGGGCCCCAATTATAGTACAGCACTTACCCAAAAAGGGACCATATTTTTGACAACCACCCACTTAGAGGATCATGGGACTGAGTAAGTCAGGTTATAAGTAGGTTATAGTTAGGATAACCCCACTTAGGGGACTTATCATCCCTATTATGACCTGCTTACTAAGTCCCATGATCCTCTAAGTAGGAAAACCCTAAACCCTAAACCCTTAACCCTAAACCCTATGATCCTCTAAGTAGGGGCGCCTTTACAGTTCGAGTGGGGTTCCACCATCTACTAGTGTGACTGTTGTGTTAAAGGAATCTATAGCATTATCGGAGCTCACCTTGGTAGGGATTCGGTTCTGGGGTTTAGGGGTTTTCAGGGGTTCTAGGGGGTTTAGGGGATCCTTCAAAGAGATCTATAGGGTATTGTTGGAGTTTAGGAGTTTAGGGTCTGGTGTGTAGGGCTGGGCATGCGGGATTAGGATTTGGGGCTTAAGGTTGAGGCTATACCCGGTTTGAGGGATTCGGGTTTAGGGTTTAGGGCGTGAGCTTGGGGAACTGGTTGAATCACAGAAAGGGGCTCGGTTTGAGAATAAGAGCGCTCCACCCATGGGAGTCTTTAAAGGGCTCCTTGCAGGCTCGTTTCTGGATTTGGGGTTGGGTTTGAGGGTCATTCCGGGTTTGTGGTTTGGGTTTGGGACTGGGGGTTTACTTGGAGGGTCGGGGACTTAGTAACTAGTTATCTTGGAGACTTATAAGTACCGTAACACCAATTAGGATACCTTTTAGGGTACTTATAACCCTACTTATTACCGACTTACTAAGTCCCCCGACCCTCCAAGTAGGGTTCGCAGGATTCGCAGGCAAGGCTTTCGCCATGGTTTCTTCCAAATGGGTAGTTGTCAAAATTATGGTCTCTTTTTGGGTCCCTATTATAATACGGCACCTAATATTTTAAGGTAATTACCCCTAAAAAGGACCATAATTTTGACAACCACCCAAATGGACGCTGGCATTTATCTCTGAATCGGGTGTATAGCCTTGGAGTTTTCAGACATATGCTTACATGTCATTGTCTCTGGAAGGCTTACTACTATTTGCTTAAGAACACCCAAAAAATAAAAATATATTCCTTATGGGGGTAATATAGGGATTATTATTTTATTTTTTGGGTGTTTCTTAAGCAAATAGTAGCTTAGGCTTTAGGATTTGGGCTTTGCGCTCACCTTAAAGGTGATGCTGGACTGTCCTGCTCTTGGATGGCGAGCAAAAACTTTTCATGCAGTGGCCTGACCGAGTAGATAGACTCCCCTTAATTAAGGAATATGGCTTCAGTTGTATAGGGCTTCATATCATGATTTAAGACGGGGTATTGGACTCTCTGGGCATGGCCTGCAGTAAAGAGTTCCAGGGAATAAGAGTCAGACCCTGTACCCTACTTGGAGGGTTGGGGGGCTTGGTAAGTAGCTAATAAGTAGAGTTACAAGCACCCTAAAAAGGGGATCCTAATTGGGGTTCTGGTACATATAAGTCTATACAATGGCTACTTACTAATTCCCCCGACCCTCCAAGTGGCCTGCAGTAAGGAGCCTCAGGGAATAAGAGTCAGACTCTACACCCTAAACTTTAGAACCCCCCAACTCAGGCAGAAGTAGAATCCTAAAACTCCAACGGTAAAAAGAGCTATGGGTGTAGAGCAAGGCCCCTAGCGTCTTCTGTGTCTAGTTGAAACGCAGGCTTGGCTTAGGAAGGTCAGTGTGAAACGAAAGAGAAACTCGGGCTTGGGGCATGGAGGGTTCACAGAATGCCCTGCATAAATTATGGAAAAAGCCGCTGGCTTCTAGGTGGTCAAGTTGCCGCCCTCCCAGACTCCCGGGAGGATCTAGAAAGTAGATCCCCTAATTTGGGGCCCTGTACTACTAAGCTACTATTTGCTTAAGAAACCCCCAAAAAATAAAATAATAATCCCTATATTACCCCCATAAGGAATATTTTTTTTATTTTCTGGGGGTTCTTAAGCAAATAGTAGTAAGGCTAAGGGTACTTTATCGGAACCCCCGTTAAGGGATCTACTTCTTGGATCCTCCCCGGGGGTCTGGGCTTGCTGAGGCCCGATCACGCCGAACCACGCCAGTAGGACCCGGATGCAGCATCTGAGGTGAGACCTGGGGCACTAAACCCCAGAACCCGTACATAGGCCTAAACCTCTCAAGTCCCTAAACTCCCAAACTCCTATAGTAGCCTATAGATCCCTTTACAAGATCCCCTGAACCCCTAACAAAACCCCACCCTAAACCCTAAACCCCTGCTGTCCTGGAGTCTTGAAAACATCAAGTGATGGATCTGTGCCTTTGGACGACTCTTGGGGCTGAAGCGCGAAGTTTATCCGGCCCTGAGGCCTACACCCTTGGGGGTATCGGGCTTCGAGGACCTACCGTGGAAATACCAACGTTTGCAAACTGGATGTATCCTGGTCACGTTAGCTTCAACTGCGGTAGAATACGCGTGAGCTGGCAGGCTTTTGCGCCTCCTCCTCAGCAGTGCGTCAGTAGGGCTGAGGAAGTTTTGAGCGAAGAGAGCTGTTGTTTTTGTTGAGCAGTTGTGTGGTTCCCGTGCTGATTGTCGCAATTCTGCTGAATGCTCCAAAAGTTCCATTTACTGGCATTGGCAACCGCCATCCTGCAAGATTGATAGCCCGACGGCAGTCCGCAACAACCCCAAAACCGTTTTCCAATCTTTAAGGCCGCCTAGACCCTGGAACCCTTGTAAACAAGTAGTATTAATGGAACCCTGGTCCATTTTCAGAACTCTTTCAAGGAGGAACCCTGACCAGTCTCAAGGCCCCTATGTTGACGCAGCCCAGATAAGGCAGCCGCCGAGCTGGTTTGTGGCATCGACACGAGAGGGGCCGAACCGCCACCTTTCTGCCAAAGTTGCACAGGGGCTCTAAGGCTCTGTTGGGATCTAGGGTGTTAGGGTTAGGGTCTATATGGGAGTTTCCGGAAATAGGGAACCCTAATGTAGTACCCTAAATAGTAGGATCCTTATTTGATTAGGGTTTCGGGGTTCAGGCTTTTTAGGGTTCGGGTCTAGGGGTGTAGCGTTTAGGGAAGGCGTTTTGGGTTTAGATTTGCAGGGTTTTAGAGGAGGTTCTAATGCTGCTTGGGCTTACGGCTGAGAAAGAGGTTGGTAGGCTATCGAGGTTCGGGAGCTTACGACTTTACTACAGGGGCCTACATAATTGCTGATCGTACTACACCCTACACCTGTAGCTCTCACTTCTATGTCGCCCCCGAAGTGGGCGCCAGGGCGACGGCGAGGAGGCCGTAGGCTGGGAGAGGTCTCGCTACTGGAAAGGCATTTAATTTAGGGTTTGGGGTCTGAAGCTTAAGGGCTGAGGGTGGGATGAACCTGAGGTTTGAAGGTTCAGTGGTTTCACGATTAGGGTTACGGGTAGGGTTGCAACACTGTCAGATCCCACGCAATCCCTCCTTTAACTCGCACGACTTCACATGATTCACCATTCTGGATCTGTAATGCAGAAGCGAAAGAAGTTGTCGGCGGGCGTCCAGTACCGCTTGGCTAGGGTAGCAACTAGGGAATATGCCGTGAAGTAGTGGGACTAGTATTATGATTTAGCCTGTACGCCTTCAATATATCCGACCCCAAAACCATACCTTAAGCCGTGAACTCTGATCCTGACTGTCGGACATATTGAGACAACCCAATTCTTCAGGTGACGATCCGCGGCTGACCACTCAGGTGAAGGGTTTAGGGAGTCTAGGATAGCAGCCTTGAACTTGGAATGGACCTGGGGGGTTTATCCTACTATGCAACCTCATGGATTTGCATTACCCTCGTTGCTGAGCCCAAAAGTTCGAAAATGTGTAAACTGTCAGTTACAGGGGGTGGTATTTTCGGTTAAGGATCTGGGCTCGCTTGAAACTTTCGTGGGTGGCTTGTCGTGTAAAGTCATAGGGGTGCGGCCTATCTACTACGTATTCTTCATGTAACTGCATCTTCAGGCTCATACGGTTCCATGAACCTCCAACGAATAGTAAGGTCAAGGTTTACGGTTTTCCTGGTTTCAGAGCTCATATTGAGTGCCCAACCGAGAACCGCCCAACCCAGAACTACTTACTGCCTTCGCTGCATCATATGAAAAGGTGTTTATGCAAAAAACCCAGGCCCAAAACTCGCAAATAAGGCTTCGGGCCGCATCTCGTACAAGCCTCCACAATTCTTGATACCGTCGGCCGACATTACATCAACATCTGTAGCTGCACTCTTAGTCAGAAACTAGATTTCTAGAGGTCTGTTCTTGACATGAGCACTCAAGTCCGCAGTGCCTGGAAGCCACCCTGAACAAAGCCTAAAAGGAACATGGTTCGGCACTGTCGTAAACCTCAACATACCCGACAGACCTGCATGTATTGCCGCGGACATGCTTTTAGTTGAACTGGTACTCTTGCACAACATGACCCTGGGCGGATTTGTTGCCTTCGCTTGGGCGGCAGGCGTGTTTCAAGTTGGATGATATGCTTATAGGGTGCTATGACGCAGGATATTGTACATTAGCACTTGAAGCCAAAAGTTCGCGTCCTTCGGTAGAAAATCCGATGAACAGCAGATGCTGAAGCCTGCTCAACACTCGATCCAACATGTCTGGGCTTCGTACCAACGACGCCAATGAGCCTGGCAATGCCGCATATGCGGGTTTCCGAACATGTTTGTTTGGAAATGGTTTTGACCTTCGGCTTTTCGATATTTTCGAAGGCCCGAATGGTCTACATAGGTGAACAACCTCCGATATAAAGACCATACTGGTGATGACTGACGTCATTGATTACGACCCCGTGTCGGTTGACAGTGCAATAATCCGTTTAGTAGTCATCTCAAGTCTCGGAGCATGAACAGAAGCAAGAGAGAAGTGACTACATAGTGTCAGACCCAGACATCTCCAGAACCCAAAGCGCAGACCTGAAACCACAGGCAGTTTCGGCCCCAAGAGCTGAACCTGAGGGTTGCCGATCATCCATGCAGACGGACAACCATAAACTTCGACAGCTGAAGCAAAGCCGACCCCAGAAGATTGCGACCTGAAAAAGAAAGCAATTCCGGACGCGCCATGAGCAAAGCCATGGTAGCCATGGTCTGGATGCAATTGCACACGCGCACAAAGCCTTGACAGTAGGGTCACCACAAAAACTCCACATAAAAAAAACTAAACACGTGCAACACAACAAAATGCAACGAATGCGCCACGTGTCTGCCGCGTGACGCTTGTGACTACCGGTCATTCTGTGGCTGTTTGCAACTTCCGCCAGTAGCAACCGAAGCGCCAAGGCGCCACGACAAAAGGCTTCATCACCGGAAGCATCGTGAAGCTCAGAGATTTTTGTGACATGATTGGCTGTTCGTTACAGCATTCAACAAAGGTTGCAAGTGTCTTGTCTCCATTCAGCAGCAGATCACACAACCATGAATGTGCTAGGCGTCTTACGTCCTCAGAAGCGAAGTTTTCCGTGCTCGATGTATATCATATATCTCGTACCATGTTGTAAGCGACGCCACTCCGTCGTCAGCATGCATTAAATTAAACAACTATAAGTATATAAGCATGCCATGATCACGCCAATCCACGGCATCCAACACACTTGACAGAGGTTCGTGCTCATTTTCCTCAAAAAGGTTTGCAGGCTGAACCCGCCGCCAGATCTTTCTGGAATGACAGCAGGGCCCTGCGATGCATGAAGTACTTGCAGACAAAACTTAATGTAGGGCGCCCCTGATCGATTATACCTCCAAACCCACTGCCACCAACGTCAATGCCAAAGAACTCAAACAGTGAACTCAAACCTCCACAGTTGTCTTCTAAATCCTGAAGTGTCAACTTAAGACTTAACACTACAAAGTATGGAAACGCAGAGCTGCTCAAAAACCCCTATAAGACACTAGAGCTCCTCAGAAGCTGCTGTACGGTTGACGGTCAACCTGGCCTGTGCATTCCAGCTGCGCTTGGGCAGACTTGTGAATCAAAAATAAAAGCCTGCATAGCTACCAAGAATATTCCTTGAAGTGCCCTCCTCTACCTGTAGTACAAGTACCGAACGCTTATTCCAAGTATCCAGGCCGCCATTTTACGCTCTAAAACCCCTGAGCCCGTTTACTATCGTACCAGTACCATGCACCCCCAAACCCCCAAAACCTTTTCCAACACTTAAGGCCCTCATATCCAGATCCAAACCTGGAGCATCGCATTCAGAATCCTCAAGATGCCCAACTCTGGGTTGTCCTTAGTTTGACCTTGAGGGTGTAAGGTTTCCTCAAGAATCATGTGTTGTCTGCTTGTCGCTGTGTTGCGCCTACACGTAAGGACTGACTGGACAAAATCCAATTATTTTGGATCCACGCGGCTTCTAGGACTCGTCTGTACGGTCATCCGGGGTTTGGTAACTAATTGGTCAGGCTCCTGTTTCGAAAAGTTTCACAGACCTTAAGACCCTGAACCGAAACCCTACAGCTTAAATTGCAAACACTAACATTCTCAGGAGTTTAGCTGTCTGGCGCGCTCCTAGTTCAAGATCCGAAGCCCTCAATATACCTGAACCGGCGATAACCTATATACATTTCTTCAGGCTCTGAATATGAACCCAAAGAACTGATACGGACCCTACAAAAAAAGTTCTTGTTAGGTTAAGGGCCTTAATAATTAGAAGACGGTGTCGGGGTATATCATAGTATAAGGATAAAGCGACTGTAAAAGGATATTACTACTAATTATTCCGACCCCAGTATTACTTGGAGGGTAGGAGGACTTTGTCGTGTTCCCCGACCCTCCGAGTAGTGCGATGATACGGGGGAGGGAATATTTAGTTACGTGGCAATGTCCTATAAGTAACCGGATGTGGCTTTCTCGCACTGTCTGTCGCCCTGGATGCAATATGAGTTTAGGCTTTCGATGTTTCGTGATTAATTAGGAAGCCCTTAAAGACAAAGGTAGCGCGGATCACACCGTAGGGAATGGTGCAACCAATCTCCGCGATAATCCCTTGCGGTCCCGTACAACAGTTTAACGCCCCTTCTCCCATCTTTACTAAGAACTAGAACTATTAAGCGGAACAGGCTTTCCAACAATGGCTACATGAACAGATTTCATTATGCCTTTTGCCGACTGACGCTGGTGCATACCCAACATTCCGTGGACCGTGTTACTCAACCCACGCCTGTTTGCAACTTGCGCAAACTACGAACCAAAATAGACGAATCAACCCATCTGACGGAACTTCGTGCTACCGAAACAAGGCCAAGCGTCGTGCTGCACTACGCAACTCGTCTTGATAAATTTGTCAGAGGACTTTGGCAGAGTGGTGGTGGTTTGAAGTTGCTCAAGAAAACTCTTTTGGGATGCCAAAAAGTCGCTCCACTACTGTTAGCTGCTTACCTTGGGACGTGTTTGTCCCAATTCTTGCACAAGTTCGGGTACCGTGAGTACAGAAACTTAAAATCGTGGAGAGTGTGGCGGTATCCTTTCCTCGAAAGCTTGAAGGATTGAGATGCCTGATGTCGGTTTAAGGCGCTGAGGCACCGGGCCGAGATTGAGCCATGTGGTTGAAGTTTGATCACCGGACGTGTGAAGCTTAGATCTTTCGCGACATGCACGGATTTCCGACATTAAACATGTAACAACGGCCTCGAGTGTCCTGCCTGCATTCAGCAGCAGATGCCACAACCGTGAATGGGCCTCGTCCTCGATGCACACGCTCGTCCGACGTGGCAAACGACCCAACTCCCTCGTCGGCATGCACTCAAACACAAGTATGCCTTCATCACACGAGTCCACGGCAACCCACACACTTGCAGGAGCTTCGCCTGCTTTTCCCACCTCGACGTCTTCACTCTGCGGAAAGAGTAACCGGGACCTCGTGCTTCCTTGCAGCGTTTGCAGTTCTGGCTGCAAGGTCTTTTTAGTGTCTGCTCAACGTCTCGTGATGTTGAAGTGTGGGTTAAGCCGTTCAACCCGTCAAGCATATAGCTGAGAAATACTTCTACCCGTCTTAGATGCTATGAACCAAGCGTTTTGTAAAGTGCACAGCAACATGGAAACCATCTTTAGTAGATTTTAACACGTGTACATAACATCTAGACTCCTCAAAGGCGCAGTGCCCACAAGCCCGACAAGCCTGCATTGCCAATGCCGAGATCGGTTGATGCAGGTTTTGATGCTACGGCATGCTTGGAGGGTCGGGGCACACAGCGACTTATAAGATGTATGTTAATCCCAGTTACAAGTACTTTTGGGGTACCTATCAATCTACTTATTGCCTACTTACTTAATCCCCGAACCTCCAAGCAAGGGACCGCGAGATGATACAACCACAAGAACCCCGCCAAGACGGCCTGCGAACAAGTCTAAACCCTAAACTCCTAAACCCTACTCTCGGGACCTGTATATGCCATCTAGAGAATTTGAGGAGCAGGCATTCAAACGCTGGACATGGCGTACTTTCGGAACATTACTCCTTGTGTATACACGAGCTTGTAAAAGCTTATACCTGCAGCAGCTGGGCTTTGAATTAGCCAGGAAAAAGTATAGACTTTGATTTCAGAATGGTCCTGCTTAAGTAACAGGTCCCCCAAAAGCATTAACGTATGGTACTCCAATGCCCAGGCAGCCCTACAAGGGATTTCATGCCCTGGAACCCTAAAGATCAACCAGACTCGGGGCCTCATGCGGGATGATCTTTGGGCCGAAAGACTTACCTGCAACCCCAAACCCTCCAAAAAAGTAAGGTATGACCTCCTAATTCGATGGTTGAAACCTCAAAACAATGGTGCTTCGATCTACATGTACAAGGTGGGCACTCCCCTGGGCCCTGGTCAGGTCCCTTGTCGTAGGCCCTAATGTAGGGACCTTTAACAATTAGGATAGGGTTTTGGGGCCCATTATGCTATAGCTATGGTAAGGAACCCCCAAAACAGTATTGGTAATTGGCAATTGTTTAGGCCCCTATATGAGAGTCTAGGTTTCTGAGTAACCCCTATATAAAAAGGCTACCCTTTTTCCTACTATTCGGGTTTAATAAGGGGACCCTAAACTAAAAAGGGCAAAAGGGCACTACTCAGGAACCTAGGAGTGCGTTCCCCACTCCCTGCTCAAACTAGGCGTGGGAAGGCTGCCGGGGTTAGTTGGAGGCTCATGGGGAGTTACCAGTGGGATTTCAAGTCCCCTAATAATACGGGATATAAGTTATAAGTGTAGTTATCGTACTTGTAGCCCATTTATAGGTACCCTTTTGCCCTAAACTTTAAGCCCTATAGAATCCTTCAAAGAAACCCAAACCATACCCCACTCATAACTACCCATGAACCTCCAAGCTAGGGCCCCCATAAAGCACATAAGCAAAAATAAGGATAGGGAAATCGGGATATCCCATCTAAGCCCCCTTAAAAAGAAGGCTGGGGTTTAGGGCTTAGGGGAGGCCAATAAGGTAGGGATAAGCCCATAAAATGCTGATGCTTATGAGCTTTTTGGGTCCCGAAATAACTGTCCATGAACCCTAAACCCTAACCCCCTAAACCCTAAACCCTAAACCTAAAACCCCTAAACCCCTAAACCCTAAACACTAAAAACTGCTTAAGGCAGAAACCTCTGGAGTCCAAAGCGGGGTTCCACGAGAACACCCGTCGAAATGCAACGGGATACTACGGGTGCCTTACTCTCTTCTTCAACAACCGGGCCCCCAAAAGTTCAAACTTTCTAAGATAGAGCTATTATATAAGGCCAAAAAGTTTAAAGTTCCCCCGTTCACTATCTAAGCTTAACAAGTAGAATAGGAGCCCGTTATGCTATACTTGTGTTAAGGACCCCCCAAACGAACAAAAAAAAACATTGGTAACCACTTAGGCCCCTAAACCCAAAAAACATATATTATTCTTAGTGATCAGGGTCTAGGGTTAAGGATGTTTTGTCTTGGAGCGCCACTTCTCCCATCCTTTACTAGGATACCCAGTAACCTAAGAATAAAAAGGCCACTCTTTTTGGTATTGGGTAACTTTATAAGGAACCTAGGACTACAAAAAGGGAATAAGGGTACTACTGGGCATCCTAGTTTAGGACGAGTTGAAGCTTCAGGATGCTGTAGGGCTTCCTTGGAGGATCGGGGGGCTTAGTAAATAGGTAAGAAGTAGACTTATAAGTACCCTAAAAGGGATCTTAAGTCGGGTTGTGGTTTTCATAAGTATACTTATTATCTACTTACCAAGTCCCCTGACCCTCCAAGTAAGAACCCACCTTAACCTCCTGCATCCAGACACCGTAGGAAGCCAGGTTCACAAGTACCCCACTTTGGTGCTTTAAATCTTTCTAGGCATTCCAGACCCTCTAGACTTCGTCCCCTATTCTCTACTCCCCTTGGAAGGTAAGCAAAAAACTACTTTTTCGGAGACCCCTACAAAAGAAGACAGGAACCAAAAAAGGAACAAAGTAACAAAGTCTCCAACAGCCTTAAAGTATTCCTCTACCCTAAGCCCTCCACACCGAGCCCTGAACCCTGTAACTTTGAGTATAGTACCTGGATGAGACCACGCGCCGTGGACTGCCACCGTCGAGCGGGCCTGAGTTCAGCGTTCGATTCGGTAAGCCCGAACACCTTGTCAAGGAATGCACCTGGAGATATACTTGTATTCTGAATCTCTAAACTTTAAGTTAGGCAGCAAACTCCAAAGCCAAACCCGTCGGGTGTGTTGCTTGATTGCAGGCTTCTCGCTCCCGAAGTAGCTAAAGCATGAAAATGGCTGCCGAACAAACCCAAGCGCTGCACCCCGAACCCTCAGTTGTTCAGTTGGAAACCCTGAAGCTTTAATCATCTTAAATCCGATTATGTAAACCCCAATCCTACAACGCCTTAAACATCGTGGGCTATGGAAGCCATGGTATCAGCCCTGGATCGTGTGCCCTGATCCTTGTAAATGAAAGATTTATCATCATCATTCTCATCACCATCATCATTAGCATCATCATCACCATCACCGACAACATGTCCATCATCATCACCGTCATCATCATCATCATCATGATCATCATCACGAGCTTCCGGCGCCCATCCTGCCAATGAGCCACTGCCATGGCGTCAGCACAGTTCTCGAGAATAGCATGCACTAAGTTGGCAAGTGTTGTAAATGTACTTGAAGGCTTTGAAAGGCTGGAGGCAGCGGGCAATATAGGGGGCGTGAAGAATTATAGTAGGGCTTCGGGGGACCTTAGATTTTAACTACGTTCTACAAAGAACCCTAATGAGCGACACTACATTAGACTGGGATGGTCCAGAGACCAGGGCTCGTGCGGGATCTTCGCGTGCTAGGGCTGTAGGGGTGGGCAGGGGCGGGGCAGGGGCGGGAGTTCTTACTTGGAGGATGAGTAGACTTATAAGTACCCTACAAGGGATCCTAATTGAGGTTATGGTTCTTATAAGTCTCCAAAATAACTAGTTACTCAGTCCCCCGACCCTCCAAGTGGGTACCCCAAAAAGATTAAATGGTACCTCGTCTACTACTAGGTATAAACATTCTGGGCACAAGGTGATTAAGCTGTCGGGTTCATGGTTCAGGGTTTTGGGTGTAGATTTTAAACGCTTTGGGTTTCGGTTCGAAGTTTTGAGATGTATATACGGTTTTTCACGGTGTCGCAGACAGACGTCGACTGTCGGTGCAAAGACGTCCGAGCCTGCACGCTGCACGATCCGAGGCTTCAAGCTCGTTCAAGCAAGCTAAAGGCTTGGAATTTCGGCAAGACTCGCAACAACCAACCTGAACACTAAACCGTCAACCAAATCATAAAGCCAAAACGCGCTAAACCTTAAAGCCCTCACATTAAGCACTTGAACCCTTAGCCCGCAGTAAAGGGTTACTTGCTCAGTTCATGCAGGGGCCACAAGAAGCGTGAAAACTTACGCGTTGCAAGGAGGTCGCATTCACACGTTCAATTACGTGTTAAGGTGCCTCCTGCCCTTCAGTTTTGGAAGAAGGTTTAAACCTCGCAAAAAGCTACAACTCTCGCTGCGCAGCTACTGACAAATGCGGACGGATGAGTTTGGGAAGGCTCCGCAGCTAGCATGGCATGTTTTCTTTCGCACAGCGGGAGCATCCACGGAAAGATTGCGACGACTCATCACGGATCCCGAGAGATTGTTATTATCGGGGCCTTACTAATTAGAATAGGGTTTTAGGGCCCATTTTACTATAGTTATAATAAGGAACCCCAAAATAGTATAGGTAATTATTTAGGCCCCTATAGTAGGTTACAGGGTCTATGGTTGAAGCCTTCGATTTTCATGGTTTAGGAGTTTGTAGTTCAGGACTAGAGCTTAGGGCTCAGAGATTTCGGAAGTGGCTGTTGAAACTAGAAATCCGGCATGGCCGCTTGGCTTGGAATACTTGGAGGATCATGGGATTTAGTAAGTAGGGTTATAAGTACCCTGATTGGGGTTATAATAAGTACTTATGGGTATAGTTACCCCAATTATAACCCTAGTTACTAAGTCCCATGACCCTTTAAGCAGGGCCCATACGATAACGGTGAATTACATGTGGGCTTTTGTAGAACATAAAACGAGTTGCACACGGAGTAACTTTGATACTCAGGTATCTTTATAAATGAGACCGACCTTCACGAATCATAATAGAGCTTCTCTGGCATATCGTCATCGCTACGTAGGGACCATACACGGAGTTGCTGGTGCAATGTACTCAGACCTCTAGCCCTAAGGCTCCATGTATCCATATAGTATATGCTTAGGCCTTAAAGTACCCATATATAGGACCCCTCTAAGGCTTAAGTAGCTACTATGAAGGTACATGGAGTCTTTGGCTAGAAACTGTCACCGGAGGCGTTCGACCCTTGCGGGTGCTCACTCGGGATTGCCGAGGGTGCGGTCACTGCTCCCTTCAGTCGTGGTCGTCTCTTCGCCAGGGTTCTCCTGAGTTTCTGGGTTCTTGTTAAGGAACTTAATTTAAGTTACCATAATAGGGATCTATCGTAAATAATAGGGTTTCCTTATTATGGTAACTTAAATTAAGTTCCTTAACAAGAACCCAGGTTTAGGCTCTGGGGCGCAGGATCTTGGTTTCACTGTTTGAGGGCTCATTTTAGAGACAGTGTTTGCATAATGCTTCAGATTTACCTGAAGGTTCCTGACCTTTTGGGCCCTCTCAAACCAGGGTTTTTGCAGACCCCTGAAGAGTGCAAGGATTCTCCATAGGTGGGGTCTGCTTATTTAAAACCTCCACTAAACCCCACACCCTACACCCCGAAACCCCAATGTAAGCAATAAGTTGGAGATCCGGAGATCCGTATAAACAGAACCACAGCCCCGACACAGAAAACACCACAAAACGAGTGACACCCAAGAGCCGTAACGTTTCCAGACTGAAGGGAACCCCTAAGGCAACCCTTAAGGGAACCATTAGACCGCCTAAAAGAACCCTTTCAGGTACCCATTGGAAGAATCCTCATTGGAAGTAAGAGGACCGAGGTGAACGCTTGGGGTTTCTGGCTTTGAAGCTTACAAAGCTTCTACAGCGATCAGGATTTTGGGGTTTAGGGCTGTTGGGGGGTCAGGGTTTGGGGTTTTGGGCTTAGGGGGGCAGGGGTTGGGGCATTACGGCCTACAGTTTTTGATGCTTTTGGTGCAGGGCTTTCTCCACTTTAGGGCTTAGGGGATTCGGGCTTCTCAGGGTTTCAGGGATCTTTTAGGGACGCCACAATATCTGGGAGTAAACACTCCAAAACTGCAGTTGATTTTCATATCAGGCCTTTGTGACGACCCGAGCCCCAGCCTCTGGAATCGTAAAGCCATAAACCCTGGAAACACCAAACTGGAAACGTCTAGGTGCTTTAAAAGCCATGGTAAGATTCCTTTAAGCCCAATAGAAGCAAATAAAATGTCCCAAGGCCCTACCTAGGCAATGTCCAGGGCGACTCAGCCAGCCATTTTGGGAGTTTCCGAAAATAGGGGACCCTAAATTAGTACCGTAAATAGTAGGATCCTTATTATTATGATGACCCCAAAATATGGTAGCCCCTCTTTTCGGAAACTGCCATTTTGAGTCCACAGGACCCCTGAGCTTGCTTGGCGCTCCTGCTCCGCCGCTCTTGCTCTTTGTCGAGCTCTTGCCTCCCCGCCTGGTCCACTCCCCAGAGACTCCGAACCCCCTGAATTAAGGAGCCCGTACCAGGACCAAGACGTGCCTGAGGATGCACGTTTCAGCTGTTGTCAGACTGCACAGGTTGGAAGACCGCAGCTCACGCCGAGCAGAAGACTGTTCTCCCAAGAGCCGTTGTCAGCATCTCCCCGGAGCCTGCCAACCGCAGGCACACATGGCCCAGAGCCCCCGGGAGGATCTTGAAAGTAGATCCCCTAATTTGGGGCCCTATACTACTAAGGGTACTTTATAGGAGCCCCCATTAAGGGATCTACTTTTTGGATCCTCCCGGGGGTCTGGGTGGCATGCGAGCGCGGAGCGGCGTAAGAATGTGTGCACACGCGGGAGCAAGCTACGTGCACCTGGGAGGGCTGCCATGGCTCCACCCGGCAGCCTGCGTCACCAGCCCACTTAAAGGGTCATGCGAATTAGTAATTAGGGTTATAGTTAGGGTAACTATACTTATAAGTACTTTTGACCCCAATTAGGGTACTAAGTCCCATGATCCTCCAAGCAATGTCCGTGCCTGTCCATGTTTTTGACAAATATAATGGGTATATAAGAGCTATATCAAGGGTATATACCTAGGGGTCCTTTTTAAGGGTCCCTCCTCTAGGATACCCAGTAACCTAAGAATAAAAAGGCCTCTCTTTTCGGTATTGGGTAACTTTATAAGGAACCTAGGACTACAAAAAGAGAATAAGGGTACTACTGGAGATCCTAGTCCTTTTACCCTCGGATCCATGTTTTTGAGGTTTAGGGTTTGAGGTTTAGGGTTTAGGGCAAAGACGTTCGGGCTTTGAGCGCCTTGACCCTGGTGCGGCGCTTCTCCGGGGAGAGCTCTCGGAACTGCCGAGACTCCAAAACCCCTTAACTAAGGAATATACCTTAAAACATAAGAGAATCCCTAATATGATTTAAGGTATATTCCTTAATTAAGGAATATACCTTAAAATCATATCAGGGATTCTCTTATATTTTAAGGTGTCTTCCTTAATTAAGGGTTTTTTGGAGTCTCTGGGGAACTGCCGAAATCCATGGTCCCACGGGCTCCTTTAATAGAGCGTTTACGGTGCCTCATAGTGGGATTTTGTTTTGAGCTCTTTTTTACGGCTGCCCATTCGTCTGAGCTTCCACAAGGCCGACTGGCCAATACAGTAAACCCCATCAAGTTGCAAACCAGATTAAGGCCCCAAATAGTGCTGGGATTCCCTATACGTTGCTCTTTAAGGATTGACGCTATTGGGTTTCCAACTTTTGGGCTTCTACTGTAGTGGGTATTTAGGGCCTCTTAACCTTTACTCTGGGCTTGCTTCTAAAGGGATCTTTAGGGGGGTTGAAATTAAGGATTTAGTGAGTACCCTAACCCCAACAAGAGGCTCACCTTTTCAAGTCTGGTAGGATTCTATACATCCCAAAAGGTTAGAGGTCACCTACTCAGCTACTAAGAGCCCCCTTACATAACCCCTATAGATCCCTTAAAGGAACCCCTTATAGTTCCTTAAACCCCCAAAAGGTTTACCTACTCAGCTACTCTGGTATTCAGCAGCCTCAGCATCGCCTCATTCATTCTGTTTTTCCATACACGAGTTAACTTTTTCGAGCTACACGGTACATTGATAACACTTTTTCAGTCCCTATTTGGAGGGTCGGGGGACTTAGTAAATAGTTATTTTATAGACTTATAGGTACCATAACACCAATTAGGATCCTTTTTTGGGGTACTTCTAAGTCTACTTATTAGCTACTTACTAAGCCCCCCGACCCTCCAAGTACACCGTAGACACTAACCCCAAGGCTCCGAAACCCTAAACCCTAGCTTAGCTGCTGAGTTCATACGCCGAAACGAGTAAACTTTCAGCTTTGTCGGGGGTTGTACTATCCCCCAAAAGTGTAAAGTGCACCCATACAGCTACTCAGCTCAAGAAAAAACTAATAGGCACCCAAACTCTAACCACAACTCCGAAACCCCAAGCCTTGAGCCCTAAACTTTGACGCTAAAACTACCAGGCGCCTCGTCCACGTCCTCCGTCCCCTCGGAGGTCGTCGTGTCCTGTCCGTTTTTTCTCAGTTGGCGAATAGGTGATCATTCGGCTCAAGATATGGGAGTTTCCGAAAACAGGTGACCCTAATATAGTACCCCCAAATAGTAGGATCCTTACTATAAGGACCCCAAAATATAGGTACCCCTAATTTTCGGAAACTCCCATATAGGTTTGAGGATGTCGGGTCTGAGGGGAAGGTTCTAGGATTCGGGGTTTCGGGATTTGATGCTCGGGGCTTTGGGTTTGGGATGTAGGGCTTTGGGCTTAGTATTTGGGAGGTTGGTTGAAGGGTCGGGGGACTTAGTAACTAGTTCTTTTGGAGACTTATAAGTACCATAACCCCAATTAGGATCCCATTTAGGGTACTTATAAGTCTACTTATTACCTACTTACTAAATCCCCCGACGGTTGAAGGGAGATGATGATTGCGGATTTTGGGGTCCATCATACTAAAGCTCCGACTGTGGCTGCAGGAAACCTTCGCATGCAAGGGGTATTGGGCTGAGTGGGTTCCGGTGCATCCTGCTCGGAGGGTCGGGGGACTTAGTACGTAGTTGTTTTATAGACTTTTATCAAGCACCAATTAAGGATCCCGTTTAGGGTACTTGTAAGTTTTAGGATTACGATCTACTTACAAGTCCTCCGACCCTCCAAGTAAACCCCTAAAACCTGAACCCCTAAGCCCCAGGCCCTTAATAAAACAACCCTAAACCTCTGAACCCCTAAACCCCAAACCCTACACCCCTCTGAACCCCCAAACCCTCAGCCCCTAAACCCGCAGAACCCTAAACCCTCGAACACGTAAACCCCTAAACTTTAAACCCCAAACTCCAAACCCCTAAACCCCTAAACTCCCACACCCCTAGAACCCTAAACTTCAAACCCCCGAACTTCACCCCTAAACCTTCAAGATTTCAACCAACCCCCCCACTTCCGTCACAGTGCTGCGCCTCATCTGGTTTAAGTTGTATTCACCTTACAGATCCCTTCAAGGAGCCCTTAGGTATATTCCCTAATTAAGGGGTTTTATAGTCTCTGGGAGTGCTGTGCCTCATCAACCCACTTTACCCCCCCTCCCCCTTAAACCCCATAAACCCCAATAAATTAGGTACTTGGGTTCAGGATAATAGTTATTCCCCCTTCACCCAGAGACTCCAAAACCCCTTAATTAAGGAATATACCTTAAAATATAAGAGGATCCCTAATATGATTTAAGGTATATTCCTTAGTTAAGGGGTTTTGGAGTCTCTGGACACTTCCATGGTAACCTTATGGATCTTATTGGTACGAACCACGGAGGAACATAACAACCGTAACATAAAACATGCTACTCTACTCTTGGCTGGCTTCTGAACCTGTCCAAAAAGTTAAACCTTTAGCCTCCTTGTTATAGTTCATATAGAAACCCCAAAAGTTAAAGTCTAAAGAGCCAACCAGAAGAACGCCAAGTACTACTAGGCCCTTCACTTCCAGCACGGTGCCGAGTAGTCCCTTAAACCCTAAACCCTATAGATCCCTTAAAGGAACCCTTATGGATCCCTTAAAAGGAACCCTATAGATCCCCTGGAGTCTCTGGGAGTCGCCTCATCGAGCTCCTCCGGATCTGCGTCGCCTTCGGAGCTGGTGGAAGCCTCGCCTCAGGAGTCCCACTGGGAGGTTCGTATAAGTCCCTAAAATAACTAGTTATAAGGGTTCCTTTTAAGGGCTCCTTTAAAGGGATCTATAGGGAATCTATGAGGTATAGGGTTTAGGGTCTACTTGGAGGTTCGTATAAGTCCCTAAAATAACTAGTTACTTAGTCAGTCAGGATATAAGTAGGTTATAATTAGGACAACCCCACTAAGGGGACTTAATAGTCCGGAAAAAGGGGGGCTTGAAGGACCTTACTTGGAGGTTCATGGGTAGGTATAAGGGTTCCTTTAAAGGGATCTATAGGCATTCTATGAGGGTATAGGGTTTAGGGTCTACTTGGAGGTTTATGGGTCCCGGGGGCAGGAGGGCTTGCGTTTAGGGGTTTAGGGTCTACGTGGGGGTTTATTGGGTTTAGGGTTTAGACAAGTTTATGTGCTTACAGCTTAGGGGAATATGGGCGGCTGTCAAAAATTATGGTCCCTTTTTGGGTCCCCAATATAGTACGGCACCTAATATTTAGGGGACCCCAAAAAGGGACCCTTAATCTTGACAACGCCCATATGGGTTTAACTATAGTTATCCTACTTATAGTCCCACTAATACCTAACTGCCCATGACCCTCCAAGAAGCGGCTGCAGGGCATAAGTTTATGTGCTTCAGGTTTAGGGGTTTGGGGTTTTAGGGTCTTAGGGTTTAGAAAAATTAAGGCTTTCGGGGTTTAGGGTTTCGGGATTTAGGGGTTTAGGGGGGTTTTAAAGGGTTTAGGGTTAGGAGTTTAGGGCTTAGAGTGTTTAGGGTTTAGGGGTTTACGGGGTTTGCGGTTCTCGCGCTTCATGGGTATAGGGCTTAGGGTATATAGGGCATAGAGTGTTTAGTGTTTGGGGTATATATATATATATATATATATATATCTAGGGTCTTAGCTTTTGGGGCCTTGGGTTTAGTGTGTCGGGGCTTATAATTTAAGTATTGCTTACAGGGTTTTGCAGTCTCTTGGCACATGCGCGTCCAACAAGTTTAAATGGTTCAAGCTGACGGCCCCACCTTCGCATCGTCTCTCGCTTAATGAGGAGCTTTTGTAGCCTTAGCGGAGCCTGCTTCAAACGAAGAAGATGAGTGTCAACACAGCTCCAGTGATTCTCGATGGCTCCTTCAGTCGAACCCGAAACCATTAGCGCTCAGCCCAAGCCGTAAACTGTAAAACCTAAACATCGAAACCCTTATCCCCCCAAAAGAATATTGTATAGATCCTACACCCGAAACCAGTCCAAAGAGCTCTCTGCTCAAACCCTAGACCCTTAAAGCCTAAATTCCCAAACTTTTCCTCTAAAGCCTGAATTGGGCGTTTCAATCAGCAAGCTCCACGGCTTCAGCTCCTTGAGAGACCCTTGGCAGGGAGGATCAGCCACATTTGATGCCGACGGAACCCTGGCCACCCACAGGTAACACGGCGAGGACTCGAGAGGATTCTCGAGCACCATGAGGATCTCTCTCCACATGGCCACGCTTGCGTCGCCCCTCACGAGCGTGTCCAAAGCCGGCCAGCTGTCAATGAAGTGAATGACGCGACGGTCCTCAAGGTGCTTTCGCCAGTGGCGACGGAACAACGACCACATGCAAGCCATGGCACCCATCCACGGGCGACCCAGTGCTGCGGCGAAGAAATTCTGATATCTTGCACTCGGATATACTTGTCGAAAAGTTTGTTGCAACGAGGATGTTTGTTGTGCAATTCAATGCAAAGCAGGATGAGCCAACAGGTTGGGTGCGCTGTGTGACCATGATTTCGGCGTGCGTCCTTGGCAGCCTGATGGATGCTATAACCACTTCTCCTCCTACTGGTGACGCTTGAGCTCCTGCAAACACTCCCTTCGGGAACGCTTGTAACACAAACCCCAAACCCTGAACCCCAACACCTAACAAGCCTGTCACCCCCTCAAAAACCGTGAACCCACCTCATTATGGGATCCTTTCGTGAGCGGGGGTCCAAGGCAGGGGGAGAAAATCTACTACTCCCCAAGTCTCCCCTAGCACTCCCTAGGCTTGCTGGAAATTCTTCAAGGATCCCTGGTACCCTCCAAAGGTCCTACGGTTGATGATATAAACCCTGCATTACCCATACTAAGGAATCTACCATAACTGCCATAGTTTAGGGGCCTCAAGGTAATGCAAGATTTTTATCATCAACAGTATGACCCCCTATCAGGGCCAGGAGACTGGTAGAGGTCTCGTCCTCTTGGAAGTCATCCTGCATGAGGCAGCGGGGTCCATCCTACGACAGGACCTCGGGTTCGGGATTGACTTTGGGGTTGTAGGGTTCAGGGCTTTAGTTCGGGTTTGGGGTTTTGAATTCAGAGTTTTGGGTCCTTTCAAAGCGGTGCCCATGGGGAATACATTGCCAAGTTTCCCTGCAAGGAGCCCACCTTGTGGCAAGTTTGGGGACAGTCTGAGCAGCTGGCATTCCTACTCTAAGCCAGAAGCCGCCAAACTCTAAGCCTCTCTTTCATCTGGGTAGCTGTCACAAATCGGGCCCCTTTTTGGGTCCTTATTATAATACGGCCCTAATATTTAGGGTACCCAAAAAGGGACCATACTTTCGACAACCACCCATATTGATTAAGGACCTACATGGTTTCGCGGGCATTTTCGATTTCGGCTGGTTGTCGCAAATGCCCGCAGGCTTAAGGATTCAACTGCTGTAGTGTAACTCACTGGCCCAAAACCTAAACCCTAAACCCTAAACCCAAGGATATGAAAGTTGAAACTTTCAGAATCCAAGCTGAAAAGTTGAGTTTACAGCCAATAAGGTAACTCTATAACCTTCGGCCCTGAAACCATAAACCGTACTTGGAGGGTCTTTAGGGGACTTAGTAAGTAGGTAGTAAGTAGACTTATAAGTCCCCTAAAAGGGACCCTAATTGGGGTTATGGTACTTATAAGTAGTTACTAAGTCCCCCGACCCTCCAAGTATGTAACATCGGGGCCTTGACTGTTTCCTACTTGTCGGATATCAAACTCGGAACCTAACGGTTAAACTTGTTGGTTATATCTAGGGATTTTCTAGGGGCTTTACTACCCTACAAAGGTTAACGGTTACCTACTCTAGGGTATGTAACATCGGGGCCTTGATTGTTTTCTTGGGGATGCTGAAGCTTAGCGTTGTAGGGGCGACGAAGGAGTTATTCAACGACAAGTCGCGAACAGAGGCTTGAACCAGAAACCCTAAACTCCCTAAACCCTAAACCCTAAGCCCTAAACCCTAAACCCTAAACCCTAAACCCCTCAAAGCCTGAACCCTCACCCCTAAAAGCCGACCCCTGAACTCAACGGCCTCAGCAGTCGACGTTGTGTCGGGGTTCGTGGTCGTGGTCGTCTCTTTCGCAGTGGTGGTCTTCTCCTGCGGCTGAGGGCTTACCTCGTTCATTGTTGGGATAGGATTAAATGTACATTTTGTCCTTACTGGGTTCAAGTACCCATAAAATGCAAAATGTTACCCAACTATGTCGAAGTTACTTGGTTGGTGGGGGGGATTTAGTATATGGGAGTTTCCGAAAATAGGGGACCCTTTTCCAGTACTCCAAATAATAGGATCCTTATTGTAGAAGGTACCCCTAATTTTCCGAAAGTCCCATATAAGTAGGCACTACAGTAAGTAGATAGAAGAAGACTCATAAGCACACTGCAGTGAAAGAGGTCCTAATCGTGGCTATGATACCGATAAGTCCTCCGACCCTCCAAGTTAAAGGGTTGAGGGCTTCGGCTTCTTGATTGAAGGCTCTTTTGCTGCCTGCTACAACAGGGGTACCACTAGGGTTGAGGGCTTTTGCCTGGGGTCTATCGGACCTTTACAGAATTCTATATTTGTTTTTTGTCTTTCTGTTCTCTCCCTCTCTCTCTCTCTCTGTCTTTCTCCTTCACCCTCTGTATATTATATACATATTATATGTATGTATATATATATATGTACATATACACATACTCATATATATGTATATATACACATAGATAGGTGTGTTGTACAATACCCTATGCAATGTGTGTGGATATAGATATAGAGGCTGTGTTTTGGGTAAGGTAGATAAGTAGATTACGGGATGCTATATCAACCTAAACCTCTATGATGTGCCTTTCCAGGGTAAGATTGGGCTGCAAACCCTAAACCCCTAAACCCTAAACCCTAAACCCCTAAACCCTAAGCCCAAATCCTAAACCCCTAAACCGTTTGGGACTTTCTGCGCTTCACTTTTTGAAGTCAGGGTCTCGCTGTGCTGTTCTTGCACGGAAATCAGAACTATGGCTTTCGACCCCTCCCCCCTTTTTGACGAGGGATTAGGGTTTAGGGTTTAGGGATTAGGGTTTAGGGTGGGATAAGATCCAAAAGAAACACACAAGCTCTTGGCTGACTTCTGAACCCCTCCTAAAAGTTACACTCTTAGTATCCTTATTATGGTTCATATAGAAACCCAAAAAGTTAAAGTCCTGAGAGCCAACCAGAAGAACGCCAAGATTAGAATAGGGTTTGGGGCCCATTATACTATAATTAATCATAATAAGGAACCCCCCCCAAATAGTAGGCTTCTAAGATTCTAGCTCCTTCTTGGGCTTCTTCTGGGCCGCTGTCGTAGTTACGGTGGTCGTCGTCAAGGTTGTGGTGGTTTCTGCGGCCTGTGCGCTGAGGTCAAAGCCACTCCGGAACTGGGGTTCAAGTCTTACACGGTTTAGGGTTTCGGGTATAGGGTTCAGCTTCTAGGGTTGGGGCTTAGGGTTTAAGGTTTTTTAAGGTTATTTCCTAAACCCTAAATCGAAACTGATTCCAAAAGGCTTGCTAGTCGAAAGTCTGAAAACTCGAACCCAAGAAACCTTAAACCCAAGAAACCTAAACCCTGAAGAGCCTGCACCGGAACCTGAACTCTACTGACTCTAATTAGGGGTTGAGGTCATTGGCCAGCTCTTTTGATGTCAGATTTCCCTAAGCCCTACTTGGAGGGTCGGGGGGCTTTAGTAAGTAGGTAATAAGTAGACTTATAAGTATCCTAAAAGGGATCCGAACTGGGGTTATGGTACTTGTAAGTCTCCAAAATGACTAGTTTCTAAGTCCCCCGACCCTCCCCAAGTAAGCCTTAATGACGAAAACATGCTCTAGCCTTGATACCCTCTACAGCGCCACTCATCTTCCTCTGCAGAGCAAGCGCTGGGGCTCGACAAGTGCTAAAGGTCTAACTCCCTCAATAAGCCACAGAAGTAAAAGGTTCGACTTTCCGGTTCCTACGGTTGATGATGTGAATCCTGCATGACCTTAAGGACCCTAAACTGTGGAAATTATGCTATATACCTTACTATGGGTAGTGCAGGATTTATATCATCAACCGTACTAAACTATAAGAGCCCAACAAGTTTGAAGGTTGGGCATTGGGGATCGAAGAGGGTTACTTTTGGCCTTAAGGCCAAACACAGCGGCCTGAATATGCTTACTCGCGTTTGGGGTCTCTTGCAGTATGGTCCTACAGGGACTAAAGGGATACTAGTATGAATCCATCAGGCCTCTAGATGAGAACCTGAGCCCCACCGAAAGGCAGCAACCCCAGTGTCAAAACCTGTTTCTGACACTCCTTGTCCTGACATCAATGACCCGAAACCATGTAAGTAATTAGACTAGATTTTTGGCGGGCCTGCCTAATGAGTATACTGTTTTAGCTTACAACCCGAAGACATACCCTCAACCCCAAACCGCAACACCCTGATTGAAAAAAGTAATGTAGGGGCCTTGATAATTAGATTAGGGTTTTGGGGCCCATTATACCAATATAATAAGGAACCCCTCAAATAGTATAGGTAATTATTAAGGCCCCATCATATTATCCGTTATACATTTACAGCCTTACTAATTAGAATAGGGTTTTGGTGCTCCTTATCATAATCATCTTGGTATGATATACCTCCCATATACCCCCCCCCCCCCCCCAAACATTATTGTAATTATCAAGGCCCCTATATTCTCCATTCTATATTTACAGCCTGAGGAAAGGAAGAAAGGGGCCTCAACCCCAAACAGCGAGCCTTGCCAGCGGTGCTCGTGGATTCGGTGGTGGATGCAGTGGACCCTGAGTTCCTCATGCCACGGTGTAGGGGTTAGGGCTCAGGGTTTAGGGTTTGGGGGTTTAGGGGAGTTTAGGAGTTTAGGGGTTTGGGGTTCAGGGCTTAGGGTTTTTCAGCTTGCTGTTTGAGGTTATGGGGCATTCGTAAACCCCTGAATCCCAACAGAGAGCCTCACCCCCGTGGCTTTTCTTGCAAGCCAGGTGTCTTCACGGCTTCCTGCGAAGCCGCTGCCTCAGTACTTCGGGACTGCACAGTTGGATGGTGTTGGCGTATTGGCGTTTTGGGGTTTAAACGTTTAGCGCCTAGGGTGTGAGGCTTGAGATGTTTGCTTTTTTGGGATGTATGGCTTAGGGTTGAGGATTTAAGGCTCAGAATTAGAGATTTTCGAGGATGGTTGGGCTCAGGCTAGCATCTCAGCCGTGGTCTTGATGGGTGCCCTTGTTAGAAGTACTCTTGTTGCTATGCCTGACGAGGGTTCTATCATCATCATACTGACTCACCATAATCATTGGTCTAACCTAAACCCAGAACCTTACCTTGATCCCACATAACCTACAGCCATATTAGGGTACCCCAAAAAGGTAGGCTGTTTGGGGCCCAGGTCAACCCTAAAACTTGTAGAGTTCAAGAGTTTCGGGGATGTAACTTTGCAGGCTGAGGATCTCAGCATTGAAGCTTCTAGGATGAAGTGCATGGTCTAGGTAAGGCTTAGGGTGGACCAGGACCCCCCAAGTAGCGTTTAGAGGGATCTAATATATTTCTCATTAAGAGGTAATTAGAGACTACAATAAAGGGTAGTTGGGGGGTCTAGGGAGGGTTTGGAGTTAAATGTCTATTAGGGCTTCGGGTTTAGTGTTATTTAGGGTTGTGGGCTTTAGGGATGCTTATTATTGAGGCTTGGGGTTGATATAGGGGATTCAGTGGTTGAGTCTCCGTGGTCTATAGGGTTTAGGGTTTAGGCGGGGAGAACCCGTCGTTGCCCTCTTGCTACCTTGTGCTCCAGAAGGGTGCGTTCCCAAATCCCAAACCAGTTGCCAGCAGCTGCGAGCGGAAGCAACCTGTTTGCCGTCTAAGATCAGTTCTGGCCTCCTGCCCTTGAAAAGCAGAGCAGTGCTGGCTGCTGTAGGTGGACCGACAGCCTTTAAGGAGGAGCTGTACAAATGCCGATTTCCTTGGCGCTTTCATGAGAGTTCTGGCCATGTCAGTGCAGCGCGGACCCCCATCAAGAAGGCTTGCCGCCTCACACAGCGGGGAAGCAGCGGGGAAGGGAGTCGAGAAAATCTGAACCAAGGCCCGAGCTCACGAGCACTCAGGTCGCACCACCACATGCTGTCCGAGCTGGAGCAAGAAGAGCATCGAAGCCCCATTCCTGCATCCACCGCTGCCAAACGTGAAGGAGTCGTGCCACTGCAGGACTGGATGTCGGTTCACGGTTTGGATCTGACATTTCACAAGCAAGAGTGCAAGCCGCCTCTGGAGCCAACCAACTGAAAGTTGGTTTTGCAAGGTAACATCCACCGAACTTAACATATCGCAGTTTCGGAGAGGATTGGAAACCCAACGCTCGACCCATTCCGTGACGTACTGTGGAAAATCCGCCCATCTGGGCACGTCCAGGATACAAAGGTGTGGGGTCTAAGGGTTCAGGGAGTTTAGGGTTATTTCCTGGGCCGGATCGCAGCCACCCATGCACGAAAGGTTAAGGGTCACACCCTCAGCTGGTAGCATGATGGTTCATTGAATCGAAGGTTCCGGAGGGGCTCAGAGGAACAACAATACACAGCCCTACACCCAAAACCTCTAAGCCTAAACCTCTGGCCAGAAGCCCCAAACCCTTGTGAAGCTCCAAACCCCAAACCCCGAACCCTCAACCCCTTATTGAAACACACTAAAACCAACTAAGACCCAGGCCCAGAAACAAACCTCCAGCAGCCTACGCCCAACAGCTCTAAGCACCAAGCCATTCCAAATTCCCATAGAACGCCTAAACCCCAAATATACCCTAAACCCCAAACCCTGAACCCCAAATATACCCCGAAAATCATCATAAAACTCCCATAGACAGCTTACGACCCTGAAACTATGCCACTTCTGCGCACGAGCCGCGAGTCCGGCAGCTGTTGAAGCAGCCTGGGCCGCCTGAGCGTTCCTGAGCATGGGGTTTAGTGTATATAGGGACCCAAAAAAGCACATAAGCAAAAATTAGGATAGGGATATCCCTTATAAACCGCTTATAATGAAGCCCAATAAGGTAGGGATATCCCTTCAAAATACTTATGCTTATGTGCTGTTGGGGTCCCCATGTATAGGCTTTCCGGGTCAGAGTTTCGGGTTTGGGGTTTAGGGGTTAGGGTTTCCCTAAGGGTCCATGCAGCTAAATAGTATATATATATATATATATATATATATATATATAAATATATTGATATATATATATATATATATATATATTGACCTTAAAGTAGTCCCTATATAGGTACATTGGGGCCAATGTATATACTATTTGGGCACATGGAACCTAAGGGTTTAGGGTTGAGGGCAAGTTAGGGTCTTCAGGCTCAGGATGCAGGACTACTTGGAGGGTCGGGGGGGGGGCTTAGTTAAGTAGGTAATCAGCAGACTCATACCCTAAAAGGGATCCTACGGTTGATGATATAAATCCTGCATTACCTTAAGGATCCGAAACTGTGGGAATTATGGCATATTCCTTATAATGGGTCATGCAGGATTTATATCATCAACCGTATTTGGGGTTATGATACGTGCAAGTCCATCAAGACAAACACCTTGCGAACCATGGCTTCGGGTGCACCTCCGTGTCGCTTGACACGCCCATTGCCTCTGGCGTGTCTAGTTGCATGGGTCACCATGTCGGTCTCCTGCTGAAAACAGCTCCCGGGGCGATTGGCCGCCCACAACAACTCTTCATAAAGCTCACGCGGACCAGCGATCAGCAAGATATCCCAGCACGGCTGATAGATCCCATGCGTGCCCTTAAACCCTAAACCCTAAGCAGAACTAGGTTGGGCTTTTAAAGCCTTTGAAAAATATTAGTAAATAGAATCCTCTTAAGCCCAATAAGGGAAAATATAAAATGTCCCAAAGCCCTACCTAGAGAATTACAAGTTGTTGGCATCAAAAAAACTTCTTCTTCGACTCCTCCCGGGAATGGTCCGTCGCGTCGAAGTAGAGAAGCCCCTACTATAGGGGTCTTCATAATTAGAATAGGGTTCCTTTAAAGGGGTCACTATAAGGGATCGAAAAGGTTAAGGTCACTTTAATGGGAGCCTTAATGATTAGAATAGGGTTTGGGGCCCATTATAGTATACTCATAACAAGGAACCCCGGAAATAGCATTGGCAATTATTGTGGTCCCTATAGTACTAGCTTCTGTGCATTCGGTGCTTTTGGTGCGTTTAGGGTTTCGGAGTTTAGGGTACGGAGTTTGTTCTAAAGAGCTCTTCCAGGGTTCTTACAGAGTGTCGCAGAAGTACCTGTAGGCCTATATCTTGACACGCCCAGACCCTAACTACCAAAGAGCGCACAACAACCATAACCCCTTCTATAGGACGCATCTGGGAACCCTTATTGGGTAGTTGACAAAATTATGGGGTCCCTTTTCGGGTCCCTCATATAGTACTGCGCCTATTGTTTAGGGTACCCAGAAAGGGACCCGAATGTTGACAACCACCCTTATCGACCGCTTCAAAGAGCCCTCTTAAGGGTCTGAGTACCCTCAACCCTAAACCCTAGCCCAAAGAAGGTTAGCTAACCTTTTCAATCATGGTAAGATTATGCAAGCCCCCAAAAGTAAAGGTTACCTACTCAGCTACTAAGAGCCCCTTATATATCCCGGTCTGGATCCCTTACTTGGAGGGTCGGGGGACTTAGTAAGTAGATAATAAGTAGAGTTATGAGTACCCTGCAAGGGATCCTTAATTGGGGTTATGGTACTTATAACTCTCCAAAATAACTACTTACTAAGTCCCCCGACCCTCCTAGGAAGGTTGCGAAAACCCTGAATCCTTTTCAGCTCTTAGCTGCCCTGAACACTAACTAGAGCTCCGAAACCCGGTAAGCCCTGAAGGAAATCACATCGAAGCCACAGTTTAGGGTTGTAGATAAGGCGTAGAGTTTAGGTCAGGGTTTTGTTATGTCACTTGTCTATGTCAGTTGTGAGGATCCTTTGGCTAGTCCCACTGGCAGTCATGTAGGGGCCGAATTTTTCCAATAGTGTTTGGGGGTCCGCTGTTCTAAGAGAATGCGAGCTTCGCCCCAAATTCGAAGTTCTGTATCCCTTGATGATGTCGCAACACAATCTGAGCCCTAAAGCCCTGTTCAGAGTTTAGGGTTCAGGTTTGCCGCTTAGGTTTTGTTCAAGTGTTTCCATGCAGCGTAGCTTGTGGCTAGGCAAGGTGCTCCTATGCACATGCCAACATAACTCACGTATTGAATACCCTGAAGGACAAGCCCCTGACCCGAAACATGCAACCTCCTTGTTTCGCCGAGGTTTTCAGATGCTGCTTCTTGCTGTGACAATGTCCACCCTGAACCTGAGAAAACCCCAACTTAAACGAAGGCATGGCCCAGCCAACAAGACCTTAAACCCCCGGCGTAACACCCACAACACCCTGAACCCTAAACCTCCAAAACCCTGAACCCTAAACCTCCAAAACCCTGAACCCTAAACCTCCAAAACCCTGAACCCTAAACCTCCAAAACCCTGAACCCTAAACCTCCAAAATCTCGAACCCTAAACCTCCAAAACCCTGAACCCTAAACCTCCAAAATCTCGAACCCTAAACCCTAAACCCCCTAAGCCCTAATGACCCCTAACCCCTTGGATCAACTCCGCTTTCTGCGAGCTCAGTGGCGTCATGCCGTGCTTTTTGCCGCTCTTTCGGGCTGCTCTGGCGGCCGCCTGGCTAATTTTGTGCTAACGGTTTTGGGGGGGGGTTTAGGGTTTAAGGTTTAGGGTAGAAGCCAGAAAGTTGGAACATCAATATCTCATGCCTTTAAAGTGAAGTATAGGGGATCCTAGCACCAATACTCCTAAACCCATGTTCCAACTTTCTGGGGTTCACTGCAAGGCTTCATGGTTCTTAAGGGTTTACGAGTTTAGGGTTCAGGGTTTTGGGTTCCCGGTCTTCAGGGTTTAAGAGCTTAGGACATTGGGGGTTCAGGGTTCATGGGGCTAGGGACTTAGGGGATAGGGTTTACTGCAATAGGGTTTAAGGCTTTAGGGTGCTAGGGGCCTCAAGGTATAGGATTTAGTTTAGGGTGCTAGGGTTTAGGGCTTTGGGGTCAGGGGTTTACTGTCTAGGGTTTCACGTTTTAGGGTTCAGGGGCTTCAGGTTAAAGACTTACAGTGCGCTAAGCTTCATAAAACTCCTATAGCACCCGACAAAGCTTTAACCTTTCTGTGGCTCTTTTGCAAGGTTCGGGGTTTCTCATGTACGGTTGAAAATATAGAGGTCTGGGTTGTGTGCTTCAGCTGGTCGTGTTGCACGTCGTGAAGCTCGTCGCAGCAATTCCACGCCCATTCGGCTGACGTCGCCGTCTCCCAAGATAACGGCCCATCAGAGAACCAGAACAAGCGCCGATAGGAGGAAGACCATTCGCGAATGTACTCGCAGAGACTCCACAACCCCTTAATTCATGAATATACCTTAACTCATATTAGGGCTCCTACTATAAACTAGGTTGCCCAGTAAGCTGGAAATAGAAAGGGCTCGCTTCTTGGTATTGGGTAACTTTCTCAGGAAGCTAGGACTACAAAAAGAGAATAAGGGCACTACTGGGCGTCCTAGAAAATTAGGGAATATTCCCTTAATTCAAAGCGGTTTTGGAGTCTCTGGGCTGTCGACCAGGCGACCTCGGCCTACTGCGCGAGCCTGGCTCAAGGGCACTTCCTCGACACAGAGCACAAAAACCAACGGATCATCCGCCATGGTCCTACGGTTGATGATATAAATCCTGCATGACCCTTAATAAGGAATATACCATAATTCCCATAGTTTAGGACCCTTAAGGTAATGCAGGATTTATATCATCAACCGTACCGCATGCTTTGCGCCTGGGGATAAGGTTAGGAGTTTTGAAGGTTTCGGATTCAAGGTCTAGGGCTAGAGGCTTTTTTACAATCAGGTTGGAGAGTTGTTGACCGTCTGGGCGCATTGGCGCGGTGCTGCCGGGGATTATGGAGCTCTCCAAAACCTTCCAAACCCCCAGCTGCCCAGACTCTTGGAGGTACATTTTGGGCCTAGACTCGAACACTGCCCGTTCTCCGAGAATGTTTCTGGGTTGAGGGGTTCAGGGTCCAGGGTAAAAGCGCTTTCGAGGCTATCGAGCGTTCAGAGTTGCGGGCTCATAATCGTCACGCACTCTCCCAAAACACTGGGCTACAGCGCTATAGTTTCGGAATCTCGGGCCCCTGAAGCCGGCCCAGCTTAAACTCCTAAAGCCTCAACCACCAAAAATTACGGAGTCCGGCTTCAAAGACTTTCAGCTCTGAGGGCGCCCACCCGCACGATGCGCTTCTTGCTCTCTCCAGCAGCAGCCGTCCTAGGCGTCGCTTGATTGTAGGTTGAAGACTTAGTTACTCTATTCCTCTGTGAGCAAAGAAAACTAAATAGAGAAGAGGGTAACGCAAAAGACAACCCAAAAAACCTTAGCCCTCCCAAGCAGAAAACTCTCTTCGAAAAACTGCACACTTTCAGTTTCTAATCGATGGTACTATCCCTAAAAGTGTAAAGTGTATTCACTCAGGTACCAAGCTTGCTCTCCCGGGGTTTTTGGTCTTCAACAAGGGAGGGCCATACGTTCAACTGATGACCACGGTCATGAGTTAGGAGCTGCCCCCACCCTGTAAAAGTGACTATAAGGATTACATTAGGGCCCTATTGTATTCCTATTGTACCACTATTACCGGGTGGGGGCCCCTTCTAAGTCATGAGCCTGGTGTGGCAGGTGTGTGCGACTGCTCTCAAAGCCGACAAAATTCGCTGTATGACAATCCTGCTCAACAACGTAGTCATTGCTCGGGTGTGGTCGACATTCCGCTTACTTCATAGATAGCATAACAAACCCTCGACAAATAGCCGTAAATGAGATTCGCTCTAGTATGCCAGTAACGCGACATGCAAAGCTTGCAGGTGGCTAGCTGGCTACTCCTCTGTGACTTTGAGACCCCTCCAAAACAGATCCAGATCCCTAAGGCCCTCCAGCACACCCAAGGTTCAGAAAGCTTAGGGGTTCAGGGTTCAGAGTTAAACTGTATATAGAGTTAAGACAACCCCTGTACCAAAAAACATGCCGAAGGTGATTCAAAACAGACCCTACAAAAGGAAAATGCAACAAGGCCCAAAGTTGGATAACATTTATGATCATCTACTTCTATATCGCCCTGATAAGACTCCTAACATGGACCCGAAACCCTAAACCCCAAAATAATATGTAGAGCCAAAACCCTAAGCCCCAAACAAAAACACAACTGATGGGAGGCCAAAAGGGGGTTTAAGATTCTTGGGTAGGGATCCCTTAATATGAACTCTATCATGGGAACCCTAATCCCTACTAAACCCCCCATAGGCCTCCTATGAAACGAGGCCGAAGGGCTCATCCGCCGCGGCCGTACCGGCTGCAGCGGCTGCCGCCTCCGCGGCCGTGTAGTTCAACTTCATGCCCGCTGCCTGCACTTGGAGGGCCGGGGGACTTGGTAAGTAGGGCTCCTTAACGGGATCTATAAAGGTTCTGCTAGGGGACTTAGTAGGTAGCTCATAAGTAGACTTCTGAGTACCCTAAAGCGGATCCTAATTGGGGTTATGGTACATATAAGTCTAAAGCAACTACTTACTCAACTTCATGCCCGCTGCCTGCAAGGATTCTTAGGGCTCTCAGGCTCTAGGGTTTAGGGGGCAAGGATTCAGGGCTCAGAGGGTCCGAATCCCCAAATAATAGGGTTTTAGGTCCCAAATCCATACTCTGAATGGCGTTTGGACCTTGAAACCCTTTCGGGTACTTGGACCCCTAGGGTTAGGGCTTTTTGGAGCTTTTAGGGGTGAGGGCTCTTTTGGGGTTTCCCAGAGCCTCCAAAACCCCTTAATTAAGGAAAACACCCTTAACTTATAATAGGATCCCTACTTTGATTTTAAGGTATATTCCTTAATTAAGGGGTTTTGGAGGCTCTGGGTTCGTTAGGCTCTAAACCCTAAACCCTAAACTCTGAACCGTGGTGAGGGCTCTTTTTGGGGGTTTCGTGGCTTTTTTACGTGCCGTTGAGTTCAACTTCATGCCGGCGGCCTGCGAGGATTCTCAGGGCTCTTTGGGGCTTAGAGTTTGGGATTTAGGGTGTAGGCAATTCCGGCGAGGAAGAATCCGGTATTTAGGGCTGTAGGGTTACTTTATAGGGTTCAGAGTTTAGGGTTTGGGGCTCTTGGGTTTTTTTGCGGTTTAGGGTTCAGGGCTCTTGGGGCTTTTCGGGGGCTTAGGGTTTAGGACTCTTTTGGGATTTTGGGTTTTAAGTTTTAGGGCTCTTGGGGATTTTTGTGGGGGTTTAGGGCTCAGGGCTCTTAGGGTTAGGTCTCGCTCGGGCTTTTCGGGCTTAGGACTTAGTTCTCTTTGGTTTTTTCTTCGGGTTTTTGGGGTTTAAGACTTGGGGCTCTTTGGGGTTGAGGGCTCAGGTTTGTTTTTCAGGCTTCAGGGTTAAGAGGTATAGTATTTAGGACTCTCTGGGTTCAAGGTTGTGGGGTGGCTACGCATGATACTTCAACGCCTGAAGGCGCTGCTATAAAGGCTCAGTAGAGACAAGAAGATGCACCAGAAAGCACCGTGTAATCGCAAAGGGAGTCTTGGGGTTTCGAATTTTGAGGTTTGAGGGCTATCGAGTTTTGCATGGCTTGACAAGTCTTGAAGTGAATCATTAGTACGAGCTTGTGCGAGGCTATATTGCGGATGTCTGAATAATGAGAAACATCATCCCTTTAACCCTAACATAGATACACGACGTTCTACTCCAAAGCTTCCTACTACGCTTGATTATATGAAGCCTGCATGATCTTAAGGACCCTAACATGTGGAAACTATGGTATATTCCTTATTAGGGGTAGTGCAGGATTTATATCATCAACCGTAGCAATCACCGGGAAACCCTAAAACCCTACACCCCCCACAGTCGAAGCCCACATGTTGGAAACCCAAGAGCCTCCATCCTTAAGAGTAATGTATAGGTAATCCCTGCCCTACATGGCCTTAATCCGGTTCCCAACTTTATTACGTTCTCAGTTTTATAGTGGGTAGTATTATCCCAAAAACTGTAAAGTGTATCCACTCAGCTACTAAGGACAAACATGGCAGAATCGAAAGCCCTCAACTCCAAGCTCATAAAACGGAATGCGCAAGTCTGAGCCCAAAGGCTCCATGTACCCATATAGTAGGTACTTAGGCCTTAAACTAAGTACCCATCTAGGGACCCCTTTAAAGGCCTAAGTACCTACTCTATGGGTACATGGAGTCTTAAGGGAGCAAAGTAGCCTTGCCCGCTTTGTAGGCAGCGTCGCCCGCCGCGCTTGCAATCCTTTCCAGCAGCTGGGACTACTGCAGCTGTTGGGCTCACAGTTTGGGTTGGGTGTATAGGGTTTAGGGGTTTGAGGGTTTAGGTTGAGGGGTTGAGGGGTTTAGGGTTGAGGGTTTAGGGGTTTAGGGGTTGAGGGTTAGGATCTTGAATTCTTGTGGTTATAAGCCTGAATTCTCAGGGTTATGAGCATGAATCCTTGGGGTTCAGACTTCAGCGCTTTCAACAACCCTGATACAAGCATATTGCGCATATGGTTAAACTTCCTTCGGAGTAGTTCTCATAGAAAACCTGGCCCCTAAACCCTGAACCCCTAAACAGATTCAGGATGATCATTTCCAGAGCTATTAGGTGGCTTTAGAGTTCAGGGTGCGGGACGACGACGACTACTACTACTACTACTGCTACTGCTACTACTACTACTACTACTACTACTACTACTACTACTACTACTACTACTACTACTACTACTACTACTATGGAGAGCTGGATTCAGGATTTAAGGGCTGACACCGCAGGGCTGGGTCACCTAGGACCTAGACCTGGACCCAGGTTCGGGAGCCGTAACCCAAGGCTTCCTTACAGGCTTTAACTTGGCTGACTTCTGAACCCCTCCTAAAAGTTAAACTTTTAGCCTCCTTATTATGGTTCATAGAAACCCCAAAAAATTAAAGTCCTAAGAGCCAACCAGCAGGATGCCAAGTTCATATCCCAGTCCAAAACCCTTTCAAAATGAACCAGGAGTGGGGTAGACTGCCTCGAAGATTGGGGCCAGCAAGACGCTCCGGTTGATTGCTTGGAGGGTCGGGGGACTTAGCAAGTAGTTATTCTATAGACTTACAGGTACCATAACCCAAATGAAGGTCCCTTTTAGGGTACCTACTTACTAAGTCCCCCGATCTTCCAAGTGATGTCTGTGTGCAGAGAGGCCGAGGTCCCAAGACAACCTGCAACTCCCTGCTGAAGCCAGAAGGGAACCTAAATGCGAGTTTCCGAAAATAGGGCACCCTAAAATAGCACCCTAAGTAGTAGGACCCTTATTATAAGGTCCCCCACATAAGGGCCCCTAATTTTCGGAAACGCCCAAATGCTGAAGCCAGAATCCCAAAACCCCCAGTAGCTGACCTCTAAACCTTCTCCCCGAACCCCGAACCCCTTAGCCCCAAAATCTGTATGCCAATAACTGTAATTCTAAATCCTAAACCAGTATAAACCCTTAAAGGAAACCCTCCACCTCTCCCGCCCCAACCCTAGACCCTAATGTAGGAACCCGATTAAGAAATCTTGGGCCTTTAGTATTAGGGCTCCTTTTATGAATCCTACTGTTTTGGGGTTATAAGCCCACGGTTTCTTTTTCCGGCTCCTACATTAAACCTTAAACCCTCAAAGGCACCCTTAACAGCACAGCCGTAACCAAGGTGCGATGCAAAACTACAATTCGAAACCCTAAACCAGTATAAACCCGTAAACCAAACCCTCCAGCACAGACGTAACCGAGAGAGCCGTAATCTGCCACGCGTCTCTGCAATCGTCTTTCCCGACGCCACGGCAGCTTTCTGGGCAGCCAGACCCGCCACCCGTGCCTCGAAAATATAGGGGCCTTAATCATCGGAATAGCGTTTAAGGTTCCTTTCATTAGTAGGGAATGGAGGCATGGGGTACAATTATAACTACTATTACTACCGTTCTTCCATTCCCTACTAACCAAAGGTAAGTGTAAGGTTTCTGATGAGGGATACTATTAGGGGCTCTATAAGGGACTTAAGGGTATAGGGGATTTTATACTTCGAACAGGGGATTGGGGCACATTAAACTATAGTTACTATGAAAAGCCCCTACAAAAGGAACTGGTATGTATTGGAAATCATTGCCCCAAAAACGAAAACAGCAGCTGAACCGCCTAGGCCTTCAGTTTTTAGGGTTTGGGTCAGGGCTAGCACATGCTCTCAGCTTTGGGGCTATGGCAGCTTAGGTTTACGGTGTAGGGTACTCGAACAACACTGCAAGTTCTTACCACGAAGCCCTAAATCTCATAGAAAGCTCTGAGGCCCGAACCCCTGAACAGAGAAGAACAAACGAAGCCCTACTGGTACCTGGACCCTACATTCCCTGCCCTCCTCAAAGAAGAAAAGCTTCTGGAGCTCCTTTCTCAGGCCATCAAACCAGTAGCCAGTCCCAGCTATCTGCGTCGGAACTGCGCCGGCATTGTCAAATTTGTGATGACGACTGTTTCCCGATAGCATGGTGCAGATGTAGGAATGTAGCTCGGCGAGCAGGTGCGATGTGACTGCAGTTGTTTCTCGTGCTGCCACAAGGTCGCAAAGCTGCCAAGGCGACTTTTTCCATGGCAATTTAAAACCGAGGTCATTGCCAGAAGCAACAGGTTGCCAGGCTCGAAGCCTCGGGCCGGCACGTGAGCCCCGGGGGAGGGCCGATAATCATCGTGCCTGTCACATCAAACCCCTTTGCAGAATTCACCCGCCAACAGCAACAAGCTGCAGACGCACAACAGGCAAAGACATGGGCACCAATGCCTGCGGGTTTAGAGCCAATGTAGGGGGGGTTAGGGCTTTTGGGTCCCGAACCGTGCAACTAAGTCGTGTGGCACTAGATAAAGACTGAGAGCTTGGCCCAAACTCCAGAAGGGTCTTGTCCGCACAAGATGGACAGCAACATACACCAAACGGCTCGCACCCTAAACCCTAAACCCTAAACACCAAACCCTAAACCCTAAACCCTCAAAAATGTTGAGCATAAACCTGGGGGCCTTAGGTTGCAAAGTCTTAGTCGGCACCCCCCCCCCCAGACCGCAAAGCCCTGGACACGAAGATCTTATATCCACCGCAACATACGTTTCAAGGTCCTAGGCGACCTTGGTAACACGTATAACGCATTAACCACTACAAACTACATGGGTGGCTGTCAAAATTAGGGTCCCTTTTTGGGTCCCTTTATAATACGCACCCTAATATTTAGGGTACCCCAAAGTACCCACATGAAGTCTCTTACAGAAGTCCCCCAAAGCACGACACCATGTGCACGTAACTCTGAAGTTGCAAACGTCGGCTCTGCCAAGTAGCAGCCGCTTCTGCTGCCTTGGAGTCGGACATGCCGGCCTCCTGTGCAGGGCTTCGCTAGTTTAAAGTTCTGCTGTGGGCTTGGCGGGGGCTTTCATGTTAGTTGCAGTTCGTATATTTATACGGGGACTATAACAGGATACATGTTAGTTAGCAAGATTTATAAGAGGGCTGCAGTACGATACTAATCGAAGGAATAAGCCAACACACTCATTGAAACTTTTAACTTCCTTACCCAATAAGCCACAGAAATAACAGGTTCAACTTTCCGATTCCTACTAAACTATAAGAGCCCAACAAGTTTCAAGGTTGGGTATTGGGGATGTAAGTTAAAGTAAACCTTTTCCCTGAGCATCAACATAGCCCAAAATCCTTATATAGTATGGTCTTTGGGCCCAAAAGCCTTAATATATGGGTGGGTTCTTAGATCCCTAGGGTTACAAGGACCCCCAAAATTGGGCATCTGAGCTTTTAAGGCCCCCCCCCCCCCCCTCCATGTTCAAAGCCAGGCCTTGGCTGCCTTGAAGGCCGAGTTTCCTGCCTCTTTCGCCGTCTTGATCTCCGTCGCCTGGGCTTTGGCGCAATCCGTCGAAAAGTGCAGGGTTGAGGGGTTTAGGGTTTAGGGGTTTAAGCTGCGGGTTTAGGGTTTCGGGTTGGATCAGGTCTCTTTTCCCTAAGCCCTAAAGTCTAAACCCTAAACTTTACTTGTCTAAGGGCGTGTTGTCGAACGCTATTGACTTTGGGTTGACTTTGGGTCGAGGGCTTAGGATTTGCCCTGAGAGTCAAAAGAACCTCAGGATTCTGATACTTGGGTTCAAGATAGTAGTGTTTCGTTTTTCTCTTAGGGGCTGAGACCCTGGCCCCAAAAAAGGGTTATAACCTTTTCGATTATGGTAGGATTCTATATACCTCAAAATGCTCAAGGTTACCTACTCAGCTACTAAGTCCTTCTCTTCGGAGCAATTATGTGCTCGCTAGATACGACGCCTCTGTGGGTTGAGTTCAGGGGTTGGAGTTTGGGATTTAGGCTTTTGGAGTTTGCGGCTTCCGGCTGTCCCGGTGACTGCGGACAATAAGTGGAGCTATAGGGTTTCCTATGGGCTGTCTCAGCATTCTATACCGACATCCGCAGGATTTCATGGGTTTTCCTTCATCCCTTAACCCCTAAATCGCTGCTCTGCACCTGGGCCTTGCTCTTCATCTGTTCTCTAACTGTAGGTTCATGTCATTGGCAAACGGATTTCTGTGGTGGGGTGCCCGTTTTAGAAGTAAAGAAAGTAGCCAATGTACTTGAAATCTACTACCCGTTAAGCAAGCAGTCATGATCTCGGTGGTCCCCCTACAAGAAATCATAGCCCAACAAAAGGTAAGACACCTCGAAGGACATATGTGGGAGGTGGCCTGTCTGGAGACACCCTCTGAGACTACGAAGGCACCAGCAAGCCACAGAGTGAGGGTCTATTGCATGTTGTGTAATCTTCCGGGAGTCGCACTGCTGCTTACTCGGATTCCTAGTTCCATATTCTGGGTTTCGTTGGTCCCAAGACACGAGCTTCGGACATCAAGGACCAGAATACAAACCCTAAGTAGCAGGGACCTCATAAAAAGGCACCTTTTCAATTTCCCAACAGCACTACAAAAGCACCTGTGACTGTGATACTGCAAAACCTCTTTGCTTATGAAGACCTCATATCAAAGATCCCCAAGTATCTGAAACCCTGATACCATAGACTTGCCTCTCTGTAACCTCCCCAAAGACCAACCAACAGCAAGTTCGCTGGCGCCAAAGTCAGAAGAATACCAAGTCAGATTGGGGTTGACAGCTGCTAGGGCTATTATGCCAAAACCATTAGCCGTAAGTCCAACCCAAACCGTGCGACCTGTTGCCGTGGTTGATGACCGGGCCATACGGTTCAGCATTGTTCCGTGCTATCTTTTCCAACTCTGAATCCACGACTTCACCATTCTCGAAGGGAGCGGCATTCCTTGTAAAGGGCGAGGGTACAGGGACCTGTCCATTTCCTTCAAAACCTTAAGCCTGAGCCTAAGCCCAAACCCTCAAAAACTCTGTGCTCAAATACCCTGAACCCTAAACCATCCAACGCCCCAAATCCGAAACTCTATAGACCAAAGATAGAATGTTATTGTTTTTGAAGCTATGATTATTCTTATTGGTTCTTTTCATTATTGATCAATATTACCATTATTATCAAGATGTTCACAGTACACCCTGACTGAGTAAGCCAACACCCTGCCCTAAGTGTCTATGCACTCATACAGTACAACTGGCCTTGGAGCATTCTCTCAACGGGCCTTGGCGTTGAAACCGTAAGCCCAGACCTGCGGGAGGATCCAAAAAGTACATCCCTTAATGGGGGTTCCTATAAAATACCCTTCGTAGTACAGGGCCCCAAAATTAGGGGATCTGCTTTCTAGATCCTCCCGGCCCTAGACCCTAAACCCCAAACCCCTCAACCCAACCCAATAGATCCTCCCGGGGCTCTGGGAGGTTGTGCAGCCCAGCTGCGTTTGCGGTCGTCGTGGTGAGGCGCGTGGTGGTCGTCGTCGTGGAGGTGACCGTCGTTGTGGTTTCCTCCGCCCCCAGACTTACCAGACTTCAGGATTTAGGGTTCAGGGTTTAGGGTTCAGGGCTTAGAGTTTAGGGTTTGGGGTTTAGGGTTTAGGGTTCAGGGCTTAGAGTTTAGGGTATGGGGTTGGGGGTTTAGGGTTTAGAGTTTCAAGACTCCAGCCCTAGCCCCTACACCGTAAGCCTTTACATGCGGGTTTCAGAAGAACAGGGGCGCTTATGTAGACCCCCCCCCCAACAAGAATCCTTGAGATAAGAACCCATAATGTTAAGAAAATCCTTGCATCTCGAACCCTGAAGGGGTCTGGGAAACTCGAAGCCCAGAAGTGCACACCTGGAACGCTGGGTTCTCACGATTTGTCCTTGTTTAGGGGTTGTACCAAGCCCGAAAACCTAAACCCCTAAGCCCGTACGCTCCAAAGCCACTAAACCCAAAACCAAAAACCTCTGGGGTCTACCAAACCCTAAAGCTCAATTTCTCCATGTCATACGAAAAAACGGGGGGGCTTCTGACTTTCGCGAAAGAGCTCGGGCTGGGCACGAAACTCATTACGGAGGCAAAACAAGGGGATAATTGAGGGGAGACTGCTAGTAAGCTTAGTTGCTAAGTTCATAAGCCCCCCCCCACGAGTGTGCACCTTCAGTTTTATAGTGGGTAATATTATCCCAAAAAGTGTACAGTGTACTCACTGAGCTACTAAGTAAGTATTCCGATCTCTATTCCTTGAAAGTTCCCAAGTCTTGCGACCGAATTCAAACTGGGGGCCAAACTGGGTTAATGTAGGAACCTGATTCAGAAACTCTGGGAAATTTGAAGTTTAGGATTTGGTTGTGGTGAATGCTTGACCTGAGTTTCGCTGAGCGACCTTTGAACTACAGCCTTTCCTTGCCACGACCCCACTACCATGGAAATGTACGCTTATGTTAGTAATTCCTGGGGAAGAAAGCCCAGCAGGTAGAGCAACTGCCGATTGCCCACTGAAACCAAAACCTCAGATCCCAAATCTGCTCGTCTGCAGCCAGGAAGCCTTTGTCGTGGTGGTGGTGGTCTTGGTGGTGGTGGTGGTTTCGGTGGTCGGGGCTGTAGTCGTGGTCGGAGTGGTCGTCTTTTTGGTAGTTTTTGTGGTTGTGTGCTTTGGTTTTGGCTTCTGCTTGTGCTTGTGCGGCTTCTTTGACGTGGTGGTCGTGTGATGCTTGTGTTGCCTGTGTCGGCGAACCCTCTTCCTCCGAGATGTCACTGTAGTTGTCGTACTGGTGGTGGTGGTCTCCGTTGTGGTTGTGTTCGTCACGGAGGTTGTGGTGGATGTGGTGGTTGTCTCGGTTGTGGTCGTGAAGGTGGTGGTGGTGTTTGTAGTAGGCAGAGGGGTTGTCGTCGAGGTTGACGTATTCGTGGCCTGCGGAACGTGCAGCCGTGAATCACAGCGGATATCTTTCACCAACGCCGACATGATATGGGAGTTTCCGAAAATAGGGGACCCGAATATAGCACCCTAAATAGTAGGATCCTTATTATAAGCACCCCAAAATAAGGTGCCCCTAATTTTCGGAAACCTGCACATGAAATATCCCAAGTCCAAGACCATGAACCCCCAAGCTCGGTCATCCTAAACCTGAGCATAAAGCCCTTGAGGTGTTAAACCCAGGTGCTGAATCCTGCGCCTCCAACACTACCCGAAATTTCTCGAAAGAACCTAAAGTGTACTTCCTTGTACGGTATCTCGTTTTTGCATTTTTGCAGCCGAGTTCAAAAGCTTGCTAACTCAAATAAATACTATCCAACTGTTGCAGACTAGGGGCACTACCCTAAACCCTAAACCCGAAACCCTAAACCCTAAAGTAGAGTGGAGTTGAGGCAAGCCGGGACTCCCTGACTCGCAAGACTAGGCTTATATAAGTAGCCAAGGGAGTATAGACTTTTGATTCCATAATGGTTGCTTTAAGCAGCAAGTCCAAAGCAATGTTCAAGTAGGGCTGACTTCTGAACCCCTCCTAAAAGTTAAACTTTTAACCTCCTTACCATGGTTCATACAGAAACCCAACAAGTTAAAGTCCTAAGTGCCAACCAGAAGAACGCTAAGTCAAGTATGGCACTCCAGAACACACCAGGCAGTGGTTGGCGAGAGGATGATGTGACACAATTGGAAACGAGGCAAGATGGAACAGTGCTATGATTCAGGATTCAGGAAGCCGTCCCCCACCACCACCATAAACTTTTCTGTGTAGACCAGTCAAGACGGCAGGAAAGGTCTTAACATCGCCCATCGGCTGAGACAGAAAAGTGCCGGGCACCCACATTTTTTTTACAGCAGCTTTTCCAATCCCTTGGAGTTTCAATCCATAGTGCCATACGGGTCCTAGTTCCTTATTACCATTATAGTAAAATAGACTCCCGCAGCCCTGTTCTAACTATTGAGGCCTCTATGTTAGATCTTTTGGGGTTCCGAGAGAGAGATTGCCCTGCCGTGACTGTCGAGGTGGTAGTGCTCGTCGAGGTTGTTGTCGTTGTCGTGGTCGAAGTCTGCAGGCATAGGTTTGGAGTTAAAGGATTAAGAGCTTTGGGCTGGGGTTGTTGGGCTTTGGTTTATGACCTACATATTGCGCGGGGTTCTGGTTCTGGTGATATGCTTTGATTTGGGTCGACGGTTTAGGAGTCTGGGATTTACGTATCAGGGCTCGCAAGGAAACGCCCGCGAGCGATTGGAGAACTCAAAGCGAGGGGACGGGCACTGCCACTTTTTCATAAGAAGTGCCGTATGTTCCCAGACCCCCTTTGGAGGATCTATAGGGTTCCTTTAAAGGGATCTGTAGGGTTCCTTTAAGGGGGTCTAGAGGCTTTAGGGTTTAGGACTTCGGGGTTTAGAGCCGGGAGGATCTCCAAAGTAGATCTCCTAATTTAGGGCTCTATCCTGCTAAGGGTACTTTATAGGAACCCCCATTAAGGGATCTACCCTAAACCCTAAAACCCTATAGATCCCTTAAAGGGACCCTTAAAGGAACCCTTATAGGAACCCCACGAACGGATCTACTTTTTAGGTGGGACCCAAGCTTCGAAAACCAGATCGGGGCCTCCTTGCTCTGAAACTCTCGCGTGCCGAAGTGTCTACTTGGAGGGTCGGGGGACTTAGTGAGTAGGTGCTCCTTTAAAGGCGATTCTCAGGGTTCCTTTAAAGGGCTCCATAGGGGTAGTATAGGGTTTCGGGTTCATGGAACCTAGTAAGTAGGTAGTAAGTAGACTTATCAGTACCCTAAAAAGGATCCTAATTTGGGTTATGGTACTTATAAGTCTCCAAAATAACTAGTTACTAAGTCCCCCGATCTACTAACCTATGGTTTTGGGGTTCCCTTGGCTCTTTAGCTCCTTATTAAGTAAGGATTATCATCACCCCTGGCTCCTTAGCTCCTCCAATATCAGTGGTTAGTCTACGTGTGCTGCAGAAGCCACAAAAAGACCGTTGAGCTCATTCCAACTTGGGATTACGTACTTAGCTGCTGAGTTCATAAGCCCCAAGCGTGCACACTGTCAGTTCCATAAGGGACACTGACACTGACGAATCCCAAGAAGTACAAAGTGCACCCACTCAGCTACTAAGATTCAGAAAAGAGCACAGCACAACCCTAAGTCCTAAACCCAAAACCCCAAACCCCTTAACCTGCCCTGCAACCTCGACACTCAACCCCTAAACCCCAAAACCATAGAACACCGACTTAGCCTAAACTTACCCCGAAAGCCCTGCACTCTGAATCATCACCTAAAACTATATGGGTGGTTGTCAATATCATGGTCCCTTCTTGGGTCCCTATTATAATACGGCACCTAGTATTTAGGGTACCCCAAAGGGACCCTAATTTTGACAAATGCCCAGATGGGAGTTTCCGAAAGTAGGGGGCCCTAATATAATACCCTAAATAGTAGGATCCTTATCACAAGGACCCCCAAAACAAGGTACCCCTGATTTTCGGAAACTCCCCAAAAACGGAGGATATCCTCGGTCAGAGCCCTAGGGTGGCCGCAAGGAGATGGTGACTGCAGAGGTATGGCTTACTGGGAGGATCAGGGGACTTAGTAAGTAGATAATCAAGACCCCTAAACCCTAAACCCTAAACTAGGGTTTAGGGTTTAGGGTTACTTATAAGTACCATAACCCCAATTAACATCCCTTTTAGGGTACTTCTATGTCTACTTATTACCTATTTACTAAGTCTCCCGACCCGCCAAGTAGGGCTCTAGAGCTTGGATGTGGGTCTACTTAGAGGATCATAGGACTAAGTAAGTCAGGTTATAAGTAGGTTATAATTAGGATAACCCCACTTAAGGGACTTATAATCGGTATTGTAACCCACTTACTAAGTCCCAGGATCCTCTAAGTAGGGTTTGGGATTCAGCGTTTTAGGGGTTGCAAGCTTAGGATCAAAGGTTTGGGTTCGCGGGCCTTTGATGATTACCTACTTGTCGGGTATCATGGGGAACTAAAGGTTGACCCTTTTGGTTATATAGGAATTATATAGGGACTATACTACCCAAAGAAGGTTAAAGGCTCCCTACTCTACTACTAGGATTAGCTTAGACAGCACCATGAAGGCATCTAATGGCTCTGAGTAGGGTGTCCGTTGAGCAAAAACGAAGGGGTGGGATGGGCCGTCGGAGCAAACATCGGAGGGGCTCGGGAAATCGAACCCTCCTTCTCGCGTCAGCGTGACAACCTTCCTCTGGTATGCGTCGAGCAACTCGGGTGAATGACTGAGCGCAAAGAGCTGTCCCGCGATTGCTTCGCGGATGCGGCATTTCTTTGAGTCGTTCTTGTCCTTGAACCCGCCTTTGAAAAGCACACTTACTCCGTGATACAGCTTCGCTGCATTGTCGTAAGTGGCGTGCCACACTCCGTGCTCATCCTTCCAATAGCAATGGCTCAAAAACGGAACTGGCTGCTTTTCTGAGCCATCGACTACCTTGACGGACCCGTTTACGATGGTTCCGAGAGAGTGCAAGAACTTGATGGAACAGTCTGCACTGAAAACTTCATCATCGCCAGTTGCCTTCTGAGCGCCTTTGTCAGCTTGGACAAGGGGCTCGAGCTCAGCGTATCCAAGTAGAGCTAAAAGTACCCTAAGTGGAGTTACCCCATGTAAAACCCGGCTTATAACCGACTTACTAAGTTTCCTGGGCCTCCAAATAGGTAAGCCCTGCACCCGTGCCGTAACCCCAAGAAGTCGCCAGGACTAAGATATTCTTTGAGGACTTGCTAGGAAGTAACGGCAACAGCCGACGTTTGGAAGTTTGCGAAAACAGGCGAGTCTAATATAGTACCCCAAAAAAAAAGGATCCTTATTATAAGGACCCCAAAATAAGGTACCTCTATTTTCGGAAGCTCCCATTTGGATCGAAGCCGTCCTTAAATGAAGCCGGAACTGATCCTAGACCCCACCTTGGCTGACTTCTGAACCCCTAGCCTCCATATTATGGTTCATATGCTCCTATGGAGCCCCACCAGAAGAACGCCAAGCCACCGTGGTGGTGGCAGTGGTCGTCGTGGTGGTGGTCCAAAACACGCCCTGGCATGCCCAGAGCTTCCAAAACCCCTTAATTAAAAATTATTCCTTAAATCATATTAGGGATCCTCTTATAGTTTAAGGTATATTCCTTAATTCCGATAAGGAACCCTAAGGTATATTCCTTACTTAAGGGGTTTGGGAGTCTCTGGGTGGCATGCCGGGTCGGGTTTGCCCCGAGCTTCAAGATGCTTCAGCCTTGATTGTACTTTTAGGTTCACCTTGCATTGGCAGTCCCCAGCGTTACACGTGAGACCACCACAGAACATTGCCGGGCAAGCAGAGTAATTAAAGCATCTCCCATAAAAAACTAAGGCATCTCACAGGAACTCATCGATTGTACTTTTAGGGTTTAGGGGTTTAGGGGTTTAGAGTTTATGGTTTAGGGGTTTCGGGTTTAGGGGTTTGGAGTTTGGGGGTTTAGGGCAAATATGCTTAATCCTAAGGTCCATGTGTTGATATCGTATCATCCAATACATTTGCCTTTCGTTTAGTCCCTATTACAGGTACTTTGGGGCCAAAGTAGATACTATATAAGACATTAGGGTAAGCCCAAACATGTATGGTCTGCTCCAATCGGCGAGCTCCCCTGACTGTGCTGGAACACTCTGTAGAACGTAGCCTCGGGGTAAGGTACCCAAATACTCCAAAACCCCTTAATTAAGGAACATGCTTCAAATTATGATAGGACCCCTAATGTGATTTAAGGTATATTCCTTAATTAGCGGGTTTTGGGAGTCTCTGGGTAGTCTCCGTCATCCCTGAGCCTCCAAAGCCCCTGAAGTGTATATGCAGCTTTCGGTACACAGTGTTGGAGATACCCGAGCACACCCACCTCTTTACACCCGCCATGGAATCATGAATACGGGCGCCTCACCTTTTAGAAACAGGCTTGGGTTTCTTAGCTTACAGTCATACAAGGGTGACATCGGGCTCTGCGGTTGTAAAGATCTCGATTTCCTGGGTTTAATGGTTTTAGGGTTTAGCGCTTCGGTGTCTTATTTTTTGGGGGTACAGGAATTAGGGGTTCAGGCTTTTCGGTCGTTTAGAGAGGCCTAGGGTGGCATTTAGCATTCGGGAATTGCCGGATCTGCGGAACTGTCTTGCCTGAACTCTGGAAAGCAGGGGAGACGAGGAACTGTAAGGCAAGGTCTCCACTGAAGGCGCCTACGGCAACGGACTTCCTGGTGCTTAGTAAGGAATGGATTATGGGAACTATCAGTGGGGATTATATAGGGGCCATTTTAGGGATCCCTTCCTCCATTCCCTCCTAATCACCAGGGAGCAGAAGCTTACCTTACCAACGTATGGACTCCATGGCAGAAGCCGCTACATAGGAGTTTCGAATAACTACGGTTGATGATGTAAATCCTGCATTACCTTAAGAGCCCTAAACTATGGGAATCATGGTCTATTCCTGATTACGGGTAATGCAGGATTTATTATCATCAACCGTACGGACCCTGGAACCATATCCCCTATCCCTGAGCTAAACACCCTAAAGCCCTGGACTTTTAAACCCCAACAGCCAAAAACTGCCCCTGAAGCCCTAAACCCCCTCACCCCGAAGCCCCACAAACACCGCAAAACTGCCCCTGAAGCCCAACCTTCGCAGCTTGCTCGAAGCCCAGTGTGGCGGTTGTCGCCGTGGTTGTTGTCATCTTCCTTCTTCCTCCACTCTCCTCGGCTTCGAAACCCAATTGGGTGGTTGTCAGAATTATGGTCCCTTTTTTGGGAACCCTACATATCAGGTGCCGAGAGAATTACCCTTGAAAGGGAACTTTATTCTAGAACCATAGAACCAGTACCCTCTTAAAGGGAACCCTACTTGGGTGGTTGTCATAATTATGGTCCCTTTTGGGGTCCCTCTCATAAAACGGCACCTAATATCTAGGGTGCCGAAAAAGGGACCTTAATTTTGACAACTATCCATTTAGGGGTACCTTATTTTGGGGGTCTGTGTAATAAGGATCCTACCATTTAGGGTACTAGATTAGGGTCCGCTATTTTCGGAAACTCCCATTTGCAAAAAGGGACCGCAATTTCAAGAACTACCCGCAAGGGGGGGGCTGCCGGCAGGGCTTCGACTCTGAAGTCAGGGGCCTCGGGTTTCAGGCTGAGCGTGTAGCTCTTTTTTGTTTCTCTTAAGGTCTCTTTTAGTGATGTGGTGTTTATGGATTTAGGGGTTTCAGGGGTTAGGGGTTTAGGGGTTTACGGGCTAGCCCCAGGAGCGCATTCACCCTGTTTGCTAGTTGTTCGGTTTTGGGAGACCCCCTAGATAACAGGGTAACAGTATTACTGGCAGCTCTAGAATGTGCAGGCAATGTAGAACAAACAAACCCTGAACCCTAAACCCAAACAAATCCAAAACCCTAAACCCTGAACCCTAAACCCTAAACGCCTAAACGCCTAAACCCAAACAAACCCTTCCGAAAGACAGCCAAGGTTCAAAGGCCGGCGCTTCTGTGACCTTGTCCTGCCAAGCTGCCGTCAATGAGCCATCCCTTAAAGGGTTCCCTCAAGGGTTCCTTTAGGGGTTCCTTTAAGGGGTCCTTTAAAGGTTTTTCTAAGGGTTCCTATAAAGTTCCCTTAAGGGTTCCTATGAGCTATATAAGGGTTCCCTATTGAAAAGTTTCATTTTGGCTTGTGCTGCTGGGACCGAGGATTTAGGGGGTTAGGCTTTGGGGTTTACGACTGCTACCTAGCTTTGGCGAGTTTAGTGGTTGTTTATGCCTTTCAAGGGGTATCGGGTGGGGCTGCTTGGCTGTGGGTGTGTATGCATCTGCCAAAGGGGCTTGGGAGGCGTAGGGTGTTCTTCAAAACCAACCCCGTATAAACCCGAATCACTGAAGCCCTAAACCCTTATAAAACTCTGTGACACGTGCAAACTACCAGGCTTGCTGTGTATACGGTCTAACGTTAGGGCTTCGGGGTACAAGCTCGCTGTGGTTTTGAGGCTCCACAGAGTCCGAATCAGTAAACTTTTGCGCATACAGATCCCTGAATGCAGATGCTGGACTGTCCGCTCGTCAAACGGTCACTTCCACTTCAGAAGGAAGTCTCGTTTCGAGCAAGCCTCGTTAGATGGAACAGCCGCGGCCGGATCATCGCCGTAAGCCAACGAATTACTGGCCGCGGCCTCCACGGGGTCGCAGTCATCAAAAATCAGCCCTGTGGAAAGGACACTGTCAACGAGGCGGGCCGCACCGTCTTGTTGGGACGTCCTCAGGCCTCCTTTTTGAACCACTCCGGAGTCCAGCTGCGCAATCGCAGAGCACCCTATGACGTAGATGCTATTGAGCATAGCCCAAGTTTGTGCCGTGACGGCCGAAACATAGGCCTCACTGGGGCTGACGCTTGCACTCAAGCAAAAATAGCCGTCGATAGGACCCCAGTGTCGAACAACTCTTTGGAACAAAAAACCCCAAACGAGACTACCACCCAACAGGCCTAAACCCTACACCTCCTAGAGCCCCGTTACGAACCGCTGTACAACTTATATTCAACCCCATACCCTAAACCCTAACTCCTCAACGCTAAACTCCTAAAGCCTAAACCTGAAAACGGCAAAACGCCAAGCCCTAAAGCCCTCTAAACCCCAACAGCCTAAACCCTAAACCTTAAAACCCTGAACGCTAAACCCTGAGCCCTAAAACCCTGAGCCCTAAAGCCCTCAACCCTACGGCTTCAGGTATCTCCTTAGGAGGGTCCGAAATCTCCTGGAAAGAACCCTTGGGTCTCTTTGGGGTCTCAGAACTCCAACATTTTGTTAGGACCCTTAGGGTGAATCCCAACAGCCTAAAGTCTAAACCCAAAACCCTAGGCCCTAAAGCCCCCTAAGCCCTAAAGCCCTCTGAACCCCAACAGCTAAACCCGGAATACCCTACATTTTTAAGGACTTATATGAGGAACTCATAACCAGGCATCCTAAGACAGTAGGTTTTTCCGGGTTAAGGAACAGCCTAAACCCTAAACCCTAAACCCTAAACCCTAAACCCTAAACCCTAAACCCTAAACCCTAAACCCTAAACCCTAAACCCTCCGAAACCCCGGAGCCCCAAAGCCGACAGCCAGAAAGAACGAGATCTGCCTCCTCAGACTGCGTCGTTGATGCCTGTGCTTCAGTGCTTTAGGGCGTTGGCTTTGGGGTGTAGGGCCTAGGATTCAGTGATTCAGTTTTGGGTCCGGGAAGTGCTTTATAGTAGAAGCCAGAAAGTTGGAACATGGCTTTAGAAGGATTCGTGCTAGGATCCCTCATAATTTTCCTTCTGGGCATGAGGAGAATGATGTTCCAACTTTCTGGCTTCTACTACAGCGCTTTGGGTTTGGAGTGTAGGGCCTAGGATTCAGTTTTGGGTCCAGGATTCTAGGATATTGGATTTATAGGATATAAGGATTTAGGTAGATCAACAACCCCCGCGGTCCTTCTCGACCTGAAGCAAGAAACTTGTGTCTTGCTATCCCTTTGCACAGGAGCCAAACCCAAGCAACCTAAACATCCCAAACCCTACAGCCCTAAACCCGAAACACCCCAACGCTGCCCCAAGGAAAAATGCAGCGTTCCCCCAAGGATTGTGAGTGGGAGCCTGACACGCCAAGAGGGGTTTGTTGAAGTCTTCGGTTTTACGGTTTTGGATTAACCCAGAGCGTCCATGTATACTGCTAGTATGGAATTGGCTTCCCAAAGCCATAATAAGGATGGTCTTTTGGGACCCAATTACATAATGGTAGTCCACATAGACCCTCTGGGTTAAGAGGTTGAGGTCTGCCTTACCTCTTACCTGGAGGTTCATGGGTAGTCATAACTGGGGTTATAAGTGGGGCAACCGTAGTTCTAGCCCATATTAAAGGACTTATAGCCCTACTTATGACTATCCGTGAACCTCCAAGTAGACCTGAACCCTATACCCTTATAGAAATCGCTATAGATCCCTTTAAAGGAACCCTAAAAGGAACCCTCATAACTATCCATGAACCTCCAAGTATGGGTGGCTGAATGTGATTACTGTTGCAGGGTCTTACATAGGGGCCTCCATAATTACCTATACTAGTTTGGGGGTTCCTTATTATAAGTAATAGTATAATGGGGCCCAAAACCCTCTTCGAATTACTAAGACCCCTATACTTGGAGGGTCGGGGGACTTAGTAACTGGGTAATAAGTAGACTTATAAGTACCCTAAAAGGGACCCTTATTTGTTTGGGTTATGGTACTTACAAATAAGTCTATAGAATAACTACTTACTAAGTCCCCCGACCAGCCAAGTATGAAGCCTCCAAGTCCCAAACCCCATTGCTCACACCCATGAACCGAAGCTCCGAGTATGTCAAGTCCTCAATTCGCAATCCGGCAACAAGACGTCTTGAGGCCTGGTACTTAAAGGGTCCGGGGACTTAGTAACTAGGGTTATAATTAGGGTAACTATACTTATAATTAATTATAACCCCAATTAGGGTACTTATAACCCTACTTACTAAGTCCCATGATCCTCCAAGTAAGCCATATGGTAAGCCATATTCTGAAGGCCTCAGCATTATATAATCTGTGAATTTTTAAAGGGAGGTGGACAGATAGATAGCTAGTTAGGTAGGTAGATAGAAAGATTAGGTGCGGACTGTAAGGGAACATTATTGCCACATGCTCCAGCCCACACTTCATTGATTACTCGCGTTGAATCCCCGTCTCAACCTAAGGCTTAAGGTGCAGGTTCTTCTTGGACGGCGCCCGGACCTCTTGCCTAAATGGCGACATTCGAGCTGCAAGATTGTCAAACTTGACTTTCAGACCCCCGCAATACTTTTCTGGGCTGTTCTTCAGCCCTCGTTGGAATGTGCTTAAAAACTCTTAGGTCCATGTTGAAGAGTAAACGCTACATGGTAAGCACCCAGCTTGTCTCTACATATCTGTTGCGCAGGGCGATGAATCATCCCTGTAGCGTTCTGCGGATGCAGAGCATCCATCAGCTGGAGCGCCCCTATTGAATCATTCATCTCAGGCATTAGGACTGAAGGGGCCTGCAGGCTGGGCTGAGACATCTCAGACCCAAACCCTCAGCCACTTGTATAGAGGGTCACTGAGGATCATCGGCACTTCTCGTGTAGGCTGGAGAAATGACACGGAGGCTCGCCAACAGACTCTGATCAGCATTTACAATCTACATCTTTACACCCTAACCCTGAACCCTACAATCAACTTGTGGACCCTACGCCCTGAACTCTAAGCCCCAAACGTGTGCCTTTGCCCGCTTTGTTGTGGTGAAAGCCCCCGAGGTGGTGTCATCTGCCTGCCACGGCTAGTAGGGTGGAGGGTTGTTGGTAGTGGTTTTCTTCAACCTCCTTTGAACCCGCAAGGGTTTAGGGTTTAGGGGTTCGAGGTTTAGACGTGTAGGCTTTAGGGGTTTAAGGCTTACGGTTTAGGGTTTGGGGATACCCTTTTGTAGTAATCCTCACCAAACGTTGCATAAACACTTTCAAACCAGCGCACATTTGTGTCTTGAAACCTATACCCAGATTTTTCCACGGCTGAAACCATAGGCCTCTAGTCTGGGCCCTCAATCCTGGGATCCTTTTATACCTACCATATACACTCATACATGTACTCCCTGGAATATCACAAGGCCGAACCGCTGAATCTTGGAATAATACCCATTTTCAACTCTTAGAGGGTACGCCCCAAAACCCCTAAACCCTAAACTCTGAACCCTAAACTCTGAACCCTGGACTCCCCAAGCCGAAGAACCAACAGCCTCATCGGCAGGCATGTCGTCCACCTCCTCCGCCTGAGTCGGCAATTTTTAGGATTTGTCTTTCAATGGGTTCAGGTTTCTAGGGTTCAGGGCTTTTTGTTCTAGCTTCAACTTAAGCGCCCTTTCCATCATGATTAAAACTTATCTTTAGTAGTCCCCTCGGAGTTTTACTTCTGGGATTAAAGCTCTACGCCTTGGAGGTCCATGGATTAATTACCGCAAACGGTATTTGCAATATCAATAAAGGCTTGACTCACAACTCGTCGACTGAAAACTAATTTAAGCCACATGCCCCGAGCCTCAAAACTCCACTTGTCGGCTATCATGTGGAACTAAAGGTTAACTTTTTTGGTTATATACTTACTACCCCAATAAGCCACAGAAACAAAAAGTTAACCTTTCCGATTCCTACCAAAAGACAAGAACCCAAAAAGTTAAAAGGTTGGGCATTGGGGATCTAAGTATAATTAGGCATTATGCAGGGGCTATACTACCCAAGAAAAGTTAAAGGTTACCTACTATACTACGAGGAAACCTGCAACTAAACCACCAAACTTTGGACACGCGACGGTGGTCGTAGTCGTTGTCGTCGGGGCGTGCGTAGATGTCTTCCGTGTCGTGTGCCTAGGGGCGGCGACAAGAGAACCCCGAACCGAAACCCTTAGCCACCTTGACGGATCTGTCTACTATAGCCCCCCTTAGAACCATAATACAAATTATCTTTTTTGATATTCTCTTAAGTTTTATATGAACAAAAACAAAGAATGTTTCCTAAGGGGACTATAGTCTTGGGTTGGTTTCGGTGCCAGGATTTTTGGTTTCGGGCTCAGAAGGAATATAGACACCTTTCCCACTATGTCAAATTGTTTGAAAGGAAACCAACTATAAATGACAAACCAACGGAGACATTGGTTCTATGATGTTCCTAAGATACCCTCGAAAAGATCATAGTAGGACTTCAGCCCTGAGGCAAAACATGACAATTTGGGCGGGTTCGGTTTCACGGGCTTCAAGGATGGGGTTTGCGACTTTAAGCTTTTTTGAGGGGGTGGGACTTTCCATGTTGGCCGCGGATTTACGAGTGCAGCCATGTTATGGGGACTATGGTAGAGACATGCAGGCATGCTAAAATTCGGGCTTTCAAGAAGGGCGTTTATTTATGGGGTTCACATTCTACATTAAGGTTAATGCTCTGGGCTATACTTGGAGCGTCGGGGGACTTAGTAACTAGATTTTTTTAGAGACTTTTTATACCATAACCCCAATTAGGATCCCTTTGGGGTACCTATAAGTCTACTTATTACCTACTTACCAAGTCCCCCGACCCTCCAAGCACGGCCCGAAGTCAAGGTTCGACTATTTCCTGTCACTGTGCACAGGCTCAACCTGTGCATGCTTGTGCGAAGAAGGTAATGGGGCCTTAATAGAGAATAGGGTTTTGGGGGCCCACTATACTACAATATAGTAAGGAACTCCCCTGCAATAGTCTTGGCAATTATTTCGGCCCCGATATTACCAAAATCCCTTCGATCTAAACCCAAAGCCCGAAGTGTAGCTACACAGCCCATATACTTTGCCTAAGAGTACTGAGCTGCAAAGAGCACGTCGAGTGAAGAACCACAAGGGAATCAAATGAATGGCAAAATATCGAACCACGCGACTCTCCAGAGTTCTGCCATCGGTCACGCAAGTAAGCCTGACTACCTCTTGGAGGCCCAGAACCTGGGGTAGCTTAAACAAACACCTTATAAGTGGTGCAACTAAAGGTAGGGAACTCAACACCCTTATTATAACCTACTTTCCAAGCCACCCTTTCATCCTTCAAGTAAAGCTAGAGCCCATACCATAAACAAACATCGCGGCCGAACAGTGGCCCCTGAAGTCGCTACTTTCAGGAACTTACTACCCCAATAAGCCACAGAAATAAAAGGTTAAACTTTCCGATTCCTACTAAAATTCAAGAACCCATAAAGTTAAAAGGTTGGGCGTTGGGGATCTAAGGGAACGTAACCAACTTGCTATGCTACACTCCAGGCGTCCTCCACACACAAACTGCCACCCGCAGGACACTTTTTGTTCCGCGATGTGCCAAACTCGTGACAAGCCCGAACTCAGCACGATCCTCGAAAATGCCATGTCGACCAGTGCGTCCATCAAACTCCAAAGACCTGGCGGAAAGAGACATGCCGATGGACACCCGCAAGACCAAGAAACGTGGGAACGATAGTCAGGTCGCCATTTTCAGAACGGCTTTTGGACCTTGTCAAGTCTTTCCGCGATTCATCTCAGTTTCTGGGTCTCTTAATTTCAATACCAAGTGGATGGTGGACTCTGTCTGAATGTCATAATCCTCAAAAGTCCGATGGGGTTCAAGCAACTTCCCTGCGAACACTGCTCGTTGCTGATCGAAAGGAATACCATCCGATATCCTTGACATGGCCTTCTCAACTGTGTCATCGCTACTTACTTGCAGCGTGATACTCCGTCCAGTCAACAACTTCACAATGACTTGCATCTCTTGTGGTTTTTGGCGAACCACCATGTGAATCGAAGCGTCTTCTTCTATGTGGTAGTCCTCCAGGGTTCGTGCTCCCTGAAGCTGTTCAGATCCAAAACTCAATCTCTGCTGATCCACAGGGATCTTTTCCAGATCATGAAGAAGTGCCTTCACTGAATCGATGGTGTGACTTGGCTGCACCTGAAGCTGGACCGTCTTGCCACCCAAAGTTTGCACCAAAATCCGCATAGCGCCATTCCAGATCAGGTCTCCCAGCCACTCCCGAGGATAATATTGCCCTGTCCACCATACGAGACTTACTACCCCAATAAGCCACAGGAACAGAAGGTTAAACTTTCCGATTCCTACTAAAACCCCTAAACCCTTAAACCCCTAAACCCCTAAACCTCTAAACCCCTAAACCCTACTAAAAGACAAGAACCCCAAAAGTTAAAATGTTGGGCATTGGGGAGCTAAGGAGAATCAACCACGGTAATTTCGAAGTCGCAGTTGCACCCAAACCCAGTCAACCATTAGCCAAGTGGTAGCCAACCATTACTACTGTTTGCTTAAGAACCCCGCAAAAAATAAAAGTGATAATCCCTATATTATCCCTATAAGGAATACATTTTTTTATTTTTTGGGTGTTCTTAAGCAAATAGTAGATTATAGAATGTCACGATCCACAGGTTGCAGTTGCAGCTACAGTAGCTCTTGAGCCGTGACGTGCGGTATCCTGCAGTGACGCGCAGCGCGGTCAGTCAGAGGGCAAGCCTCAAAACCAATAGCCGATGCCTGATGACCCGCCAGAATGGTTACGGTGGCTGGTAATGGTGAACGACGGTTGATACAGCATTTGTATGCTAAGCTGATATGGCTCACTGGGTCGTCAATCCACTCCCCCATAAAATAACCGTTACATGACATGGGCAACTCTGGTTTAGTAATCTACACACTGCAATCGTAGCCTGGGAAGGTTTGCCGGCGTATGCATGTTATAGATTACTTGCTATGCTTGTTGCTTTGTTGCTTGGTTAACTATCAACCGTTGCGAAAAAGTAATCGTTTTGAATCACCAACCATCGTACGCCTGTGAGAATACAATCGAGAATCGTCCGGAATGACACAGGATCTCCCTAAACCCTAAACCCTAAACCCTGAAAGTGGTGCAGTGGCTGTTCAATAGAGAGCCCTACTGAAAGCCGTCAGGGGCCGCCGCTTGGAAATAGAAAGGTAGCAACAAGTCTTCCTACTATTTGCTTAAGAACCCCCAGAAAATAAAAAATATATTCCTTATGGGGGTAATATAGGGATTATTATTTTTATTTTTTTGGGGGGTTCTTAAGCAAATAGTAGACAAATCTTCTTTCATGAGAAACCAACAGGGGACTCACAACAGCTCAGACGACTTGGGCTCGCTAACTATACCTTCCACAAATCAGAACATGTACCAAGGATTTCTCTTGCAGTGCCGTTCCAAACAAGTCACGGATATATCTGTGTCCAGAACCTGTCTCGTGGATGAACGATATCATGGCTACTGATAAAGTAGATGCCAAAAAGTTGGAACATTGCTATCCTGATGCCCTTAAGGAGAAGTACAAGGAATCCTAGCACTAATCACCCTTAATCCATGTTCCAACTTTCTAGGGTTCACGTTAATGCCGAACGAGGCATCTTCGCACCCTGTTTTAGCAAAGCATCCATCGCCAGCGATGGCTAATCCATGATACTTAATCTAGGATACCGGATACCCAGTAACCTAAGAATAAAAAGGCCTCTCTTTTTGGTACTGGGTAACTTTATAAGGAACCTAGGACTACAAAAAGGGAATAAGGGTACTACTGGGCATCCTAGTAATCCCGTCATGTTTGAGTTCACATGGAAAACCCTTTCACGTGCTTATCGTCGCTTTTCGAATCCTTTCCGTTCGAGAACCCTTATCGTACGAGAACCCTTATTGCTATAGAGCCCTTATAGAACCCGTATGATAACAAAACTCTTACGGAATCCTTACTTACTGTCACACAACTTTTATTTTATTGCTACAGAGCCCTGAAGAATCCTTGTTATCATAAGTTGTATAAAAGCCTTGCAGAACCCAGAAAAGGCTTCAAGTACCAGCCCTCAGCCACGCGGCTGGCTCTCTTCACTGCCGCTGCCCTCCGTGTGCTGAGAAGGGCTTCCTGGCTTTAGGGTTTAAAGTTTTGTTTAGGGTGAAGTTTGGAGCTTTTGCAATCGAGGGGTCCAGGTACAACCCTCAAACCTGGCCTGCACCTTGTGTCACTGTACTCTATGCCATAGCACCTAAAATTCCTGAAAGCAGCCCACCCTTGGCGCGTAACTTAACTCCAAACCTCAGCGGCTGGAAGGTCAAGGGCGACTTGCAAGGCCAGCTTGGAGGGTCGGGGGACTTAGGAAGTAGATAGTAAGTAGACTTATAAGTCCCCTAAACGGGACCCTAATTGGGGTTATGGTGCTTATAAGTTCCTAAAATAACCAGTTACTAAGTCCCCCGACCCTCCAAGAGGGGACTGGGCAAGCAAGTATAGCAAACCCTAGAAAGCTGGAACATGGATTGAGGATGATTGCTGCTGGGATTTCCTATACTTTATCTTAGGGGCAGGAGGATAGTGATGTTTCAAACTTCTGGCTTCTACTGTATGTTATCCGCAAGCTGATCCCTAAACCCTAAATCCCTTAAACCCGAAACCCTAAACTCCCTGAACCCTAAACCAAACTGGTCACCAGAAAGCCCCAGGACTGAGGGTTGAGAATTCGATTGCTTACCTAGGCCCTAGAATGCAGCGATGTTTTTGTTTGCTTCTCGGTTTCTTTAAGTCTTTTTGAATGATCCAAAGCCACAAAATGGGTTGGCCAGAAAAGGTACTAGATTCTGGAATCCTGGTAGGATGTGACGTGTTAACGCCTAATCACCACTTCGACCCCCTTGATCCCACTTGGAGGGTTGGAGGACTTAGTAACTAGTTACTTTAGAGACTTATAAGTACCATAACCCCAATTAGGATCCCTTTTAGGGTACTTATAAGTCTACTTATTAACTACTTACTAAGTCCCCCGACCCCCCAAGCAAGCTGCTTTGCCCTGGATCCCAAGCTGTTTAGGGTCAACGTATGTCCCTTGAACCCCAAACCCCAAGAAGAGGATGTCAAAGGGGAAAAGGAGGAACCCTTAATGGGGACCCCTACCCTATAATGGGCTATATAATGGGTATATAATAGGGTATATACCTATGGGTCTTTATTAAGGGTCCCTCCTTTTACCCTTGGAGGATGTTAGGCCCTAAACCCTAATTGCACTAAGCCTAAAATGGCCGGTACAGTAGAGCTTCAGTACATACTACCAGGACCCTATTGCATAACCTAAGTGGTACCAAGGTGCCCAAAGATCGGTATTTCGGTATCAACAACATTAAGAGCGTAGCATTCGGAGCCTAAATCCTTCTAGTTGGGTACGTGGACCATCTATCCTAAACTTTCAGCCTCTATTTGGGTATTTGGATGCTCTGGGGTAGGATAGTGTTTGGACCCTTGAAGAAGGGAGTAGGGAGTTTCCAGGCGCCCTATGAGGGCCTTCATTATTTGAGTATGGTTTCGGGTTTTTTTATAGAATCCATACAAGTGGGACAAGAAGGGCATATTACTACTTCTTTGCGGCCCCTATATCATTGGGTCATGTTGCTCTAAACCCCCATCTTGACCTCAGCATAAGCGAAACCCTGACGCAAAACCCTTACCTTAGAGCACAACACCCGCAACCCTATGACTTCAAGTTGCTCCAGTGTCCTAGGCAACTAAAGGATTGCAGTAGCATAAGAAGGTTTAAGGTTGCATACCCTACTACTGAAACTAAAACCTTATACCTTACCCGCAACCCAATAAACCACTGTACGTACGGTAACTGGGCACTTAGGGAACGATTTAGGTACTTGGGCCGTGTAGCGACCCCTTACTAGGGCAGGAAGAAATCCCAGCACCTGCAGCAGAACTTTGTCAATTGCATACAGAGCTAGCTGAACCTACTATTACTATTACTATTACTATTACTATTACTACTACTACTATTACTATTATTATTACTAGTACTAGTACTAGTACATTTCCTATACCTTAAGCCAAGATTCCTAAACCCTTCAAACACGAAACCCCCCAACCCTGATCCCTAAATCCTAGGCCTACAAGTAAGTCCGACCAAACCCGAACTGTGGCAAACCCTAAGCCCTAAAACCCAAACTCCGAATCCTGTAACCCACTTTCATCCTAAACCCCAAATCCAAACTCAATCCTCAACCCTATAGTCCCAATTCCCCCAAAAAATGTGTAATCCTCATACCCCAAACCCCAAACCCAAAACCCTATAGTCCCAAATTCTCCAAAAAACCCTAAACCCTAAACCCTAGGAGATCTCTCCACCCAGCTTCCTGAAGTCGTTCCGTGCGCTTCGGAGGTCGTTTCGGAGCTTTTGGCCGTGGTGGCCTTGGCTGTCAGGTTTGTTGAAAGCGCTTCAGGGTTTTAGGGTGTAGGGGTTTTAGAGTTCTAGGGTTTTAAAGCTTCAGGGTCTAGGGTTTAGGGTTTTAGGGTTTAGAGTTTTAGGGTTTAGTGTTCTAGGGTTTGTATGTTCTAGGGTTTTAGGGTTTAGTTTAGGGTTTATAGGGTTTAGGGTGTATAGGGTTTGGGGCTTCAGGGTTCTTCCCGGGCTCTTGGGCTTCATGCTTTGGAGTTTTAGGGTTTAGGGTTTAGGGTTTAGGGTTTAGGCTTTGCGTTTCAGGCTTCGGGGTTTGAGGTTTTTGAGGTGTCGGGCTTGTGTTTCCAGATGTTTCCAGGGCCTTTTTTTTTTTTGGTTTTGAGGCTTTGGGGTTTTGTGAATTGAGGTTTTGCGTTCTGATTTTAGGCTTTGTTCATGTCGTGGGGTCTGAGGGCTTTTCGTTTCAGCTTTTGGGGTTTTATTTAGGTTCGTCGGGGTTTTGGTTCAGGGTTTGTGCCTTGTAAACAAGCTATTTGGGTTTGGTGTAGCCGAAGTTGTACTTGGAGGGTCTGGGGGCTTCGTAACTAGTTATTTCAGCGACTTATATGTACCATATCCCCAATTAGAATCTCTTTTCGGGGACATATAACTCTGCTACCTACTTACTAAATCCCCCGACCCTCCCACCGTTGATGATATAAATCCTGCATTACCCATAATAAGGAATGTACCATAATTCCCATAGTTTTGGGTCCTTAAAGACATGCAGATTTTTATCATCAACCGAAGTAGTCTGATACTTTTGGGGAGGACTGCTGAGTTGTGATAAATCAATCACGTTTCACCTGCTCGCGGATCTGAAGTTAGGATCCCAGTTAAGGGGTTTCTACCTGCTTCCTTATTCTGCGCTTGCGGGTAGGCTTGCCCTGGAAGAACTCAACTTAGGACTCGCGAACAAGATCTTTCGATTGAAGCACGAATAATTACCGATCTTATTCCGTAGGACTCCCTAATCTAGCTGTGCTATAACATACCACAGAACGCCATTTCAATTATTAAAGCCCCTATAGTTAGGGATCTGGGTGTCGAGTTTCCGACTGTTTCGGGGCTACAGCTGCTGGAACTGACTTTAAACTTGAGAAGCATGGTATCGTCCTGCTACAAGATGAAATAGAACGCTCTGAGTTCAGGGTTTAGGGTGATGAAAGAACTGCACGCAGGTTTGGACGAGGATAGATACTTTCTTGGCTCGAGAATAGCTGTTACGAATCCTTGTTCACTACCATACTTCTTGGGGCAGTGACTTGAAATGCCGCCAAGGATCGGTTCCCTTCGCTGGGGCCTTGTGCGAGCCTCGTTTGCGCTGAGGTCGTGCAGCGTCCTCCGTGCCTGCTTCCTCGGCGGCTTGGTCGTCGGTGGACCTTGACGGATGTACCCTAGCAAGAGGTGTACGGATTGAGGTGCAGCATATGTACCATCATTTCTTCAGCAAGAACACACACACAAACTTTTTGGAATATAAGCTCATCTAGGTTCACCAGTAACCACTTAACAATGAGAGTCATAAGGGCATTCTTTCTCCCAATGTTCAATTTGTATAAGGAGACCCCAAGACAAAAAGTGCAGAAGGGTATTACTGAGGCCTTGAAGTCTTCCCCGTAGAAGTACTTTAAGGCCCAGCAATATACAAAATGGGTACATGGGCCCTTACGGATAGTCGGTGTTTCAAAATTCCAGCATCTCAACACACAATGCCATCCGCTCTCAACTTCTGCCCTAAGTCCCCCCAAAAAGGCGCTCCGTTAAGGGATCTATGGGGCTCGATAGGGAGTTCTCAAGGATTCTATAGGAAAGCCCCAACCCTCAAGCCCTTAAACCCCTAAACCCCTCAACCTTAAACTCGTAATCCCCTACACCACAAACCGCTAAAGCCCTAAACCCCGAAACCCTAGAAAATTCGGCCCAAGGCTGTCAGAACCACCGCGACACCATCAAGCACCGTTCTAGGTTTAGGGCTGGCTTAGGGTTTGGTTTAGGCTGTTTTGCAACGGCTCTGCTTGCACCCTGTCCTAAACCTTGAAACGGTACGGCTGATGGCATGAATCCTGCATTACCTTAAGGACCCGTAACTATGGGAATTATGGTATATTCCTTATGGGTAATACAGGATTTATATCATCAACCGTATCTCCCTGAGTCTTGAGCCCCGAAGATCCCGGGCCTTAAGCTTCTAGCCCTGAAACGAATAAAGTGAAAGCCAGAAAGTTGGAATATGATTATCCTAAACCCTTTATGGTAAATTATAGGGTATCTTACCCTGAAACCATATTCCAACTTTCTGGAGTTCCCCTTAATACTTATGCCCATAAGTACCGACGAGGAGGGTTTTTGGGGGCAAGCAGCTAGGATCCGAGGACTTGGATATAAGTACCCCAACAAGGATCCTAATCGTAGTTCTCATACTTAAGTGCATAACTAGGATACCCAGTAACCTAGTAATAGAAAGGCCTCTCTTTTTGGTATTGGGTAACTTTATAAGGAACCTAGGACTAGAAAAAGGGAATAAGGGTACTACTGGGCATCCTAGATAAATACCTACTTACTAGGTCCCGCAAAACCCTAGACCCTGAACCCTAAACCCTAGACCCCACAGAGTAATTCCCTCAACCCTCCAAGCAGTGGAACCCTGTGTCAGTCGTTCTTCGTAGATCTAACCGTATGGTAGCAGGGTTTAGGGTTCACGGCTTCTTCAAAGGGATAACAGCAATTAGGATGCACTGCATGCTACTTTGGCCGGTGCTGGGGGCGGGTTATGATTCTTGGGTCCTTGGGCCCTGAGTTCATGAAGATCTCAAGCAAAGCTGTATCAAACAAGCTACTATCCAAATTCGAGCAGTCCCCATAAGGTCCTTCCCCTGTCCAGCCTGTTTGGTGGCCCCAATAGTGTCTGCAGATCAGCAGAGGGGCTGCTCCGGACTTTGACGTTAAGCCGGCGTCTGAAGGTTCAGTCAGACCTAGAACACGTCCCCAAAACTGCTGCACAAACGCAGTATTCCCAAAACTAACGAAGCATTTCGCAACAGCAGCTCAATACCCTGTCAATATGAACAATTCCGTTCGGGCACTGTCAACCACCTGGACTCAGGAATTCCTCACGAACGCCCTCAGCTTTATATACAGCTGAGCTTCCCGGTGTCTGTGTGCTGCTCATCGTCCTGAACAGAGCTGAGGGCTTTCGACACTCCGCTTTCAGGGTTCAGGGTCAAGTTTAGGACATAATGCAGGGGCGTTAATTTTTCAGAATAGGGCTTTGGGCTCCGCGCCTTTATAGTATAGGTATAATAAGGAACCTCTAAAGAATAACTGTATATAGGTAATTATTATAGCAGGCCCTAAGCTCGACACTGGACCGCAAATCTGCTCATTCTGATCTCATGCTCTCATCCGCATCCCTCAACTTCTTGAGGACTCCTAGGGGGTCGGGGGGAGGGGGTCAGGGGGAATACAGTAAAAGCCAGAAAGTTGGAATATCATTATCGTAACCCCTTTAAGGTAAATTATAGGGTATCCTACCCTGAAACCATATTCCAACTTTCTGGAGCTCCCTTTAAGGCCCATTTAAGGAAGTATAGTCTCTCGCCCCCCTCCCCTCTAAGGGTCCCTAGGAACATCCCTTAACTGGAAACCCTGGACTCGCAAATGCGAAGTCTAGGATCCAGGGTTTAGGGCGTTGATTGTCTAGGCTTTATAGGCTCTTAGGGTTTCGGGTCTAGATGACCCAAGAGGGATTCATTCATGATGCTTTGAAAGACTGCTCTCTCCGGTCTACAGCTGATATAGCCTTAATCATTAAACCCTAAACCCTAAATAATTAGGAGGTGCTTTGAAAGCCTTTGAAAAATATTAGTAGTTAAGATCTTGTTCAACCCAATAAGAGCAAATATAAAATGGCCCAAAGCCCCACCTAGAGAACTACTCGTGATTGTGATGCAGGAAGTCTGGGGCCTCTATAGCAAAGGTCTGGGGAAGCGGCCCCCGCCATGTATCCTGAACCCTTTCGCAGTAGCGTGTTTTAGCCGAAAGCCATCCAGATTGAGATTCTAGGAGACTTAACAACTAAACAGATTGAGATTCTAGGAGAATTAACAACTAAACTAAGGCTTTGAGTGGTAGGTCATAGTACAACTCTGAGAAACCGGAAGGGGATCTTGTTACTGATGACTCAGAACCCTGATTGAGAAGCCATTATACACCCAAAAGCCTTAGTGGTGGTGTAAGGGCTAGAGCATTCGCCAGGAGAACCACTGCGAATCTGCATCGTGGCCGCATGTCATCGCCTCCTTAACTATACGCCTAAACGAGCTGATGCCTTCTGCTAGGCCGCTGTCTCTTTGCATAAGCCTGAACCCTAAACTCTCAAACTCTTAACCCTGCAACTCGAAACGGCCCTAAACCCTAGAATCCTAGACCCTCCACCCTCAATCCTGTAACCCTAGCTCGAAACCTACACCCTGAAGCCTAATCCCCGGCCCCAGCACCCCCCCTAAACCCCAAACCCTAAACCCTAAACCCCAAACCCTAAACCCTAAACCCCAAACCCTAAACCCCTAAACCCCAAAACCCCAAACCCTACGCCCCCTTAACCTCCAAACCCTAAACCCCTAAACCGCGCACGGCTCCTCTTCTTCCTCGTCTGCTTGCAGAGGTCCCCGCTTCTCACTGGCCTTCCTGGTCCAGGTCAGGGGTTTAGGGTTTTGGGCCTGGGGTTTAGGGTTTAGGAACTTTGGGTTTAATCGGGTTTTGGGGTTTGGGGGCCGTTTCCGCATCCAACGGTGTTCCGCTCACAGAGTCAGCTTTGTCTAGATTTCCAGTGGGTGGCTGTCAAAATTATGGTCCCTTTTTAGGTATCCTAAATATTAGGTGCCGTGCTATCTTAGGGACCCAAAAAGGGACCATTATTTCACAACCACCCAAACCAGTGTACTCAGGTACTAAGAAACAGAAACGGGGCCCAACAGAGCTGCAAGCTTCTGGGAGCTTTCTCTTGTGTGATATCTGGGCCTGAATACTTAGAATAGGGTTTGGGGTTAGGGTTTAGGGGTTAGGGTTTAGGGTTCAGGGTTTAGGGTTTAGGGTTCAGGGTTTAGGGTTTAGGGTTCAGGGTTTAGGGTTTAGGGTTTAGGGCCCAATATTATACTGTACCTATAATAAGGAACTCCCAAAATAGTAGTGGTAGTCGTTTAGGCCCCTAAAGGAAAAGTCTTGGCATTCTCGAGCTTTATCATTCTCTTCAAGTCGCAACCTGTCAAGATGTCACTCTGCGAAATCTACGCAGGACGAGGTAAACAAATCGACACTTTTTGGGCTTGGAATCGTCTGTTTCGCAAACGTATGCTGTTTCGGTTCTTGTTATCAGCATTTACTCGTCAAAGAAGTGCTGATAGTTTGAACCGATATTTCTTAGGCTGTTGGGAATTACTTGAGTCGTTCTAGACCAAAACAGACAGTCGAAAAGGTGCTGAAGTCTTCCCATCAGCTGGGTAAGCTTGGGTATTGCAGCTCACGGAAGTTAGGCGCACGGTTCGGGCTTAGACAGCCGACAATGCAACTCCAACATTCTAAACATCCTGAACCCTGAAACTCTGAACCCCAAAGCCCCAAAGCCCCTAAACCCTAAACCACTGAAACCTAAACCCCTAAACCCCAAAAGCAAGCAAGATGCCCTAAACCCTAAACCCCAAACCCCGAAAGCCTAAGCCCCTGAAACCTAAATCCCCAAAACCCTAAACCCCTGAAGCCTGAACCCCTGAAACCTAAACCCCAAAACCCCAAAAGCAAGCAAGATTCCCTAAACCCCAAACCCTAAACCCCTGAAGCCTAAGCCCCTCAAAGCTAAATCCCTAAACCCTAATCTCCTGAAACCTAAACCCCTGAAACCTAAACCACTGAAACCTAAACCCCTGAAACCTAAACCCCTAAACACCAAAAGAAAGCAACATCGCCCTAAACCCTACAGGGAACTCCAGAAAGTTGGAATATGGTTTCATGCTAGGATACCCTATAATTTACCATAGAAGGGTTAGGATAATCATATTCCAACTTTCTGGCTTCTACCCTAAAGCTCGAGAGTCGGGGCGTCTCGGAGTTAGAGTTTTGGGAGTTGGAGCTCAGGAGTTTAGGCTCAGTTTAGGGTTTAGGGCTTAGGGTTTGTGGTTTAGGGTTAAGGGGTGTAAGGTTTAGGATTTAGGGTTTAGGGTTCAGGATGTAAGGTTTAGGTCTCAAAGTGGGGTTCAGCGGTTTGGGATTTAAGGTAACAAAACCCTGGCAAGCACACCCAAGAACAACTCCTTGAGCTTTAATCAGTGGGTTTTCTCAGAGCCCCTTCTTAACACAGCTGATAGTTTCTGGGGCTGCGGAAATAGAAATTGAAAGTGCATGACACAGAGACCAACTGAAAACACTGCATAAAGGATTGCCCACCCCTAGCTCCCTGAAGAGATGCACAGAAGCCTAAACCCTAAAATCTCTTCCCCAATACCGAAGCCGGAGAACCCCAAGATTTACTGTAGAAGGAATACACGGGAATGAGCAAAGACTAACTTTATTCCTCTGTAGGCTTCGCAAGGGCCCAGCCTCTTTCTTCCCTTCCTTCCACTCTTGGCTTCCTTCCTTTCACTTTGCTCTGCTTCCTCCTCCTCGTCCTCTTTCTCTTCATCCTCATCCTTATCTTCATCTTCACCTCCGTTGTCTAGGGTCACAGCTTGAGGCGAGGGTGTAGGATTTCAAACCTAACTGCCTAACTGCGTTTGACGTCACCGAGAAGTACCTGATGTCTGGGTAGTCTGAAGCAGGGCCTCAGCTACTTTTGCACACGGAAGGCTTCATTGCGACTGTGCTCGCCTGCAGGTGGTAGAGGGGCCTTCCAAGTCAGAACATAGCTTTGGGGTTTGTCATGGAATGCATTTCTTAAGTATTAGAAGAAAACCCTGAGGAAAAGATAATGCTGCTAACTCTCCGGCCCCCTATATCCGGTCATCGCCGAAGCTCAGCAATCGTTTGGCATTCCCCTGAGGATCCAAGTGCTCAAAGAGTTGGGTTTCAGGCACAAGGAGGGTAATATAGGATCTGAACAATTACCTGTACTATTTTGGGGGTTCCATCTTGTATTTCCAATATAATGGGCCCTATATTGCAAGATGTGTGGTTTAGGGTTCCAGCTGCTAGCTAGTAACCCTTCGCGGTGGTATATGGGCCTTAACAACGAGAATACGGCTTGGGGGTCAATGTGCTTGGCCAATGATACCGTCTGACGACACATGGTCTCACGTATGTAACACACAGAAAAATCAAAATGAATCCGGTCAGACACACAGTACTTAGAGGCTCAGGAAGCTTGTTAGCAAGCAGGTTACAAGCAAAGCCTTTGATATCGCCAAGTAGTGGACGTATATCATCTGCTACAGTACAACTTACTTACTGAGTCCCTTGATCCTTCAAATCGTCGCAAAGGTATCTATGTGAATCGCCGCAAGGGTATCTATGTGCAAGTGCCTCGTCGAAACTCTCATGCCGTGATCGTCCGAGAATGGTAAACGCCTATCTCATAATAAACTTCAGCACTGCAGGTGATGTAGCGGCCCTAAAAGTTACCAACGCTATTTTGGGGTGTCCTTACTTTAATTGTAGGATAATGGGCCCAAAACCCAATTCAAATCAGTAAGGCCCCTATGTTACACAAGATGCTCTTGTCTGATATGTCTTTCAAACCCGAAGCGCCAAGCATTCCGTGCTAAACCCTGGACATCTAAACCCCAAGCCCGAAACACCTAATATTGAAACGTTGAACCTCAACCCTGCAGAACAGCGCACCTTCGTCTTCATCCTCTTCTGCTTTGTCCTTAGGTTGTTCCTCTTCCCCTTCGTTCGGCTCCGGCTCCTCTCAAGGAAGCTATATGGGAGTTTCCGAAAATTAGGGGCACCTTATTTTGGGGACCCCTATAATCAGGATCCTACTATTTAGGGTACTATATTCGGGTCCCCCATTTTCGGAAACTCCCATATTGAGTCTGCGGTTTAGGGGTTCAGGGCTTTGGGATTGGGGGGTATCCCTGCGACATATCTCCTCTTTTTGGTGGGTATGCAGTGCTATATTCGGCTTCGTTGCCGGTTTACGGTTTGGGGTTTTAAGGGTTCAGAGTTTAGGGTTTGGGGGTATTCCTATGATCTTCTTGGTGGGTATCCAAGGCATGGGAGATCACTATACAACAACCATATCACCCAAGAGCCAAGAACTAAACACTTACCAAACAGTCGAATAAAGACACTCCAAGAAGTACTTGACTACGGGATATGGGAGTTTCCGAAAATAATGGACCCCAATATAATACCCTAAATAGATTATAAGTACACCAAATTAAGGTACCCCCCCCCCCCCCCATTTTCGGAAACTATAATAAACCCTAAACCTTGTCCAGAGCCCTTATAGATCCCTTTAAGAAACCCCTAAAACACACCATACTAAGGTACCCATCATCTTCGGAAACTATAAACCCTAAACCCTTTATAGAACCCTTATAGATCCCTCTAAGGAACCCCTGAAGGACACCAAAATGAGGTCGCCCCTCATTTTCGGAAACTCCCATATGGGAGGGGAGTCTCTAGGACTTGGCACCTGCTGGGCTTGGGCTGTGGGATTTAGGGAGCTTGGCCCCAGTGTCAGGTGAAAGGCTTCAAAAAACCCCGGTTCTAGTTGTTATCGCCCTTACTTGGAGGGTCGGGGAACTTAGTAGGCATGACTTATAGAGACTTGTGCGTACCCTAACAAGGATCCTAATTAGGGTTATGTACTTATAAGTCTATAAAATAGCAAAAAAAGGACCCTAATTAGGGTTGTGGTACTTATACGTCTATAAAATAACAAAAAATACCCTAATTGTGGCGATGGTACTTATAAGTCTATAAAATAGCATGTAAAATTTGACTACTTATAAACCGAAAACCCTGAACCCCGAAACCCGAGCAGCTCAACCCGACAGCGTCCTCCTCATCCTCGCCCCGAACCTTCCCGCTGGGCCCACGAGGTGACTCCTGCGGACATGTACGGAGCTTCAGGAAACTCGGAGTCCCCTTTTGGGGATCCTACAAGACTTATAGGATGGAGTGTAGCAGTTTCCGAAATTATGGGGCTGGCTTTTTGAGCCTACATGTAACCACTTACATGCATAGAATACATTTCTGGAATTTTCGCGCGTCGAATTATCTCTGTATCACGTTTACAAAAGGGATAGCCCTTGCATCAAGGATGCCGTCTTCTTCTTCTTACTACAAATACTGCTACTGCTACTACTGCTACTACTGCTACTACTGCTACTACTGCTACTACTGCTACTACTACTACTACTACTACTACTACTACTACTACTACTACTACTACTACTACTACCACGACGACGACGACGAACCACTACAACTACCACTACGACTACGACTCCTACACTCTTACTCCTGCGACTCCTACTCCTACTCCTACCGCTGCCGCTGCTGCTGTTGCTACTGCCACCGCGCTGCTTCTACTGCTACTGCTACTCCTACAAGGACCAAGGTTTAGGGCTTGGGGCGTGGAGCCCCAACACCGTAAGACCCCAAACCCCCGAAGACTACTTGGAGGATCAAGGGACTTAGTAAGTAGGGTTATAAGTACTCTAATTGGGGTTCTAAGTAATTATAAGGATAGTTCCCATGATCCTTTAAGTACTCCCTCGTTCGTAGTAGAGAATGGGGGAATGGGTCATGGGGACCACGAAAAGGGAATATAATTTTCATCCATTCCCCCGTTCCCCAGTAAGAGCCCCCGAACCCTAAAGTCCACACCAGTGCACTGTATCCTCCGGATGCTCACGGGCCGAAAACCTTCAACTGTCGGTCTCATTCGCCGGTGAAGTAGTACTGAAGACCTCCCTCCATCTTTAATCTACCTCCTCCGGTACTAAGTCCATTCAAATAGTTTATGTTCATCTAATCAAATCAACTACTCTATGACTGTCCGGCGTTTAAGGTAGCCCCTTCGAATTACAGACGAAAACTCTCCACAACTCATAGCCCAGCCCTGCTATAGGCGCCTTATTTATTAGAATAGGGTTTCGGGGGTATACTATTCTAAAGTTAGAATGCGGAACCCTCAGAGTCAAAACAGTTTACATGATCATCTAGGCCTATATTACATCCTAGACCGGCTCATCTGAGCAAAAGCTGCGGTCCTTCGTTGGCTTTCCCGTTGTGGTGACTCCCCCAGCCGTCCTGGATTGAAGGAGTTCTGCTTCTGCTTGCAGGGTCGGGGGACTTAGTAAGTAGGCAACTAGTAAGTAGACGTATAAGTACCAAAGCCCCAATTAGGATCCCTTGTTAAGGGCAGCTACAAGTCTACTTATTACCTACTTACTAAGTCCCCCGGCCGTCCAAGTGGGTTTAGGCCCAATGGCTCCCTTTGCCAAAATAGTATATACTTTGGCCGTAAGGGGGTTCCTATATAGGTGGTTTACCGCCTAAGCACATACTGTATGGTTACATGAAGCCTTTGGGAGGGTTGAGGGTTCAAAGCTTAGGGTTCAGGGCGCTGTGGGTTTATGATCAATATGGTCTAATACTCAATAAGCGGGCTGATCATTCAACTTTAGTACGGGGTTGGCGTAACATGTGACCTGAATCACTGAACCCTAAACCCTAAACCCTCAAAACAGTGACCCCAACGCTCCAACCTCAATCATACGCGAAACCCATCAGCTCTTTTGGTGACGATCGGGATCTCAAACTCCCAGTCGCTCGCTACAAGAACTACGGTTGATGATACAAATCCAGCATTTCACATAATTAAGGAAATATACCATATTCAGGTGATGCAGGATATATATCATCAGCCGTATCTCTAGGCCCCGAGAACCGGGGAGCTCAAGAACAGGAAGCATGGCTTTGGGGTAACTTACTACCCCAATAAGCCACAGAAATAAAAGGTTAAACTTTCCGATTCCTTCCTAAAATTCAAGAACCCAAAAAGCTAAAAGGTTGGGCATTGGGGATCTAAGGTAATGTAGGGGCCTTCACAACTAGTACAGTTTTTTGGGGCCCACCATACTGTAATTATAGTAAGGAACCCCAAAACAATACTTTTTAAATTTTTAGACACCCTTTTGTAGCACAAAGACTGCAAACACGAATAGCCTGCAAACACGAATAGCAGTTCATAGCTGCTGGGTAATCGCGAGAATAGCCATGCATGCCCTTGCCGCTCAGCTTCGGCGTCGCAGACCCGGTAGTAGAGACCTGTGGATGGTTTTGTCCCGGTTTACTTGGAGGCTTAGAAGTTAAAAGCATCCTAAAAGCATCCTAACTGCGTGTTGTATGACCTAGACCTATAACTACTTACTACGTCCCTCGACCCTCCAAGTAGGGTTTAAGGCCTTCGGTCTGGTCCGTGACGTCCGTCGCCTCGTCGACAGGGGCGGCCGTCCTTGAAGAACGCCGCTTAGGCCGCACGCACCACGGATCGGCCTACGGTCGCCATTCGGCCGCCCGGCATCTCTTTCCTGTGGTACTGCTCCAGGAAATTCTTTCTCGATAGACCGTGCCAGCCCTCGAAACGACCCAACGTCTTCGACGTGCCATTCTGGCTGCCTGCCGGCGGCGGCCCGCCGTACGGCTGTGGCTCTCGGGCTCTCTCGCGGAAGAGAGCCTGCCGCACAGCCTTTTCTGGGTCCTCTGCCTCTTCTGGCTTTGTCCACGAGCTTCGAGTTCAGTAGGCCACTCCAGGAACGGCGGACCCACTCCATCGTGGCCGGCGGAAGCTCGAGAGTGGTCTTCAGGCTTCCTTGGCTTCATTGGGTTGAGGGTTCAACGTCTTCCATGCTCTACTTAAAGGGTCGGGGGACTTAGTAACTAGGGTTATAATTAGGGTAACTATACTTATAATTAATTATAACCCCAATTAGGGTACTTATAACCCTACTTACTAAGTCCCATGATCCTCCAAGTAGGCCCTAAACCCCAAACTAAACCCTAAAGATCCCTTTAAGGAACCCTATAGATCCCTTTAAGGGGCCCTTTAAGAACCCTTACTAAGTCCCCCGACCCTCCAAGTACGAGCCCCTTGCTTTCGGCTACGGCCTAGGACTGGGTCTCCTCCGGTCGGAGCGCTCAGCTGGAAGCAGAAACCTACTCGTCGAGTATCCTTTAGAAGCTGCCCCCACCCTGTAATCGTGACTATAAGGATTATATTAGGGCCCTGTTGTATTCCTATCATATTCCTATTATACCACTATTACAGGGTGGGGGCAGCTCCTAAAGTATCCTGAGGAAGCAAAGGTAAACCTTGGAACTTATACCTACTTGTCGGGTATCATGGGGAACTAAAGGTTAACCCTTTTTGGTTAAAGTAAGGATTATATAGGGACTACTCTACTACTAGGTACAGTGGGAGTATGTCGGGATTGTGGTACCCGCAAGAAGATCAATTGTTGCCTACGTTACTGCTAGGAAAAACCCAAAGCCCCAACCCTAAAACCTGCTGCTTGAAGTACCTCACGAACCCTCGCCTGAAGGACAGCTCTTTCGCTGCGGGGCATAAGGCTCATGCTGCAACCTATACAACTACACTTCAGCGAGATGACACGACAACTCACTTGCATGTGAAAGCCCGAGACATACTCTGCTGAAGCTTCGGATTTAGGGTTTAGGGTGAATCTTTTCTTTTTAAGCGCCTCTTTCCCGACTCGCGAGTGCTTGCCGAAAATCCCCGGAGGAAGGCAATCCAGCCACTTGCAAGCTTTCTTGCACACGTCCCAACTCCAAACACCTTCAAGGCTTCACCTCAACACCCGCTCAGAACTGGTAGACCGCCGCCGGAAAGTAGGGTTTAGGGTTTAGGGTTTAGGGTGAATCTTATGATTTAGGGTTATGGGCTTGGTGTATAACTTCAAGCTGGATAAATCAACTCTGAGCACTTGAAAGCAACGGGCTAGTGCTGAACGAGGAATACTCCCCCTAAACCCCAAAATCCCCCTAACTAAAGAAGTGTTCCTGACATATCTGGATTGCTCTTAGGGACAGAGTAGAATGCAAGATTTGACTAGTTCTCCTTTTGGGATTTGACGAACTTCAGGCTAATTTTTGGCGTGACGGCAAGGGAAGTTGATGGGATCCTCCGCTATGGTTTTGTAGAATGCACTGTTGGGATGAGGATTCCGAGTTAAAGGGGTGCATTTTCTAGCCTCCCAGAGGTCTATGTAAAGACGGAGCATCTTGAGTACGCGGCTTCTGGTTTATGGCTAGGTTCCTGTAGGACTGATGATGCATGCATGATCAACTCGCACCTTGACGCCGCTGATCCGCGAAGTCATGGCAGAAGTGGTGGTGACCTTAGCTACAGACTTATGTGCTTGATTGGCTGGCTTCTTGTATCACATCCAAGGCCATGCACATCTCCAAATTTCTGACCGTCAAGCCCGACCAAATCCCGATCAACTCCCCCAAAGCCGCCTATTTAATGGATCTACCAAAACTGGGCTGACTTCTGAACCCCTCCTAAAAGTTAAACTTTTAGCCTCCTTATTATGGTTCATATTATAGAAACCCAAAAAGTTAAAGTCCTAAGAGCCAACCAGAAGAACGCCAAGTATTGTAATTATACTATAGTCAAGGGTACACTGACAATGCTCCAAAAAGTCATAGTAATAACTAGAATAACAGTGGATCTACCAAAAGAGCCCTCGAGAGTGTCCAAAGTTGGGGCTTGGGGCTGCTCGGGAAACTTAGGGGGGCATGTAAAGGAGAAGGGCCCTTTTGATGGCCCAATATACTATAATTGTATTCAGGAACCACCAGAATAGTATAGGTAAGTCTTAAGGCCCTTACAGTACAGGGAAGGGTGGGCAAAGGTTCGCTGAATACGGTTGGTGATATACATCCTGCATTACCCATATTAATTCCCACACTTTGGGGTCCTCAATCTCAAGGTAATGCAGGATTTATATCCTCAACAGATAGCTCCAGCAGCCTTGCATACCCTCAAGCCCCCTTGAACTGCAATCCGTGCCCGAAAATGACTACTTCAAGGGTCATGAGACTTAGTAACTAGGGGTATAACTAGGGTAGCTATACTTATGATTACTCAGAACCCCAATTAGGGTACTTAAAACCCACTTACTAAGTCCCATGATCCTCCAAGTACGCCACAGAACACGAGCATCCGTGTTGTGGGGGATTGTTTACGGTTTTTGTCAGGAGGCACCTGGGAAAACATAGGTCGAAACCAGTTGCCATCTGATCTGTGTTTTCCAGCATTGGCGCCACTTTTCGGAAGCACTCTGCGCACTACATCTGTGCTCTAGCTGCATGCACGCATGCCGGATAGGATAGGGCCCTAATACATTTATTCATGGTACTGGTACAAATATGAACATTAACAATATGAACTCTTTGTTTGAGTACCAGATCCGCTCTCTTTGCTCCCAATTACGACGACTTGTACGTGAAGGGTCCCTAGAACTGCTATACTAGGCTTTGCTAAAGAATAAGCTCTAGTCGTTGGTGGTCGAACCCCGAATAGGGATCCTAATGGGGGTAATGATACGTACACCTTATAAAGCTAGAGAATACCTTCTTACTAATTCTCCCGACCGTTCAAGTACTTGGATCCTCTGGGCAAGCGCCTATGCACATAGGCCCTAAACCCTAAACCTTCAAACCCTGATCCCTTAAGGAACCCTTGTGAAACCCTATAAAGTACCGCCTAACTGAGGCAAGCGTCTGTGGTGGCCGTGGAGGTGGTTGTGGTAGTCGTTCGCAACTCGACATTTTTCTGTACGAAATACATGTTCCCGTCCTCGCTGGAGTGAGTTGGCTTTTTGAACCGAACTGGCTTGTCTTGTTTACCTTGCTGAAGGCAAATCCTGCAAGTGATCAAGCTATGAAGTGACAGTAAGGTTCAACCAAGCGAAAAGCTTTGAAAAGGGTGGGTTAGGGTTTTACTCGGGCGGTTTAATGGTTCCGGATCTAGGATTTGCCGTGGAGCGCTTCTCTTTACTGAGTTTCATGTACAGCTCCGTAGGTTGTAAGAGCGCTTTAGGGCTCAGTGCTCGGGGCTGCAGGTAGCGGTCCAGGGCCCTACTACCGGATACAATCACTTATTATTTACGGGATTGCTCCTTACTACCTTGCTGAAGATATAACTCTAAGTACCCTGATGTCAAGAAGGCTAAGCCTAAAAGTCATGAAGATGTGAAGTGACAGTAAAGTTCGAACAAGTTTTGACCACTTTGTCTTGACTTGCTGCCTTGCTGCTTTCAGAGAGGGATTAGAGGTTAAGGGAGTCACAACCAAAATTACCGAATCTCTGTGCGTCATTCCCTGAACTTCCCTAAACCCTAAACCTTGGACCCTAAACCCCGGACCCAAAACCCCAAACTTTCGTAAACCCTCATCCATGAGCCCTAAATGTCCTCCACCTTGTCATTGTAAGCTCGAACCTTGGCGTGCAGCAGCGTCTTGGGCCCAGTGGATGAAGGTCTAATGGTTTTGAACACCAGCCAATAATCAATACTTCAATATCTTTCTGATTTTGGGGTTCAGATAGATGTTACCTAACTTTCGTCACGGATTGTGCAGTGATGATACGCAGGGACTTGCATGAAAGCAAGCAGACCAGATTAACATTGTCAGCCTTGCATTCCTGGCTTTGCAATCTGTGACTCAGAAAGTTGCCGAGAGGACCGATCTAAAGAATGATCCTGCTGACGACGACGACGACGACTACTACTGCTAATTACTACTGCTACTGCTGCTACCACGACGACGACGACGACGACTACTACTACTACTACTACTACTACTGCCACTAGTACTGGTACTAGTACTACTACTAGGTTCCTGCGTAACCCCTTAAATTAATAATATGGGTACCCTTTTTGATACTAGTCGGTTTGTATAAGAGGACCTTAAAATAGAAAGGGCAAAAGGGGGTACTGCTCAGGAACCTAGTTTAGGTGGTTGTGAACTTTCGTGAGAAGCACCATTACACAGAGGCCGTGCCTACTGATAATCTTACACCACTTTCGGAGCCTTCAAAACCGAGACCCATACCACTCATGGACAACCTTCCACGACAGGGAATATATCACAGCTCGCATACTCCAGTATACACAAACTATTGCATGGATTTGCCCACCAGCAGTACATCCGACAACCCCGCATTGGTGATTGGGCGCCGGACGCTTAATTTCTGGTGAAGTCGGTGGCCAGCCGTGCCCGAGGGGCCTATAGACTCATTGCCTGGCGAGCTGCAATACGGCGAAAAGATGTCGTGTGAGGTTTGTTGTCCGCGCGTCCTTTCGGTGCTTTACAGTGGCTCGCAACGGTTGCATCCCTTCCAAAACCTCGTTGTTTCGACCCTTGGAAGGCATATGAAGAAGATTTCTGGGAATGATCTTGGAATGTGAATCACAGGGCCGTTCGCAGACCTTCAGTTTCTTAAACGTAGGATCTGCGTCCCAAAACCACCAAGTCCTAAGAAGCGCCACATAAAACCACCATAAGCTCTATTGCACACGCAAACTTCGCCAACAAATGTGCAAACAAACTTGATTTAAACAGGACTACTGTCTTTGTCTTGAGTTTGGGGTTTAAGAATTTGGCTTCTTGTCGCTCGCGGCTCTTGGGATATGCGCTGCTGGGTTTTGGTGCAATCTGCAGGTCTACGGCTTCAACCTAAACCATCCAACATCCGAAAGCCCAAACAACAAATGCGAACACACGTCCGACAAAAACCCTAAAGCCTTGCCGAGCTTCACTCGATGTTGCGGTTCTGTAAGTTTGGAGCCTTTATGTAACGCGTTTATGGTTTATGGTCTGAAGGTCTTACTGGGCCAAAGCCCACCTTAACACGAAGCCCCCGAACTAACACCAAGCGAACACATTCACCGACAAAGCCTCCAGGCGTCCAGTAGAGGTTTCCACCGAGTTGCCCCTGGGGTCCGGGTTCAACGAGAGCCGATACACCAAAACCCTCAAAGGTTCTATGATGGCTTCTCTACGAGTCTTTTAAGGAAGTTTTGCGAGGGTCTAGGATGTTTGTGGCTCAGGCCTTTTGCCCTAAGGGTCCTAACACTTCGGGGAACCTCAAAATGTAGGAGCTAGAGACCCAGGGCTCTCCCTAGGAGATTCCGGACAGTCCTAAGGAGATACCTGGAACCTTAGGGTGTAGAGTATCCTAAAAAAATGCTAGGGTCTTGCTATGAACCCTGCTAGACACATCTGCCCTAAATCTTCGCACTGCAATTCCTAAACCCTATGCCCCGCACCCCACACCCTCAGCGCATACCCGCAATCCTGAACCAAAAAGCTAAACTCTCATTTAGCAACCCAAACAGTAGGGTTTCATGTACCAAACATCACTGAACATATTGCTTTGAAGCTTAAACAGTACAGTTGAAACTCGGAAACCCCTTGCAGCCCGACTTTGTGAATCTAGCCCTCCGAATGGCAGGGCACAGCAAGCGAACGAAGCACCGAATCCCTCAGCGCCAAAATGCTGAGTCTACTTGATGGTCATGAGACTTTGTATATCAATTAATCCTGGGTTCCAAGTGCCCCGACTGGGGTTGACCTAAATCTCCAAACAGCCTAGAAAATCCTATCGCTACTTTGAGAGGACGGTGGAGTGCTGGCAGCCAGTGCTATTCTCTGCAGTGCAGGGGTCCCATCCTTGGCAGTTCCAAGCAGGCACATACTAAAGGTCGCCAGAACAGCTGCTGATAAACACCCGGCCAGAATCCAACTGGAGGATTCCACTTGCTGGGCCTTCGGTCAAGTCCTGGTATGCCTCCACCATGGTGACTTACGGACTGGCTTTTGGAGGGATTCGCGCCCAGACCACAAACAGGGCTATTGGAGGGGCAGCCTCGACAAACAAGGCCGGCTCCTCAAACCGCCGTAAAGAACCTTACACAGCCCAAGGCCCGAAACCTTAAAGTTTCCTAAACTAAGTGCAAATGTACGTAACCTTAGACTCCTAGATCCACATCTCTTGACCTTCCATACAACCTTCCAGAACCAGAGCCCTCGTGAAAACCGTAGCTTCCAAAATCGGACATGCAGAAAAATATCTGCATCCCTAAACCCTCGAAACCCTATAGGCTTGCAAACCCTGAAAACCCGAAACGCTACAGATAAAAAGTAGAAACCCCAGCATGGTGTGCAGCACAGAGGCATATGACCACGAGAACCATGGGCTCCTTGAAGGAAAGAACATGGAACAACAATTTGTGTTTGTTTAGGGTGCCGGGTTGAGGTTTTAGGGTTTAAGGTTTAGGGTGTCGGGTTTAGGTTTTAAACTTCAATTTGGATTTTCACGGATTAAGGTTTGTAAAGCTCTGGCCTGGGCTGACTCTTGTTTGGGGAGGTCAATTAAGTGTATCAGAGATCCTAAACCTTAACCACCTCAGGATCGCTTGTAAGCCCAACTTTTGTAAGAATCCCATTCCTAAATCAGAACCATGCAGAACCTCTTCAAAGGATGGTATTTGGGACCGAAATCCGTATATCCCAAGCACCTAAGTCTTAAGAACTATTTGGGCACTTGAACCCCTAAGCCCTAAACCAAACCCGAGGGGACCGTAACCTTCTTTTTAATCCCAAGGATCTCTGAGCAGGGGCAGCCCGCGGGTTCCATGCCTGAGCTTTGGCAGACTGGGGCTTGCCTGCCCAGAGACTCCAAAAACCATTACTTAAGGAATTCACCTTAAAATAGGATCCCTAAAATGATTTAAGGTATATTCCTTAATTAAGGGGTTTTGGAGTCTCTGGGTGGCGGGTGTAGAGGGGGGGGTTGTGCGATTGCAAGCACCTTACAAGGAATCTTAATGGGTTTATGTATATACAAGTTCAACAAGTACCTTTAAAAGGGATCGAGGTGTTGCTTGAACCGCGGCTTGGCTGATGCACACCATGCATAACCATACTTGTTAGACAACCGTCGAGCTACTTCGCCCGTGGGCTACTTGGTTGTAAACATCCAGGGCTGTCGGCTACCAGTGAATCCGTGCGAAAGCTGCGGTTCTGAACACGAGAAAGCCCCACAGCATTTTGCGATGAGCATCTTGCCCACTCGTTAGATGGCATAAAACAATAGCCACAGTCCCTTGAACCCGCCCTTGTCGTGTTGATGGGAGGCCAAAAGGGGGGTTTAAGATAGTTGGGGTAGGGATTCCTGGATATGAACCCTATGATGGGAACCCTAATCCCTACAAAACCCCCATAGGCTAAAACCCTTTTGGCCTCCTATGACGTGTGAAGCTGAAAGTAGATGCGGCCAATCTCCAAGAGCCAGAGAACATGAACTGGCATGCCAAGCTTTGTTCCGGAAAAGCTGGCTGTTTGTAGCTTTGCAGCCTAAGTCACGTGTACAACCCCAAACTGCAAGTCTTAAACCATAGAGCCCGAAACCATAAACCGAAGCCCCGCCTGAACCCTAATCTCTATAAATCCTTCACCTCTCCAGCTCTGCCCGTCCTGAGAGTCAACGTAAGGTGTGAACCACTCGTGGCAATGTCCCGTTACTTGTGCCATGGTTCAAAACGGTTTCGTAATTGTCAAGGCCCCTAACTCATCCGAATGAAAGCGAAGCATTCTCTGTAAGGATCAGATTTTGAGGCTCAGTAGTATATCCACCCAAACCCCATTGTATGTAAAGAGGTCCCTAACCAACTCAAATCCACATGTGCGCTAAGGCTGAAACAACCCGAAATGCCTTAGATAGTATGGTCTTAGGCCCAAGGGCCTAAACATATTTCTGGAGGGCTAGAAGGGTTTAGAAGGGTTTCGCAGGATCTTGGTTAGATTTCACAAGGGTTTATTTGGGATGTACAAAGTTTTCACACGCCATGTGGGGCCGTAGAGCTGTTTAGGGTTTAGGGCTTTAAACGGTTAGGGGAGGGCTTCAGGAATTTAGGTATGTGGTTTTGGAGGTGGATGCTGCAGGGATTAGGGATAGAGGCTGATGTGGGGGTTTCCGAAAATTTAATTAGGGCGTACCTTATTTGGGGCCCTCACAATAAGGATCCTACTATTTCGGGTACTATATTTGGGTCCCCTATTTTCGGAAACTCCCATGTTGGGCCTCATGAAAATTTGCATGTTCGATGCAGGTTATGAGGGTTTCACGCGGTTCTATGAAAGGCTTGGGATGTCAGGGTTACTTGGAGTGTCGTGGGACTTCGTATCATAAGTAGACCGAAAACGGACTCTAATTGGGTTTATGATACAGAATAGCTACTAATAGCTACTTACTAAGTCCCCTGACCCTCCAAGTACGGGGTTTGGGGTATAACCGGAGACACTCTCCTATCCCATAAAAAAACCAATGCCAACAAAGTGAAACTTTACTATGGAAGCGGGTCAGGGTTCAACCCTCAAATAATCAAAGATCTCTGTAGGCTTCTTGGGAAGTTCCAGCATCTGCAATCTGAGATAATCAACGGCCAGCGCGGGTTTTGAGGCGTATAGACTTTGTTGTGAGGATGAAGCTTTGCGACTGAGACTGGGCCGTCCAATGCAGTTCTACTTTGCGGGTGGTATAGAGCAAACAAGGCACTCATAACAACTCCCCCCCCGCCAAAAAAAAAGAATGAGGGTCCAGGTATCCTCAACAAAACTAGCCCCCTAAGCCCCTGACCCTCCTACAGACTACAAAACCTTCTGGAGGCCTCTCGACCCTCAAAAACCGACATTGTGATCCGGCCTGACAAACACTCAAACAGCCGCTGCGCCCCACTCTGCCCCTATACCGTTGAGGAGAAAAGGTTCGAGAGAGTTTCGCAGGGTTTGTGGGTGCCAGCGCGATTTTGGCTCACTTGAAGGATCCTAAAACTTAGTAGCTATGAGTATGTGTATATATTTATACATATATATATATATATATATATATATATATATATATGGCATCTATACCTAAGATTTCAACCTTACTTACCAAGTCCCATGATCCTTCTTTATGGCTCGTCTCAAGTCTTAAGCCAGAGGAGGCCTTGCCCCAAATCCTCTAGAACCTGCAACCCTACTTCGAGGTCGGGGGACTTCGTAAGTAGATCATAAGTAGACTTATAAGTACCCTACAAGGGATCTTAATTAGAGTTGTTGCACTTAAAAGTCCATAGATTAACTGCTTAGCAAGTCCTCCGACCCTCCAAGTCAAGGGCTACATATAAGTAGGGTAACTATATACTTATAACCCATCTTAAGGGACTTATAACCCCACTTATAACTACCCATGAACCCCCCCCCCCCCCCCCCCCCCCCCCCCCCCCCGCGCCCCCGCACCCCCCGGGCCTGGCGAAATCAACCTACGAACGCCTTGCACTCTAGAGGTCCTGCGCACTAACTCCTACTTGTCGGGTGTCATGGGGAACCAGAGGTTAACCTTTTTGGGTATATAGGGACTATTTAGGGACTAGGCTACCTAAACAAGGTTAAAGGTTTCCTACTCTACTACTAGGAACTGCAGGTTCATAAGTACCTGCAAATACGGACATTTGAATTGTCAGCTGTTCGAGCGCGTCCTGAAGCTTGGTATCTCCGCACCAACCCTAAACCCTAACTCCTAAACCCCCGGACTCACCCACAGAAATGAACTCCCCGAACTCCAATGCAACCCCCCTACAAATTACGGACAAATTACCATGAGTTTAGGGTTTAGGAACATTCAAAGCCGCTTTTGTTATCTTGATAAAGGGTACCTTTTTTAGGGATCCTGCTAACACGGATCTACAGGGTCTAGAGGAGCGTCCCTTGTTCTCTGGCGCCCCCCCTTGAAAATGAGCACGAAACAATCTTAGGTCCAGAACGACAATCATGAAGCACCTCCTTAAACATCACTACAATCACAGCTTGGGGTTTGGCGTTGATCTAGTGGCCTAGACAACCAGCATGGGGTTTGGGGCAATTGAACCTACATTTTTGAAGAACCTATAGCTGAAACCGTGTAAGAACCCTATGAACCGTTTATGCAAACCTGTAGAGCCCCATGTTCATGCATGCTTTAAGCCCGTGCACCCTGAAGCTAAAACTCCACTTGGAGGGTCGGGGGACTTAGTAAGTAGGTGCTCCTTTAAAGGCGATTCTCAGGGTTCCTTTAAAGGGCTCCATAGGGGTAGTATAGGGTTTCGGGTTCAGGGAACTTAGTAAGTAGGTAATAAGTAGAGCTATAAGTAGCCTAAAAGGCATCCTAATTGAGGTTATGGTACTTACAAGTCTGCAAAATAACTAGTTCCTAAGTCCCCGACCCTCCAAGTATGCCCGCATCCCAGAAGCCTCAAGCCCTTAACTAACACCTAAACCCTCTTAAACCCTAAACACCCTTAGAGCCGGCAATCCTTAAAACCCTAAACCCCGCACGTCCTAGCCCTTGTATCCTAACCCAACAAGCCCCACACCCCAAAGAAGCACTTTGCAAGACCCCTTTCAGCAATCTTCAAAGGGAGTTCATAAAATCCTTGACTTGAAGAACCCCTCAAAAGAAGCTTTAAACTAACGAAACGAAGACTCGCTAACAGCAAAGCCCCAAAATGACCTTACACCATAAACCCTAAACCCTGAACGAACATTGAAAAGCTAAACCCTAAACCCGTAAAACCCCGCACCCTAAACCCCTTGAAAACCCTAAACCCTATAACGCCTAAACACCAAAGCCGAAACCCTAAACGATTTGAAAAAGTGCATGAAAGGTACAGCTCAGAGTTGTCTCCAAGGCTTTGCCGCCGTCTCGGGCGTCGGCGCCCCAGTGTGAGGTATCGTAGTACTGCACGCCTTTGGGCTATGTTTGGGCTCTTTTAAAGGATTCTTAAGGTTTCGGGTGTAAGGGTTTAGGGTTTAGGGCTCCTTTAGGGCATTCTGAAACAGGGGTTTATACCGGCTCTCGTTCACAAAATGAGGGTTACGCCTACAAGGGCCCTCGGCTATAGAGGTCTTAATAACTAGAGTAGGGTGTTGCCAAACCGTGACAAATGAATTAGGGCTCTCTCAGGCAAAACAAGCCAACCCTGCATAAACCAGAAATTCTCTGTACAACGCATCCCACACTCGCCAAACCCTAAAACCCCATAAGAAAACCCTGAACTTCGGCTTGGAGTCTCCCCCTTCCGAAGCAGCGCAGTAACTCTCTTTAGGCTTCTGGGGTTTAGCGCTGCGCAAAAAAAGCTTTAAAGATCTTCTTCAGGCTTTTAGGCTTCGCAATTTCAAGAACCTAAGGGGTTTGTTTCGCCTGTTGTCCAGATGTCACTGGGAACCCCCGAAGCAGCAACATGTGTGTAGTTGCCAAATTATGGTCCCTTTTTGGGTCCCTAATATAGTACGGACCTAATATTTAGGGTACCCAAAAAGGGACCATAATGTTGACAACTACCCATATATTATTGGGAACCCAGAACCCTACTGCACATTCCTCAGACAAAGATAGCTGTAATATGTAACCTCCATATTCCCTAGTGAGTGGATCTATATATATATATATATATATACATATAATATATATATATATATATATATATATACATATATATATATATATATATAAACTCCATATCCCTTTACGGATCTTAGCTTCATCGAGAAAAGCCCCAAACCCCCTTCCTTAGAGAACACCGGGAGGATCTAGAAAGTAGATCCCCGAATTTGGGGCCCTATACTACTAAGGGTACTTTATAGAACTCCCCATGGATACCTTAAAGGGGCCCTTAAAGGAACCCTTATAGAAACCCCCATTAAGGGATCTACTTTTCGGATCCTCCCGAAGGTCTGGCGTTCCGAGACTAAGCAACCGAGGCGCGGAGACCGCGCCAGAAGTGCCGCTGGCTCCCGCCCTTTGCCTTGGGGTCCTCATCCTCGTGAGGCGCAACCCTAAACCGTTCCCTTACCTTTGGTTAGTAGGGAATAGGGCTCCTTTAAAGGAATCTATAGGGTTCCTTTAAGGGATCTATAGCTGTTTAGGGTTCCTATAACCCAAAAAGCACATAAGCAAAAATTAGAGGAGGGATACCCCACATAAACTCCTTATAAAGAAGTCCAATATGGTAGGGATATCCCCATAAAATGCTTATGCTTATGTGCTTTTTGGGTCCCTAACCTAAACCGTTCTTGGAGGGTCCGGGGACTTAGTGTTTCGTCTAACACCAATTACTTGGAGGGTCGGAGGACTTAGTAACTAGTTATTGTAGAGACTTTTAAGTACCATAACCCCGATAAGGCTCCAAGTAGGATGTCTTTGCCTATTTCTCTACTGGTAAAAGCTTGAGTCAGCTAGAGCAAGAACTTCCAAAAGTATACAGTCACCAATATTCCTTAAAGTCTTCAAGCTAGAGCCTTAAGCTTACGCCTGTAAATCCCAAAAGCCCGGGGCCCTGATAAAACCAACACTCGAAACCGACAACGAAGGAGCCATGCTGAAACGGTGGGCCTGACCTCGCCTGAAGCCTGTGCCTATGCCCTGAACCCTAAAGCCTTCGAAAACCAGAAACTCCCAAACCACTAAAAAAAGCACCAAACCATAAACCCTAAACCCAAAAATCAAGAAGCCATGTTAAACCACAAAGTAAACCATCAGATCGTAACCCCCAAAAAAAAAACCAAATCCACGGAGCCATGTTAAAACAGCAAATCCTTGGTCCAGACCAAGGAGCCCAATGTGCTTCGGTGAAGAGGTTGAGGTGGCTACTGCACTTCCTTGTTTTGGGCTGGGAGGTGTGGAGTTCTTGCTGAACAAAGGTTAAACTTTCCGATTTCTTCTAAACTTTGATAAGAACCCAGAACGTTTAAAGGTCGGGTATTGGGGATCTAGAAGTTGCTGTTAGAGAAAGGAAGGTTTAGGGTGTGCTGTTTGGTTTAGGGTGCAGGGCTTGGGAAATATTGAGGGTTTGGTTTGGGGTCCGGGCTGGGGTTGTGCCCCTAAATTCCCACCCAGGCCTGCTTAGGCCGTACCCACCCTTTTTCTTAGGGTGCCTGGACCCAGAAGGACATCCGGCAGTGATTGACACCAACTCTGGATGGACAAGGGGTGGAGCCATTGGAGAATGGTCGAATTCAGCCCCTAGGGCTGAGCCAAGCCATTAGGCCCCTTGCGTGGCGCCCATATTCGCAGAGGGAATTCCCTCGATTCTCAAGAGATTAGAAGACCCTAAACCCGACGACCAAATCCCTTGGTGGTGTTTTCCTTTTGGCCCCCCCTCAGAAAAGGCCCCAGAGGCCGGCCCAGGGGGGTCCCCCAGCTGGCAGATTCCAGGGACTCGGGGGCCTCCTCCTAGGAGGAGACCTGGCGTTTTTTCCTTGCCTGTGGAGGCTTCCCTGCCCTTCTGGGACCCTGGCCCCCTGGCCCCCCCTGACCCCCCCCTGGCCCCCCCCTGGCCCCCCCTGGCCCCCTGGCCCCCCCTGGCCCCTTCCTGGCCCCCCTGACCCTCCCCTGGCCTCTCCCTGAACTTGACCTGACCCGCTGTTTTGTGGCGTGTGTAGGTGCGGCCCACAGACAGACCGGGCAGGTGGGAATTGAGGGCGTAAGCGCTAAACCCTAAAAGGCAATGTTTTGGGTGGTAGCCTGTGTATTCTCACAGCGGGTGGGAAAAGGTGAGGAACCAATGTGTAATTGTTTAGTGGTGGAATCGCATTCGAACGCTAGACGTCGATATGCCGCCCCCCCACACCCCTGGGAGTGTTGGGGCGCCATCCTACATAGAAAATACTGCCGCTGCGCGGCGAGACGCCCTAAACCCTAAACCCCTAAACCCTAAACCCTAAACCCTAAACTTGCGGTGCTCCCTTGGGGGGGTCTGGAGGTGCGGGTTTTCGGTCGTTTCGGGGTCTCGGGTGCTGGGCTTGGGATTTCAGGGTTGGAGGCTTTGTCAAAGACTGTTCTACTCCCCCCTCACCGGTATCGTTGTAGGGTTCTCCAGCCAGAATAGTTCCCTAAACCGTAAACACTAAATCTCTAAAGCCTCAAACCCCAAACCCCACAGAGCCCTCATAGGAACCCGAAGAGCAGGCTTAAAGAACCTACGGGCAAGGCCCACACTTTTTTCGATGATTAGGGTTTCTGATCGCAGCTTCACGGGCGGGTGCAAATTACTAAGGACCCTACCGTTCAGCGTGCCTGTTACGGTCCTTTGTTTGTAACATCAAATCCAGGCCTCTTGCACAACACTCATACATCCGGAGACCCCAAGACATAAATCCTAGATACTGACAGCAGCAGTGATCCAAGTCTCTTCACTTTCACCACCATGCATTCGCCTTAGCTCAGTCACATGGTGCGAAGATTGCACAGTTCGCCATGCAAGGCTTGGTAGACATTAGGGTTCAGGGTCTCCAACCCTAAACCCGCGGAGAATCCAGGATGGGTCCGGGCTTACTCTATAGGGCTTCCGTCTTGTAGCGTACAGGATCTAGGGTTTAGGACTCAGGGTTTAGGGTGTAGGGTTTGGACTTTAGGATTCAGAGTCTTTGTGTTTACCCTGAACCCTGTTGCTTAAGGGCTCAGACCACCAAATGCAGTTCCCTCCTGTAGATAACGACTTTTCGTAGATAATACTGAGACGGTCAGTTGCATCAGTCGAGACATGCGTCGCCGCAAAGGGTGCTACCTGGGCTCTGATACGTATATCTTTATAGAATAACTTACTCTTAAACGTGAACCCAAGACAAAAACAAACAGGAAGAACCCGTATTCTACCGGAGAACTACGAACAAACGACATAAACCTCCTACGTCCTCCGGCCCTCGAAGCGGAGGGCTCGAACCCTGAATTAAGGCGCCCAGGACAAATACTGCAATCGAGTGAAGCCTACTCCCTCCAACCTACTTCTCTTTGGAATTCGGTAGGATCCTATCATAAGCCCGAACATCGAATCTTCCGGAACGCTAAAGCAGTAGGTTTTGGCCTACTGCTACCCGCTAACCCAAGGCAGTGAAAGTAGGACTTGTCCAGTATCCCAGGAAACCAAACCCCACTTTTCTGTAGGTTTTTATTATGAACCCTAATGTGGAGTTTATAGGGACCCTGCAAAAAAGTAGGGTTTGGTAGCTTAAGGTAGGCTTTGATTGCTTTGATCTTGGCTCGGCCTTCTCCGCAAACCCTCAACACTGAACCGGGAACCAGAAACCCTAAGCCCTTACCCAAGTTGACCAGAAAACGGCTCGTGCTTAGTGTTTCGGTTGACAGGCCCAAAAGCCGCGAAACTTACATGCTACTACACTTTCTGCTTTGGTCTGCGGGTCTGCGGCACTTGCATGCACTTGCTTGCTGACTCTGTTGTGATGCGACGTTCTTACGGCGAGCTACCCCATGATAGAACTCCGAACAGACGCTTACCAAGTTCCAAACCCGACGTATTTTGTGTAGCTCCGAGGGTCACTCCCGGGCATCGCAGTACTTGACCTCGCAGCTGCCAGACGATTTCTCGCAGCCCGGATGTTCCCTGCCCAAGGACTAATTTTGGGGGTTTAGGATTTCGGGATTCAGGGTATAGAAGTGTAGGGGTTTAAAGTTTAGGACTTATCCAGATTTCTTAAAGGATCTCGTGGGTTTACGGTTTAGGGGTTTCGAGTTCAGACGTGTCGGGGTATAGGGTTTAGGACAAATCCAGAATTCTTCAAGGATCCACAGCAAAGAGGCCCCAACAAAGTAATCATACCGTCTGCCACTCCCGGCCCAAGAACCTATCTTTCTATTTTCACGCGCTGAGGTAAGCTGCGAAAAGGTATCTTACCTACCTACTATCCTATGGTCGAAGATCGGGCTCGTATTGGGGGTTCTACTTCTTGAGCCCCTGAAGGGGTCTTGCACAAACCAGACTTCCAGCTAGCGCAGCAACAGCCCTCGTTTGGTTCAGCGAATTTATAGAGTTCAGTGGTTTGAAGTTCTTACTCCCCCAGCACGCCACAAAAATGAAAGGTTGAACTTTCCGATTCCTGCTAAACTATAATCCTCGGTTTAGGGTTTAGGGTTTAGAGTGGTATAAGAACCCAAAGAGTCTAAAGGTTGTTTCATTGGGGATCGATGAGTCTATGATTTGGGGCTTTGGGCTTGGGGTCCAGGGCGTGTTTCCGGTCTTCTGGGGCGAGTGATGCCAGCTTGAACCAACGAAGAGGGGCACCAACACTACGGTCACTACCCCAGAGACTCCAAAACCCCCTTAATTAAGGAATATGGCTTAAATTGTTGTCTTACTTCCCAAATACCTATTGGGGAAAAAGTTCAAACTTTCCAAAAAGACTACCTCATAAGAGCCCAAAAGTTGACAAAGTTGGGTGTTGGGCCACAAAGTAATAGGAACCCGAATAAGGTTGAAGGTATATTCCTTAGTGAAGGGGTTTTGGAGCCTCTGGGGCAGTAGATAGCCCCCAAGCAGACATCAGAAAGCTGGAACATCAGGTTCCCAACCTGGCTAGGTGCTGGGCTCGGTGCGACGGAGGTGCTGAACTAGGTGCTGGAAAGGGTGCTGAAAACGGGGTGCTGAAAAGGGTGCCTAAAAGGTGCCCAAAAGAACCGGGGTCTCCTTCAGGTGAGGAGCACATGTGCAATAAGGCTGGCTGGCTGCTCTGCAGTTTTTGCTCACACGGGAGTTTCCGAAAATAGGGGTACCTTATTTGGGGGTCCTACTATTTGGGGTACTATATTAGGGTCCCCTATTTTCGGAAACTCCCACATGTAGCCCACGCTCAAAAGGCACAGCAATGACAGGACACTGGCATGCTCGCAACCACTCGGGCGACCCTTCATTTTCGCTCCCGGACCATCCCTCTCTCGCTTCGTCAGAGACTTTGCCACGCCACGTGGAAGTCCGCGCCTTTCCACAGGGCCTGGCATCTGTATCGAATCACGGTTCTGTCGAGAACCGTGCACAAGTAATGGCTCCAGTGGCCAAGCTTCCAAGGGTAAAAGGAGGGACCCTTAATAAGGACCCCTAGCTATATACCCTTAATATAGCTATTATATGCCCATTATATAGCCCATTATAGGGTAGGGGTCCCCATTAAGGGTCCCTCCTTTTCCCCTTTGAAAGCTACAGCATCATGTTCCGCCCCCTACCGTACGGCGACAGCAGAAGCTCCATGCTTTCGAGGCCATACGAGAAACGGCGGCTCTGTGTCCTCAAAGGGTACTATAATAGGGTTCTATGGTGCTGTAAAAGGGTTCTATGGTACTATAGTACCATAGAACCCTATTGTAGAACCTTTTAAGGCCAGGGTAATCCTCAAAAGGGTTCGCTCTATAGGGTACCTATGGTGCTATAGAGTTTGTACAGTGGGCCCCCCTGCACTGGGTTGTATTTTTGGGGCTCTGAAAAGTTATGAATAGGTACCTCTATAGGACCCATAAAGGGAAATGAACAGGTTTCCCAAAATGCCCCCTAGTGAATATGATTAAAGAACGGGGCCCCGGCATTCGTCATCATTGGTCCATTTTGCAACGTTCTGGGCTACGAGATAAACCCTTGATCCTATAGCCGCAAGATGGCCCACCCTTGGCACATGAGTATCCGCCACATTCATTCCGAGAGAAGAAGGAACAGGTACACCCCGTCTTCAATCTTGGGTTTAGGGGGGTTTAGGGTTTCAAGCCTTGCGGCACTTCATTGCTTTTGCTACGCAAAACCATGGACATGCTTTTGTCGAGCACAAAGCCACAGTCCCCATAAATCCTGCCCTGCGCCTCTGCCAGCACATCAGACTACCATCGATCCTGGCAGGAGCATGTACGGGGTGTAGGGTTGAGGGCCTACATACTGTAGGCCCTTAACAACTAGAATGGGGCTTTGGGGCTCCTTATCAAAATTGTAGTAGAATTTACCCTCAAACCCTGATCTAATTATTTAAGGTCCCTCTTTTACTTCGAAAGGCGCTCTGGGCATGGTTGGCCTTTCTCGAATTTTAGCACTACCGGCGTCGTGCCACCTTCACCCCTCAACCCTTAACCGTTTAAAGATCATGGGGCTCTTAGACTGACCAGTTCTCATTCGAGACATATAATGCCCTACCCTGGAAGCCCAGGTACCAATCGGTGCGTAACCGTATGCCAGCTGCGACTGATCCCCTTCTGGGCCAAAGACGAGAAAGTCGCCTGGACCGTACTCCCGTCGACGCAACCCTCTTCGAGAAAGAGATCCATGCACTCCCCAGACCCCCGGGAGGATCAAAAAAGTAGATCCCTTAATGGGCTCCTATAAAGTACCCTTAGTAGTATAGGGCCCCAAATTAGGGGATCCTCCAAAGGGGGTCTGGGTTCGAGAACGAGATGGATGTTGAATGCCTCTTGCAGGTACTGCTTGAAGTGCGGCGGGAAGAATTTGAGTTGCACACCAACATTCTTCCTGTCTTCCTATCAGCCTGCACTTCTGCTGAATGATTATGAACCAGGGCAGTGCATAGAGGATTGGTGGTCCCTGGGTAGGGGCCGAGTAGACAGCAGAGGAATACTGTTTTGGCCGTGGAAGAACAGAGCAAGCCGCTGCATATGCGAGTTCGCGATAATGTGCTGCCCGGAGATAGGAAGGAACCGAAGGTTCTTGTCTCCAATGGTACTCAAAGCGAGATAACCCTAAACCCTAAAACCCTAGACCCTTAAATCCCTAAACCCGACACCCTTGACCCTAACCCTAAACCCCTAAATCCTAAACCCTAAAACCCTAAACCCCCCAATCCCTAAACCCTAAACCCCTAAACCGTAAACCCCCCCTAAGGGTCTTTATGACACAGGGTTGCCCTCGGAGGCCGGATCCTCAAGCGTCGAAGTCTGATGCTCCCAACTACACCGGGCTTAGGGCTCAAGGTTCAGGGTTTAGGGCTTACGGTTCAGGGGTTTGGGGTTTAGGGTTTTGGGTTCAGGGGTTTAGGGTTTAGGGTTTAGGGCTTAGGGTTTAGGGTTCAGGGCTTAGGGTTTGGTGCGCAACAGCAGCAACACAACTCACATTATTGTTCGTGCTACACGCCACTTAGACCCATAATAACAGCAATATTTTCAACACTCTCTTGGGTTTTTTATGAACAAAAATAGAAACTAATTCTCAAGGAGACTGTAGACCGATCATAAAGCCTGAACCCCAAACTCAAAGCCATAGACGGCCAGTTGCTTTCCATTGTGCACCCCTCAGCTGCCAAACCTCAAGCATCAGAAACCCTTACCTGAACCCAGAATAACGTAGCTTTTGACGGACGTCCCGAGGGAGACACCTCCCTAAACCCGACAGCCAAAAACCGTGGTTGCTGATACTGTCATATCTCCAGAACCAAACCCCAAGTTTTCCGTCCACCCATAACAATAACCCATGGCTGGAGAGCTCGAACGCGATGTGGTACTCCTGTGTCTCGACCTCCACATTCGATGGAGGAAGCGGTTCTTTGATGCTACAGGGTTTACGGTTTAAGGTTTACGGTTCTTCGGTTTTTGATACCTTAGCCTTCTTGTCGGGTATCAGGTTGACCTTGTTGGTTAGGGGTTATATCGGGACTATACTTCCCAAGAAAGGTTAAAGGTTCCCTACTCTACTACTAGGTTAGTACTCAGATAGGGTCCTTACGTGTGCAAAGCTGAAGCAACGAACAACAAGTACAAAACGTTCGGGTTCAGGTTGAACTGCAGTGGCAGCGACATGCGCTCAGGTACATGGGTCCCTCTCTGGGTCTCAAAAAACACGCGCATAAAGAAAAGCACCCTGAGAGGTGCGGATCCTAAACTGGAGAAGTACGGTTGATGATCTTAAAACCCTGCATTACCCGTAACAAGCCCTGAGGGTCTAAGTACTCCCCATTATGGGACTTTGCGTCCATTTCGGGTACCAGAAACCATGAATAAGGAATAAGGACTGCTTGGACCCTTAGGGAAGGAATACGCTATAATTCCCATAGTTTAGGGTCCTATTGGTAAAGCAGGATTTACATCATTGACAGGACGAACATCATCATGACTTTGCAAGAAACCTTGACAGTTCAGCACTCGTAAATTAAACGGAACCCTCAAAAGACCCTGAAGCGAAAAGATCAAAGGAACCCTTAACGACCCTCAACGGTCACTTGAAAGGACCCTTGACAGGACCCTTGTAGGAGCCTGAAATGATCAAGAGAACATCGTAGCATCCACGTTGAAAATCCCGACTGAACCCTTGCAGGATCCCGAAAGGCAACCTTAAAAGGACCTCAAAAGGACCAGCAAAAGGAATCCTACAAGGGCAGTGCACAACGACGCCGCTGGCAACTCTAACGAGCCCGAGATTGAATCCAAACGTTTCACGGTGTAGGAACCCTACCTTATCCCCAGAAATCCTACGCTTTCTGAGTTGCTGAGCTCATGAGCCCCCAACAGGGTACACTTTAGTTCTACAATGGGTATTATTATCCCCCAAAGTGTAAAGTGTATCCACTCAGCTACTAGGGTTCCTGATTATGACTGTATGACTCCTTCCAATGTTCAGGTAAACTCTGAAACTTCACTTCAACCCCCAAACCCTAAACCCTACATCTGAGACCCTAAACCCTAAAACCGCATAGCCTAACCCCCAGATGCTAAGAAACCCTAAACCCCAAATCCTGAAACTTGCAAACCCTAAATCCTGAAACCTGAAACTTCTACATCCTAAACCCTAAAACCTAAAACTTCTAAACCCTAAACCTTACTTAAATCCTGAAACTTCTGAATCCGTTCGAAACCAAGGGGCGGGAAGCTCTGAGTCTTCACCCAGCCACCATCGGAGGCGTCTCGCCTGCAGCTTTTGGGGTTGCGGGCTTGCAGGGGGCTTACCATAGGGACCCTTATAGTGGGGTAGGGGGAGGGGGGTAGGGTACTATACTTCCTTAAATAAGCCGTATTCCCTTAGTGGGGTTGCGGGCTTGCGAGGTTCCCATAACCCTGCTGTAGGGGCCTCAATAATTGGAACAGGGTTCCTTTAAAGGGGGCCAAAAAGCGATGCTATAAGGGATCTATGAGGTTAAGGGTGCTCAGGATCTCGGTTCACGGTTTCAGGCTTAGGGGCTACGGTTTTAGGACTCAGCGGTTAGGTGCTTGGGGTTTAGGTCCAGGTTTAAAGTTCAAGCCGTTGAGTGCAACCTGCATGGAAGTGATCTTGCACATCAACCACTTGCTCCCCCAATAAAAGAAAGGTCGAACTTTCCGATTCCTACTAAACTACAAGAGCCCAAAAAGTTTAAAGGTTGGGCAAAAGGGATCTAAGTGCCCATCAACCACTTGCATCGGAGGTAGAAATCCGAGTCTCGGACCAAACCCTGCCTGGACCCCAATATAACCTACCTTTTTAGGGTTCCCGACTATGATTTCTTTATATAAATCCTAAAAAAAGGTCGGTTGTTTGGGGTTACGGTGATAGTTGGAAGATTGAACTTGCCATCCAACCAAACGGCAACCTTCATGTTGCGGAAGATGACTTATGGTTGCTGTTCGGCGTCTTATTGCAATCCCCTGGACCATACCACAAACACGCCCCGCCACCAGAGGTTTCAAGGGTTTGTTAAACCGAATTAATAGGTACGTTGAAAGCCTTACTCACTACGTCCCATCATCCGGCAAGGACGGCCCATACTTCAAGGCTGCTGGGCCTCCAGACCACACTATGATGTAAGGCAGTTTGGGTATGTGGAGCAATATACCACCCCGCGATGGCCCTCCACCCAAATTAGCATACAGCCTGCCTCGTGGACGTCACCGTGAGCGTCTAGCGCCATGAGTACCTGCCCGGACCCTTTCCTAGAGACTCCAAAGCCCCTTAACTAAGGAAAACCTTTAAGTATAAGTGGATCCCGAATATGCTTTATGGTATATTCCTTAATGAAGGGGTTTGGGAGTTTCTGGGTTTTGGATGTGAGGTTTTTAAACAGCCCTACAGGGCAGGGCGCCAGTCAGGATTGAAGTGTCGGCATCTAACGCGAGGACAAGCGCAGTCTACATTGAAGTGAAAGGTGAATAGCTGAAAGGCCCAAGTGCTTGTTTGATATAATATACCCATTAGACTATACTTATAATCAGGACCCCCCCCCAAAAAAAAAGTGGGATTGGTAACGCCCCTATTTTACTCTGTATGCTTGGGCCCCCTGAACCTACGGACCCTCTTTGGGCCAAGTATAAACCCTGGAAGCACCTCTCCCATCAAGGTTTCCACGGCCAGCGAAACCCCCAAATTGCGACCTTAAACTCGTCCTCCCTAGTTTTGACGAAACGGAAAATCTCTGCACCGGAGCTTGCTTGCAGGGTCGGGGGACTTAGTAAGCAGGTAATAAGTAGACTTACAAGTACCCCAAGAGGGATGATGATTGGGGATATGGGAAATCCAACTCGAAAAAAAACTGCTTGCTACGGCCCCCGATCCTCCAACTGTGCTCCTATCCCGCCAGCCTTTGCGGGACAGAGAACGTTTAATGTAGGCCTTCATAATTGAAATAGGGTTTTGGGGGTTTCTTACTATAATTCTGGTATCATATACCCCCCCCCAAAAAAACTCTTCGACATTATTTAAGCCCCTCCAATATAGTCCTGAAGCTACATCCCCGGAATCCCCTGTCCGAAGCTTCGACACCATGACCCCCGAAGAAGATCCCTTTCCGAACAGTTATGTTGTGGGAAGCTGATTAAGAAACCTGGGGCCTTGGTTAGGGTTCCTTATATGAATCCTACTATTTTGGGGGTTATAGGCCCAGGGTTTCTTAATCAGGTTCCTACATTAGAGCCCTTGTAGGACCCTAAAACGACTTCAGGTCCTGCAAGCGGACAGCATCGCTTAGCGTGCCTTCTGTCGGCGCATGAGTCGGCTGTCGAGGGCGCCCTGTGAAGGAACATGGCAGGCGAACTGCACGCAAAGGACCTCGGACGACAGCTTTGAGCTTTTGCATGGGTGTTACAGGGCCAGATTTTCCGGACAGAACCTAAAAACCCAGTACTCCACATAGACCCTAAACCCTAAACCCTTTAAACCCCCTAAACCCTAAACCCTATAAACCCTAAACCCTAACGGTAATTGGTCCTCTGCTTTGTGCCCCAAACCCTAAACCGCTTTCTCCGGGACACACAGGGTACAAGCCTTAGGGTCTGAAGTCTGCAAAGAGGTTATAGTTTTTTTTTTATAAGGGCCCTTTTTCAATCTTCTTAAAGGGTTTAGGGCTTAGGGTTTAGGGGGTTTGGAGTTTAGGGGTTAATTACGGGGTTTAGGGTTTACGGGCTTTAGGGTTTACAGGGTTTTGAACTTAGGGCTTAGGGCTTACAGGGTTTAGGGCTTAGGGGTCTATTCTGAGTATGAGGGTTGGGGCTTGGGATCTTAAATGTTTACTCCGCGTTGGTCAACGTTTGAGGGCCTTTTGGGATTGAGGGCTTTATGAAGGCCTGGGTTTGTGGGCTTAGGGCTTGGGAGCCACACCCCCCCCTTTCCTCGATGCCCGGTGAGCTCAATTATCAAGCACTCCCGTAGATACCACTCCTAATCACTCTACCAAGATTCTGGGGACAGCGAAAAAGCTTGCTTTAAGGTCCCCAGTGCAAACAAACAATTACCCGAACAAGCAATGAAGCAAAACAGGGCCAAAGCCCACATACTTTTTCTGTCTTAATGCACTACGGACCCTCCTTAAGGCTGAACCCCAGCTGAAACGGAGATCCTTGCCAACCCTCCATACAAGAAGCTCGACCTGCAAACGCGAAGTCCTGAGCTTACCCCAGAGAAGCACATCATTTCGGTCCTCGCTAGTGATCGCCTTTTGCAAGTCACCCATGTAGTTAGAATAGAAAACGATCGGGGCATATGTGCATGAAACGCTGAAACAGGACCGTAAACCCTGAACTCAACGCTCAACAATACACCCTGAGCCCGTAAACTCCAAGTTACGGGTTAAAGGCGCTTTGGAAACCCTGGGAATCTTGTGCCGCAGGGCGAGAATTCCAGCGTGCCGAACGCCGCCATACCAACTCATCGCATGGGTACCTTAGGTATGTCTGTCTGTCCGTCTGTCTGTCCGTCTGTCTGTCTGGTCTGTCTGTCTATTCTTGTATCTGTCTATCTTTTGGCAGCTAGATAGACAGACAAATAAATTAGAAAGATCCACAAATCGATAGACCGGTTGGTAGCAAGATACAAGGTAGATAGGCACATAATTAAGGCGTATGTACAGGATACTGTGGGTAACATACACCTGGACTTTCAATTCAGTGCCTGCAGGCACTCACATGTCCATACACATGAGCATGCATACGCGCGGTCCTTATGCCTGGGAAGCACATCGTTTTGTGCATGCAATACATGAAGTATACGAAGTTCCGTTTACCTACCTGTCCGACTGTTGTCTGAATATCTTGCACATCACTCGTTCTGTGTCTATGTCTTGATCCATGTCTTGCATCATTTCTGCCTGCGTCTGTATCCCAACCTTGCACCTGAAATCCTTTACCCGAACCCCAAGCCCGATTTTCCGAATGTGCAAATCTAAGTTGCCTCTACAACCCCTTTTGCTTGGTCCAGATGGGGCTTTTGAGTGACGCATGCCGCATCATCGTACTTAAAGCTAGAGGTTAGTTGTTTGGAGTTTTAAGGCTAATGCCCCAAGAGGGCAAGTTGGGCTGTCTGCCGAGCGCCCGGCTGACGTGTCAGACAAGATATGTAACTCGCGGGAAAGGGAAATGCCCAACCCCGGCATCTGCAGCTTTGAACCACTGCAGTCTCGAAGGCAGCAAACTATTCGGCTGCACTCGCCCTTACCCCTAAACATTATATCAGACTTGGAAGCCTAATCATAAAGCCTACAACCCGAACCGCCCGGGGGCTGAGGTTTATGGTTCACCAGTCTGGGAGCGTAGTACACCTACTTGTCGGGCATCAAGGGGAACTAAAGGTTAACCTTTTTGGTTGTATGGGGATGATACAAAAGGTTAAAGGTTACCTGCTCTACTACCAGGGCACAGATTTATGCTTTACCGGGTATGGGACTAAACTCTATAAACCCTAAACCCTAACACAGGCTTTACGGTGGGGTTTGGGACAGGTCTGAAGTCAGTTGCCGAGCTGCCCTGGTCCAGAAAGGTGAATTTAAGCACGGTTAAGGGTACATCATTTAGGGATCACGGCCTCGTTGAAGTACGGTTAAGGGCTTAGGATGGTTCAGGGATCACAGAAGGGATTTTGTTTGGGCAAAACTCGTCAAAGATTAACTGCGCACTGTGTAAACAGCGGCGAAAAGCCTTGTAACGCTTCCGGGGAAAAGGCGCGGGGATTTCAACTAATTCCTGCGGACCCAGTCGTGTCCCCTGATGCATGCCTTGTTTAGAGTTTCCAGTTTAAGTTTAGAGTTTAGGCAAAAAGGGGCCGTAATCATTAGAACCCGAAGGAACAATGCAACTCATTATTCATGCTTCTGCGCTACTCTACTCGTCTGAGGAAGTAGGCGAACAAAAAGCGAGCACTTGCCAGGAGGATCGAGCGACCTACGTAAGTAGTAAAATGTAGACTTATAGGGTCGACTTATAATGAGTAAACTGAACGGAATCCGAACTAGGGTCGTGATATGTTCTGATACTCAAAAGTCCATACAAGAATTACTTACTAGCACCAGCGAACCTCCAAGTGGAACAATAGCGCGAAGTCTTGATTCCAAGACCTTTGTATGACTATGCTGCTTCAAGCACCTGCCGCATAGAAAACCCTAAACCCCAGACCCTGAACCGAAAGCCCTGCTTAGAGGTTCATGGGACTTAGTAACTAGGGATATGACTAAGGCAACTACACGTATATGTGCTTACAACCCTATTTAGGGTACTTATAACTGCACTTACTAAGTCCCATGAACCTCCAAGTAGTACTTCAAGGTTCTTCACAACAGCAGTCGCAACAGCCCAAGAGACCGGCCATATAGCCTAAGGTGTACAGTATATAAACGGTTTAGGGTTTAGGGTTTAGGAGTTTAGGGGTTTAGGGTTTAGGGTTTGTGGCTCCTATATGGCTAGCTTACAGCCGAAGTACATACTGTACAAGCACATGCAGCTTTAGGGATAACTTCCAAGTGTTTAGGCTGAATAGGTGTGCTGCAGGTATCTTGCACCAAACCTAATCAGGGGCCCACATTTTCAAGATTTGCGTGTGTCCCCCAAGGGGCCAGGTATCTGCTTAGGAGGGTTCGGAACCTCCTAGGGAGAGCCCTTGGGTCTATTTGGGGTCTCAGAACTCCTACATTTTGAGGTTCCCCGAAGTGTTAGGACCCTTAGGGTCAGAGCCTTCCTGGCATGGTTCTCTCCGGGCCCTGATACGGTTGATGATATAAATCCTGCATGAGCCATAATAAGGAATCTACCATAATTCCAATAGTTCAGGGTCGTTCAACCGTATCACGAACTGTTACAAGCCTTTGCCAGGTTTACTTATCGGGCTTAATATGGGAGCCTTATTATTTTCGACAGGTTCTCGAGGTGTTGTAGGAATGGCCGCAAGAAACTCCAGTTTTGGTACAACTTATAGGGGCGAGTCTGGGATACGATTGCTAGCAATTCAAGCCTTGCGTATGTTCGCCTTGGGCCACAGGTCCCAACATGTGTACATACATTTACAAACTCTAAACCCTAAATTAAATCCATATATGTATATATGTGTATAAACAAATAAACAGACAAATATATATATATATATATATGTACATATATGTATATTTATATATATATATATATAGAGAGAGAGAGAGAGAGAGAGAGAGAGAGAGAGAGAGAGAGACAGACCCCAACAATACCCAGGGCAGTTACTCAGCCAACCTGAGCCCTAAACTCCAAACCCTCCAAGCAAAGCTGCGTCTCGCTCTTTTTTGTCGGGTGGTGCTCAACAAGTGGGCTTTGTCGGAGCACTCGCTGTGGATTTTCGGGTTCTATCTTTTTGATATATTTCGTGGGCGGGGTGTGGGGTTTTAGAGTTTCGGATGTAGGGGATTCCAGGTTTACGGTTGGCCCCTTGTGTGCTTGGGGTTCAGAGGGCCTGCTGGGAGGCTCAATGTGTCTTCGACACAAAAGAAGACTGCTCCGCGAAACCGGAAAACACCGTCACAAGGACTCTGCTCCGCTTAGGAAGTAAGCAAAACTCATTGAATGGTTCCGATGCAAGAAGCCATAACCCGAGTACCAGAAAGAAAACACCCACGAGTCGTATCGCGGGGTTGTCGTTGCCTTGATGTGGATAGGATAGACCGAATTTCAAGTGATCGTATTTGGGGGGGGGGGCTTCTCCCCCGTTCGGGTCCAGTTTCGTCTCGCCGACGAAGCATGGCAACAACAACGATTGTAGAACTGGGTTTCGCAGTAATTCTTAGACCCTAAACCCTTGAATATCAGGGTACTCATTTCTCCTGCTAGTTATTCAGCTATGGCAAGTAAACACCCTGCTGAGGATTCCAGGGCCCCTTGCCCCTGCGGGGGAGAACATGTCTCGCCCCCCATGTTTCAACACGAGAAGCGCCTCAACAACTAGAAGAGGGATCTGGGGGGGGACTTATGGGTACGATAAGAAGAAGAGGCTAATACTAAATCTTCAGACGTCCATATTTCAAGAAAGAATTCCTAGGGAGACTATAGCATATTACACGTCATGAAGGATGCCTCGACTAAGACCTACTTGTCGGGTATCATGTGGAACTGAAAATTAACTATTTTGATTATATACTAGACCCAAGAGTAAACCAGGCACAAAAAGGGTGCCCTTTTTGGTTTAAAGGGGTTATAAGGGAACCTGAACCCTTCAAAAGGGAATAAGGCCTACCCTAGGTCCTAGCAGACATATCCTTTTGGAGGCATGTAAGAAAGAGGCCTCCATCCGCAAAAGGAGCTGAGATTCAAAGTGACATGACATGAAATCGCCAAAGCCTAAGTTCTATACACAATCGCCTCAATCCTTGACACGTGAATCCCAACACTATTTGGCCTCAATCCGACTTCCAACTTTATCGGGTTTACTGTAGGTCCGACCCTAAACCCTAAACCCTAAACCCTAAACCCTAAACCCCCGATGTTTCCACGGTTTCCCGCTCATGCACATCTCTGGGGCCTCTCACAGAGCCCTGCCTGTGAGACGCAAAGGTGGGAGTCTCGGAAAAGGGCAGAACCCTAAACCCTAAACCCTATGAGGCTTAGGGTTTAGGGTTTAGGGTTTAGGGTTTAGGGTTTAGGGTTTAGGGTTTAGGGTTTAGGGTTTAGGGTTTAGGGTTTAGGGTTTAGGGTTTAGGGTTTAGGGTGCAGAACCCTAAACCCTAAACCCTACAACCCGAAAGATGTTATGAAAAGGGCGGAGGTTGCTTTTACGACGCCACGTCGACGTGGGCTCGTACTCCCAGTGAACCCAGACCCCTTAAAATCTTAAAGGATCTTGTCTTAGACAAACGGGTAGTTCTCTAGATTCGGGACGAGATTTAGATCCCAACTATAGTACGGCAACCTTATAACAATGATCCTAAAGAGGACCCTGATTCAGAGAACTACCCAAATACAGTCCTCTCCCATATCATGGAAGGATACTTGTTGACGGGTTTAGGGTATCTGGCGTACTTTGCACGAGCTTTGACCTGAAAGTACCGAAAACGGAACCTCCTGAAGACCGCTGAAATAAAACTATTTGGGCAAACTGACTTTCCCAAACCCTACAGTTCACCTTACTAGACATGTATAATTTCTTGGCTGACTTCTGAACCGCTCCTACAAGTGAAACTTTGACCCTCCTTATTATGGTTCATCTGGAAGCCCAAAAATTAGAGTCCTAAGAGCCGGCCACACGAACGCCAAGCAGTATAGCTTAAAGCCCTGTGAAACCCTTGTAGAACCCTCAATGGAACCCTCTTTTCGCCATGCAGGTACTATAGGAGGGGCCTAATGAAATAATCAGAATAGGGCTTAGGGGTATATGACAGCCCTGAACAAATTGGTCGAAATGCAAGCCCTTAACCCCTAAAGCAAA